GTCGCGTCGCCCTACCCGTCGCGCGCGTCGGCTCGCCGACCGCGGGCCCGAGGAGCCCGCGCGCTTCGCGGTCACGGGCTCGTCGCTGCTGTGCGAGGACGCCGGCTGCGCGGCCGAGTACGCCGTCGTGTCCGAGGCCGAGCTCGAGGCCGCACCCGAGCACCTGTCGCCCGCGCAGGCCGCCGCGCTGCCCGTCGTCGGGCTGACGGCGTGGCGCGCCCTCGTCACCAAGGCCGGGATCTCGCCAGCCGGCAACGGCAACGGCAACGGCGAGGGCGGGGGCAAGGGCCCCAGGAAGAACGTGCTCGTCACGGGCATCGGCGGCGGCGTGGCGCTGACGGCGCTGCAGCTCGCCGTGGCCATGGGCTGCCGCGTCTTTGTGACGAGCGGCGACCCGGCCAAGATCGCGCGCGCCGTGGCCGAGCTGGGCGCCGAGGCGGGCGTCAACTACAAGGAGGCGGATTGGGACGCGCAGTTGGCCGCGCTGCTGCCGGCGGACCGGCCGTCGCTCGACGCCATCATCGACGGCGCGGGCGGCGACGTGGTGAAGCGGTCCCTACGGCTGCTCCGGCCCGGCGGCGTTATTTCCAGCTACGGCATGACCGTGTCGCCGCGCATGGACTGGCTCATGCCCGCGGTGCTCAAGCAGATCGAGCTGCGCGGCACCACCATGGGGTCGCGCGCCGAGTTCGCCGACATGGTCGCCTTTGTGCGCGAGCGCCGCATCGTGCCCGTCGTCAGCCGCGCCGTCCGCGGGCTCGACAACCTCGACGGCATCGAGGGCCTCTTCGACGACCTCAAGGCGGGCAGGCAGTTTGGCAAGCTCGTTATCGAGATCGCCGACGGCAGCGACAAGTCACCACCAAGGCTGTGATGGCATGTGCAAAAAAAACAAAAAAATGGGGGACAGGCAATACTTTCTGCTTTGACTGTCATGCATTGTTGTTGATAACAAGGGAATATCTGTACCCTCCATGCTTGTCCGTGAAGCCAGCGAAAACGCTCCGACCCGTATACAAAACACTTGCTATATGCACGAGAAGAGGGCCCACCACCCTGCCCATTTACTGCTTTTGTCTTCCATGCGTACCTCGCCAGGTATGGAATCAAAACGTTTGATCAAGGAAAATAAAAGAGAGGAAGCCAGCGGCTCGTCCGCTTTTCAATCCTCCATAGCGTCACTGCCGTGGATACCTGCTGGTAACCTCCCCTCGTTCAGCTCCTTTTCGAGTCTCAGGATCTCATCCAGGCTGGTTGCCTTCTTGATGCGCTCCTGCAGCTTCTTGCGCTCCCCGTCCGTTAGCTTGACCCGAGACAGCTTGGAGGTGAGTCCCGCCGAATCGGTCTTGCTAGTTGCTGCCGCGGCGCCCGTCTTGGACTTGTTGCCCTTGATCTGCGTGTTAAGAAGCACCAAAGTTAGATTATAGAAACATAGCACAGGCTCAGGTCCGGAGAATTATCCATGGTTGCATACCTTTATAGCCAGCTCCGTCGGTTCTTCGGCTGTCCCAAACAGCGACGTAGCATGTTCCCGCTCTGCCAGCTTGACCTTTTGGTAATCGAGGAACCTCACACCGGGGCATCTCCACAAAACCCAATAACGGTAGTTCTACATAAATATGTGCCCCGAGCACTCGAGTTAGATCCGCAGCTCAAGTCGAAGCGTGGGCGCCATGTGGCCGCCGAGGGGGCGCATAGCAGCGTTAGACGCACCTCCTTCTTGGTGACAGGGTTGTCAATCAGGACCAGATGCGTGAGACGCTTGAAGCCGGACAGGGGGTCGAGGTCGGCGAGCTCGGCAATGCTGTTGGAGGCCAGCACCAGGTTGGTGAGGTTCGGGATCGCGTTGGCGAGCGAGGGCTGGATGTTGACGACGCGATTCCGGGCGAGTAACAGCGTCTGGATGCGAGGGGACAAGGGGAAGTTCCCCAGCGTCGCGATGTCGTTGTCGGTGAAGTCTATGGCATCTTGAGGCTGTCGGTGGGCCGGCCAGTCAGCCGCGGGGAGCTCCTGCGCGGAGGGGAGGCGAGAACAGAAGAGTACTGACACCAGCAACACCCAGATTCTCAATGGCCGGGATTCGGTGTCCTACAAGGCGGCGGTTCCCCAAGAGAAAGAGCGGGTTCGATATCAACTCTGCTCCTCGGTCAAAGTGTAGTATCTGCCCTTTTCGCGCGACATACCTCGAAGGTCGAGCTCTCGCTCCTTCAGAGGGTTGATGTAGGAGAGAGAGTTGTTGATTAGGTCGGCGGTCAACCTCATGGCGGCGGTCGCGTGGCGCGTGCTGCTTTACCTTGGTCGGCTGCTGTCGGTCGGGGCGACTCTGGCTCTGGCGAGGGATCCAGGCAAAATGGTCGCGTCGCGAGGCTGGCGCGGTGCAAGAAATTCCACCGTCACTTGTGAAGCTGCTGCTTGGGCGGGAGTGCTGGTTCTGTGGTGGGTGGGGGTGGGGTGGTACTGTGCGAGTGGACTGTGTGTGGGTCCTGACGGCACGTTGACACTTGTAAGATCCTTTCCGATCAAAACGAAGGACGCCAAGTTGCTTGCAGAATAACCAATTTTCTATCGCTATCTCGTCTGTCGATACAGGTCTAGGAGGCCTATCTAAAGTAGTATCGATGTAAACAAGTATACCAGTCCAGGAGCGGCCCTTCATAGCAACCAACGGTCTGTAAGAGACAGGAAATATTGGAAGAGAAAAGCATCGAGATCCAGCGGTTTGACTTCACCTTTGATGATCCCGATCCAAATCCCCAAGCTGAGGGATGTCTTCCTCATCGTCATCCTTTTCCACCCGAGTCACTGTGCCGTCAACCTGGGGGATCGCCTCGTAATCGCTCCGGCCACTCTCGGCCTCAGATAGCGCATCGTCATCAGCATCGGCATCTTCGCAGGCTGCGTCTCCGCAGGCTGCGTCTCCGCCCGCGGAGCCCTCGTCTTTACGGCCGATAATGACATTGCCTGCCACCAGCATGGAGGCACCAAGCCACCACAACGGCGGCAGCGACTCGGAGAATATGACGAGTCCCAACAGTGCTGTCAGGACGAAGTTGGACGACGTGTTCATGATGGACACCTGCGTCGTCGAGTGGCCGCGAGAAAGAGCCTGGGTGAAGAGCGTCCACATCTAGAAGACGGGCGACATCAGCATCGAGTGTCTCGTGCGCCTTTGGTGGTGATACAGATGGCCACGCGGGCAGCCATGTATGACGGCTACACGGGGAGCACAGAAAGCTGCATGCTCTCAGTAGGAGCACGAGGGGTAAGGGGAGCTCGAAATATGGATGGATTGGGCGAGGAACGAGGGAGGAATTCCCCGATTGGAAAGCATCTTACCACTCCATTAAACGCAAGATTTAACCCAAAAAATGTCTAGGCGCACATGGGACGTTTCATGTCAGAATTTATTGCAGTCTGGTGGCTTTCTGTCTGTTTCATTTAATGATTCCCAAATCCACGAGAATCAGGTTTCACGACATCGTCGCCCAGCGCGGACAGACGGGGGACAGGACACAGAAACTTACAGCGCGCACTACGAATTCGACGGTTCCCCCGGCTGTTGATAATCCCAGGAAATCGGCAATGTGATGAGATAAGCTCGTTGTGAGTTCGGTGGTCGTTCTGCCAGCGACGAGATAGCTGTAAGCCCCATTCACGGCGGGATACCACCTGAGAGCACGTGCTAACAAACACAAGCCGACAAGGCAGCTCCATGGCGATGGAGCCCCGGGCGGCAAGGCTGGGATGAAAGAACAGAAACCAACTCACAGCTTGGCCATGACACCGTTCAGCGCAGCGCAAGTGCCGCTCGCGATAGCGTAGATGATCCATTGGTTCCTTTGGCTCCAGGCCATTGTGCTAGCGGCCGTCGTGGCCGAATCCGAATCGCGGAAGGTCTCTCGGCCCGCCTCGTCGAGAAGCGGGCTGCGCTCGGATGCCAATGTGGATTCCATCTTGCTCTTATTTCTGCGGCGCCGGTGCACCGCCGCATCAACGCTGGCGTTACTACTGGGAACCTTGCTCCAGCTGCTTGGCCTGCCCGAGACAGTAGCCACCTCCTGTTGCTCCTCGCCGGATGTGGATATGGACGTGGAGGGGGCGTCAGGGGCTGGGTCGGGAGCTGGTTCCTGCTGTTGGCGCTTGCGGGACATGTTGGGCAGAGGGAACAGCAACAGCAGCAGGGCACGCGAGATAAAACCAAGGGGTGGGCCGGAAGAAGCAATGACAGCAGGGAAAGGACAATGGCGGCGCGCACACAGTCAGCAGCCTAGTCTAAGGGGTGGAGGCGTGACAGGTCGAGACTCAGCCTGGCGGTGCAAAAGCGAGACAAAAAAAAAACAATTCTACCCAGAGGGCTGCTGATCGTGTTTGCCAGCGACTCGTCCGAAACAAGTCAATGCCGGCTGCTGGGCCACGCGCCAGTGTCGCAGCCGTTCGTTGGCCCCCCTTGTTCAGCGCGCTGCGCTAGCCCCGTAGCGTGTAGCGCTGTTCGGCTGGCACTGCCAAGGGCGGATCGACAAGGGGCAGTCCGCTGCATGTGCGCCCTCCCGTGTTCCGTCTGTGGAAGAGATAAGCTCTCAGCCTCCTCCTGCCCAACCCTGAAATCCTGTGCTATTCTCGGATCACTGCGCCAGGCCAAGCCTAGCATGCAGAGGAATCTGACAATGGGTGCAATTGCACAGTCGACAGGCACAGAGCGCATAGCACAAACATTGAGACTGCGCGAGTCGCTCATGCAACAGACTAACTTGGGCGGCGTATTCTAGGAAGGGGCAGGGGAATTCTTTAGTGGCTTCTATAATCCCAATCGAACCTGCCGCTTTGGGCTGTACCTCCTGGGAATAATGAATAGTATAGTGATTGTGCCACGGTATACGTTCAATATCAAGCCATTCGAAAGAAGAAGAAAAGACCATTTGACACTAGCACTTAAGATGTGGAATTAGAATGCACGTTGCATTGAAGCAGTTGATGCGCAGGTTGTCGTATGGCAGGTAATTATGCTAATCGTCAGTTAGTTGCTTTTCAGAAACTGGTCAAATCCCTCTCACTTTGAGTTTATCCTCCAAGACTCCCAGAAGACATAAAGAAAACAAATACCAGCAACAGAGTGGTGCCCTCTCCCACTCTTTCCAAAACCCAGAACCTACACAACAGTGACGCGTCGGATCGTCCACCCCCGTCGCCATGCCTAAACACACCGCCCCCCGAACGGGAAAAGCTAGTAAACGCCGTCGTCTCGAGCGTCTGTATGGAAACTTGTTCCATTCCTTCAAAGACGACTGGGATTATTTTACTGACAACCTGATATCCTCGTTAGCGTGATCCGCGCCGTCGATGAGTGGTGCTCGACTTGCATCCGTAGAGCCTGCAACGATCGAAACCCACACATTATCTGCCGCGATGACAAGAGTAAAACCATCCGATCCCTTTATATAAATATGGTTCAGACATATTGACGAGATCATAGATGGCAATAGCCAAAAGTGTATCACCTGTCGCGACGCCAGAAAAGGGGGTTGCGACCACAACACCATCAGCCCGATCGTAGGCGCCGAAGTCGCCCAGCTGGGCGCGGCCCTCCGGGACGCCGAGCATGATGTTGACTGGAATCGTGCTTGGCGCGACTCGCTCTCGGATCTGGCTCTTACTGATGATGAAGTAACAGCATCCCACACACTCCAACGTCTGTTTTATTCCTGCTCACACAAAATGGTACCTGCAGTCCGTCCGCGACGCCAAAGCGGGCCTGTCCAGGGCCAAGGCCCATTACGACGCCGCTCATGCAGCCTTTGATCAGAAGTGCGAGGAGTAGTGTTCCCTCGTGGCGACTGCCCGACGGGGCAGCCGGGTCTCGTTGCCGGCGCCCGCCGGGAACGCGCAATATGGCGCCGAAGAGCCGCAGCCCAATGACGGCGGCGCGGTCGAGCAGGATGGCAACGTGGCCGAGAAGGGCGGCGACGTGGCCGAGCACCGCGGCATCTTGAGTGCCCGTCTTCGTGACTGCCTGATCATATGGATGTCTCGGACTGTCTATGAGTTTGGTGCGGAAGCGGTATCTCGAGGCTGGTGCCAGGACACCAAAATGATCGATATGTTTGACGAGCCGGGTGGTATGATGGAGAAAATCCATGAGGCTCTGACAAGTGATGCGACTAGCAATGATACTCACGAAAACGAGGGTAATGGCGGAGAGGAGTGACTCTAGTCATGTCGGCCATGACGGGTTGATCTCCCCACGATATTTCGTGGGGTCTCGGCATGTTGCTTAAGAGGCCCTGGGGCTTCATCTTGAGCAAAACTGGTTACCCGATACATAGATACCAAGTAACATAGGTAGAGAAGATCGCCAGCATGTGCGCTGCACCTAAGAGTGTATTTGATTATCTCTATAACTCTGAGGTGATCCCATCCGGAAGTTATGCTTCAACTCCGTTCCGTGGAATCACCATCTGCATGCCCCGACCAAAACGCCGTCCCTTGAAGATGTCCTAATCGAAAACGAACCCATCATGAAAGACTCAGGGAGTCACCCAGGGCATGTAACAGTTTTGCCAGCCCGTTGAAAAATGCAAGCGATATATGGAGTTCCGGTCCCATTATCCGTTGTTGTCGCACCAAGCCAAGTTCAGATGTCAGAGGCGGGCTCCTGTTTTATGGCTTTCTTGGTAGCACGTTTGCGCGGTGCGGCCTTCTTCCGCTGCTTTGGAGTCGTCTCGACCCTCTTGGGGGTCTGGTTCTCTCGCCTCGCCGGAGTGTCCACCTACGGACCCTCACCCGGTCGCTTCGCGTTGCAGCTGACGATCTTAATCTTGTCGGCCGTTACCGTTTGACCGCCGTTGTCCATCTTGAAGGACACATTCTTGATGAGGAACGTCCAGACATCGTCGCAGAAGCGGTAGGTATCGAGAGAGCCCTGGAGATTGGCGTCGTGGGAGAAAGAGGAGGGACCTTGAGGTTAGTCAAGAGTCTTCACATAAGATGTCGGCTGCACCAGACGTCCAGGCAAGACAAGGAGGTAATCACCCTGAACGTAAGCCTGGACTTGACCTTCTCGTTCAACGTCTCGGCAATAGCGCGGTCGAAGTTTGCGACGATCTTCATGGCCAGCTGCGGATCCATACGGTTTTCCTGGATGAGGTCATCCAGCGCATCGGTGAGAGCCGTGCCGATGCTGTAGATTGCAGACATCAAATCGAGACGCGGTCAGCAAACATGTCCTGCGGTGCCTGCGGCCCTGGCGGATACGGGTGACACAGGCATGACAAGCAGCGCCCGCCGCACTGGAACCAAACGCTGGAACCGAGTGCGCCCCGCGGGGATGTTCCCGCAGGAAACATTTCTGCGGGTGGAGTAGATGTACCTGCTACGGCGATAAAGCTCGTAGAACGTGGACTGAGCGTTGGTCGCCATGGTCACTTGTCTTGCGAGTGATCTGGCTGGACTTTCGTTGCGTTTTTGGGGTGGCGCGCGCAAGAGTTGGCAGGTGGGCGGCCGGGTCGGTGGTATTTATTTGGATGCGTATTGAGGGTGGAACAAAGACCGCTATCGGCCAAGCAGTAGGCACCCACCGACCCACAGGACGGAGAAGCATCCACGAATACCACAGCCACTGTGGCTGGAGCTGCAAGCTGATGAAATGCAGGTGGCCCCTGCATCCGCCATTGTCCAGGCGGCCTGAAGCCGCTACCGAGAGCGACCCTCTCGAACCCCGAGCTGTTGCCATGACGGCTTCATCCTCCGCCAACGACAACGAAATCTAAACACACACAGCACAGCCGACGCGATGAGCTTACTATACGGACTTGGGGGAACGGGATCCGCGCTGGCCGTGGTTGGGGCTTGTGAGTTGTGCCGCGTTGCAATCCATCTCCAGCGAATGTCGCGACGATCAGGGCGAAAAGCTCCCACACGACGCAGTTCTCCCATCGACAAGCGCTCCCCGAACTGACAATACCGCCGCACTCTCGCCAGACATGCTCTTCACCGGCAGTGGGGAATCCTTCGATGTACGCTTCTAGAGACACAGCTCCCATCCCCCTCCCTCGAACCTCCCCGACACGACGTTTTAGCCTTTTTCTCACACCAACCGCGTTTGTTCCAGGTCGGCGCTTTCATCGAGGATATTTCGCCCTACGCGTGGGCTAGTATGGGCATCTCGCTCTGCATCGGGCTTTCTGCCGTGGGGGCGGCTTGGTATGTGCGACAGACGAGCATCGCATTGTCCTTTCCTGGCGCTGCTCGCCCGATTCCCCGAGTCCGGACCGTCCCCTGTGGCCTCGGCACGCCGCTAGTGTCTATCTCGCCGTGAAGGCGGACACGGCGGCGGCATCCAGGCCCGCGCAATGGCTGCACAGTGATGCTGACCACCTTCATTTTCTTTTTCCCAGGGGAATTTTCATCACCGGATCATCTATCCTGGGAGGTGGTGTCAAAGCGCCTCGTATCCGGACCAAGAATCTCATCTCGATTATCTTCTGCGAGGTCGTCGCCATCTACGGCGTCATCATGGCCATCATCTTCCAGGCCAAGATCAGCGCTGTCGAACACGCAGACTACTACAGCGGCGCCACATACTACACCGGATACGCCTTGTTCTGGTCCGGCCTGACCGTCGGCATGTGCAACCTGATTTGCGGCGTCGCTGTCGGCATCAATGGCAGTGGGGCCGCTCTTGCAGATGCCGCAGACCCGACCCTGTGCGTGTTTCTGCCTTGCCTCTACCCGGTTCCCATGCTCCGGGACGGTGGTCCCCGCTATCATCTTTTCTGTCCTAGTATACTGACCTCATTTTTTTTTTCCTATTCCAGGTTTGTTAAAATCCTCGTCATCGAGATTTTCAGCTCCATCCTTGGTCTCTTCGGCCTCATTGTTGGTCTTCTCACGTCGAGCAAAGCGGCAGAATTTGGAAGCTACGCCTGAATATGTGGCCTGTACCAAGCCGCAGTCGTCATTCTCCAACGAAACGAACAACGTCCTGGAGATTTCCAATAGCCATGCCAGGGATTCAGCGCACGCATCTTACACTAGATAGTGCCAGATGTCATGTGCCATGTATTAAAACAAGTCAACAGCATATACCATGCACACACGCAGGCGTGCTGGTACGGTGACAAGGGAGCGGGGCAAGGAAGGGGATGTGTGTGAGTGAGGGAGTGAGTGAGTACTACATGAAAGGGAGCCGGGCTTACGACATAAATGGGTTTCTCGGTTGGCCAAATCAAGGCCGACAGTATTGCGCGCATGCATTTTATTTTGCGTACCATACCAAGTTTCTGTTATGGACATCTATTTTGTTTCGGTTTCCCGGCTTGCCCCTGGTCGCATAGCTTGCCCTGTGCGGCATTCGTTCCGTTCCCTGTGGCCACGTCTGATGGAAGCGAAGCGATGGAGGAGCAGGCTCCGAGCATGGTGCCGGAGTTTCCCCCATGACCGCAGCCTGCAGCTGTAGGTAGTTTAGCTCTCCACCAATTCCCGCAGCCTTCCATCCGCGCTTACCGGATTCTCCTCTGGGAGGATAACGAGCTGCGACTCTGTCAGCCTGGATGCATCCGCAAGAGAATATCCGTCATACCTGAGTGGACCAGACGCACTCAAGAAACGTGGCACATAGACGACTGGTGCGACTCGTTATCCCGATTGCGTACCTGCAGTTCGTATTGTCCCCGAGCCAACCTATCCTGGGGTCGTGCCTGCCGTGTCCCTTGCTTACACGAGCTGCCTGCCCTCCTCTGTTGCGCGTCAAAGATAAGACAACTTGCCCGCCTGCGCACTCCACGGCGGGAATTTGCGCTGTCCTGGGTCGATCCGTAATCGATTTCAGTTTCCATGGAAGTTGAATTGAGTCTATTGCGCCCACCTCGCGAGCTGAGGGATCCCTAGGGCGACGGCTGGTCATCTCCCTCCCCCCAATCCAGCGAGCACGTCCCTCGACCAAATCGCCAAATCGTGCAGGCTTCTGGTCGCCGTGGTGAGTTTGCACATTGCATATTTTTGTTCCTACAATGGCTGAATGCTGATAGCCCTCGACGAGACCTCAGCGCCCTCTTTTTCCTTGTGTTTCGTTAGTTGCTGCACCTTCTGCAACCTTCCGAGACATGTCCTGTCGCTTTTACACTTCATATAATATCCTCTTCTCGTGTCTGAAGCATTCTAGCTGGCCTTGAATCCGGGCGCATACTTCCTCCCTAGTCTTGGGACGTGGCAAGAAGAATCGAGAAGAACAAAGCAACCGTCCTTTCGACCATCGCTGAACCCGAGAGGGCTTGGGCCAGACTCGTGGGCTTTTTCCGCCACAGGGCAAACACTCTTTGTGGCCACGCAAAAAGTCAGACTCGCCTGGCTGTAGCGTCGGAGACGTGGCAAAAGCCCCAACTCCCTACCTAGCGCGAAGGACACCGACAGCTCACCTCTCGCCAAGCTATCCTGATCTCTCGAGTTCGTGGTGCGTTGAGAAATCGCATGATTGAAAGGCGCAATCACTCGAGTCTATCCTGTAGGTCCCTTCCCATTTCTATTCCCTGTACCCTAATCTGGGTTGGTGGATTCATGTCTGCTTTTTGGGCTCATTTAATTTCACCTTGCTGTTTCCAACCAACCCACCCAATATTTCTCTCCTTGCCCCCTGTGTCCTTCCATTCCTCATTCCTGCTTCCGACCTTTCCTCTTCTCCTTTTCCTTCCTGCTTGCGGGGCAACCGTCTTCTTCCCGTCGCCCTGGGGAAGCCGCGGCCTGACAGATTTAGCCTGCTAGCTTGTCCTGGTCAGTCAACCGGGCCAGCATTCCAATCTGCGCGCGGCGTGTCTCACACAACACCAAAGACTGGCTGGTCCCACCAGCCACAAGGGACAAGCGACTCTAGCCGATACCTAGTCTACACGTTTGCGACCTCATTTCGCAATCTAGATTCCATCGTGTGGAGAGTCCCGTCGCCCTTGCCCCAGCCTCCGTCGGCCGCGGTCCAGACCTACCACGGCGTCGTGCTCTTCGTCCTTATCTTTAGCATCCCCTGCTCCTCGTTTTCGTTCCAAATCTGGAGGCACGCCGAACCATCTACTTGAGTACAAAATAATCCGCATCCACGACGCCCAAGCGAAAGTCTGCCGTCCAGCCTGCGCAGATTGGAACCACTATCCAAACCTCCCCTGCCTGTATGCCACTTTTAGTGTTCCCGATACCTTTTCCAGTCTATTGTGTCCTTTTTTCGAATTCATTTGGATGCGTGGTTAACACGGAATTTAGGCATTCGTTTCCGGAGCGTGACACCCTACCGCTTTGATCCGCACTTTCGTCTCCCTAGACTGTCAAGGCGTGGATTCCTTCGTACCACCAACCATCGAGAGGATGCCGCTACTGCGGCAGCCGTCAATAACGGGCGGTGGCTATACGCCCGCCGTGCCATCGCCTCTCAACCCGGCAATTTGCGATTCCATACAGCCAAAGCAGCAGTCTCACCGCCGACGCAGGATAAGAATCGCTGGCAAGACTGGGTTCAAGCAAAGCCCTACTGAGATGCTATTGCGGTACAAAGCCGCCGTAGCCTTCCAAGATCACTCCGCCGCCATCGAGAGGACGAGGGAGCTCGAAGTGCGACAAGATCTGGACAGCGAATGCTCTGACGCTGGTGACCTTGGTGTACGAGGCTCCAGCGATCTCTACAGCAGCAAGAGCGACAAACCAGAAGCAGCAAGACTACCCACCAACGGGGGACGTCAAGATAGATCGCGAAGTGGCCAATGCTCAGCAAGATATGCCCCGGTTCCGAGGGATTCCGACGTCGCAGACCTCGTCCTGAGGGTGGTTACATCAGGGCCCAAGTGTCGGGACCCAGGCTCGAATCTACAGAAAGGCGATGACAAAACCACCTGCACCACCACGAGCAGCAGCAACAAAACTCCTGCCTTAAAACCGACAGGAGCCGCTCTAGACGATGGCAAGGGGCAGACAGACGTTGTCAGCGAGTTCCTAGTTGACTTGTCTGGGGTTACCATCGACACCCTGACGACGGCGGTGTTTATGGAGCAGCGCCGGACGTTCCTCGCCTGGGTGACACCAGGCCGTATGTTTTCGCTCCTTGCCCTTATATCAATTCTTTTTGTCCTGGTCTTCATCCGCCTACAGGCGCTGAGCGCAAGGTACCTCACGCCATGAGACGGGGTTAAGCGCGACCACGAAAGCGACCAACAGCACCGAAGCGGCATTTGCGAACGATAATGTGGGAGTCGAACTAGGGGGAAGGAGTCAAAGCGTGCGTGTATCACCATCTTGAAAGGGTCCAATTTGATGGGCATGGGCGTTCAAGGGCATCTGAACATGGCAGTTCAGGGAGTTCGGTGTTTTTTTTAATTATCAATGTCAATAAATCCTAGGTGGATTCTGTTGGAGGCAGTCTACACCCTCCCAAACACAGGGTGGTGGATAGGATGAGAAGAGCTTTCCGAGGGGGGTTGCGGAACACCTTCAGGGTTCCTCCTTCACAGGCTATTAGTTTTCCAGTTCATACTAAAACACCTCATTAAACAAGAGTGCTCGTACATCGTCATGTAGTATCATCAACAAAGTGGAAACCCGAGTTTTTATCACCCCAGCGCGTGGTTTCATGAGATGCCAGGCCCTCCCGGATATGGGAAGACAGCGAGGAACTAGTGCAGAAACAGAACCGCAAGGGGGAAAATGACATAGCATTGCCTCATTGCTGTTTCTTAACCTTGGACTCGGCGCTAGCATTCGTAGATTCCGATGCAGCTGAAGAGGTGGAGTTTGAGCCGGGACTGGCCGGGGTTGCTGTGTTGTCGGCCACTGATGCTGCATCCTTCTCGCCATTATGTGATCGGATGGCTGTCTCGACCTGCCATATGGCCCGCTCGAGCTCAACCTCGAGCTGGGGCAGGTCGAGGGCCTCGGTCATGCGCCGGCCGTTGTCCTGCGAGAGGAGCATGGTCTCGCCCTCGGGATGCAAGGGCGCGGCGTCGGGGTTGGGGTGGTTGATCTTCCCGGCGGCCAAGATTGGGGGTTCCTCGGTGGTGGGCTCGGGAGCCGCGGGTAGGGGGTGTTTCTGAGTCGCGTAGACCTGGTCCAGGACTGGCGACGGGGTCAAAGTGAACATGTTGTTCTTCAGTAGGAGCTGGATGTGGCGCCCGCCTGCGAGAGCCCTCCAGTGCGACCAGGCGCGGTACATGAGGTAGAAGAATGGTAGGTTGGGTATACTATCGCATACGTTACGCCGTCAGTAGGATTCAGACAGCGCTACATGGCCGCCTTGTTATCTCGTCGGCGAGCTCGCGAAGGCAGGGTAAAACTTACATGGGAACCAGAGCAACGGGGATGGTGAAAGGCATGCCCACAAAACACCATATCAGGCGTTTCCTGTGCAGCCCCTCGCGCTCCGTGCTTATGGTGTGCAGAATTCCCGACACCTGGTGTGGCTGGACGAGGGTGCGCGGGTAGACGACCTCGGCCTTGGCGGACTTGTTCCCGTTGGACTTGTCCCCACCCGCCGCCGCCGCCGCCGCCGCCTCGACGCTACGCCGGACGGCCGCGCTGAGCGGCTGCACCGACTTTAGGCCCCATTCCTCGAAGGGGATCCGACGGAAGGCGTAGTTGCCGTATTCGACCACCTTGCGTTGCCAGCCGCCATCCTTCTTCTCCCAGCCGGCCCAGAGGCGCGCGGCCTTGTCCTGGACCTTGTCCATCACCGTCCGCTTCTCGTTCACGGCCGGCGCGCGCTTGCAGTACAGCAGCGTGCGCCGCGTGGAGACGGGCAGGAGATAGAGACGCATGTCGGCCTCCTTTTCTTATTCTTCGAGGACGCGGTATTTTGTTGTCGTTGGTATATTCGAATCCAGTAGCGGAGGGGAATGAAAGCCGCAGCGGACCGGCGCAAAGGAGCAGTTGCGTGGGTAGTTTTCTGCTCTTGATTTTTTCCCCCTTCTTCCTTCCTTTTAGTCTCGGGACCCCGAGTGGTATAGCCACCTACTGCAATGGGTCTCAACAATTCATGCGCAGCCAGGAGTTCACCGACGCGCGTCGAGAGTAGAGGCCTCCATCGTTGTCGTCGACTCGGGGGCAAATTTGATTCAATACTGGGGGAGTGAGTGGGCTAACCCGTCGTGAAAAATGTGGGATGTCGAGATGGACTGCTCGAATCGGGGGCTCCAGCCCTTACACACGGGCGAAGCTCTCGAAGCTGGCACAAGGTCTAGGCTCGCAAAATCGAGGCAGTGTAGTCTCACCGTACAGAGGCTAGTCGGCAGCAGACTCAACTACGTCGTCGCGGGACAAAGGTGACGGCGTGTTTTGCCGTGGTAGGTTGTTTCTGGAGCTGCATCCTAGCTCATACAGTGCCCGCCTAGCATGCCCCGCAAATCCTGGAATTTCTTTCTCTGTCACACAGTCATGACGACATGCGCCCAAAATCGTGGGTCCGGGTGGCCTCCAGCCATGGACCTTCTGGCAACCGGACCCAAGCATCGATGTGGTTGCGTGTTAGCGAGGTACCAGGCCCAAGGAAGCTCGAGCTCCCCTAATTGGTTTCGAAGCTACGGAGCTGTGCTGATTTAGCGTCCATGTGGTCAAGCTTCGGGGGAGCACCGAGTACTCGCTATCGAAGACAAGCCAGAGGTAATCTTGTCCATAGCGACTAGGGGCACCAAACAGCAAGGTAGCATGCTGCAGGCACGGACAACCTGGCCGGCAGGTTGATCGACTTGGTTTTAAGCTTACTGAGGCGAGAGGTCCAAGAGCGCAGGCATCGCTGGGAAATGGCGATTGATTGTTCCGTGCATTGCGAGAATATCGCTCTGGTTTTGTGAGGACGCTGATGGAATGCCTCACATCGAGGCCTGAGAAGACGGGCGAAAGTGGGGAATGCGCGCGCTCACGAGTGACACCGAACGAAGCGCGCCTTACTCTTGGGTCGGCCCACCAGCGCAACACGGATGGGGCCCAATTCGTGGTTCCAGCCGGGCGCAGCTACACCACCCCAATTGACTGCGGGCGGACCAGCCAGGGCCGCACGCGCTATCAAGAGCTGGTCAGCCAGCAAGCTTTCTCGCGCCGCTTACCCAAACTCTTGCCCTCCTGCACCTCTCGCCCAGTCGAACGAGGGCTATGGTGTATCGCCAGCCACTGCCACCTATCGTCGCCCACCTCTCCTGGTGCAACAACCAAAATGAGCGACGGATGTATTGCCACCTAGGTAGCCCGGCGAATCTGGACGGCCGCAATCATCCACCCAGCCTTCTTTCGCCGCTTCTGCTTGCCGTCCTGCGCATTCCAGCGCCGCCTCAAGCCTAGGGACAGCCATCCCGCGTCCGGCACCTCCCATTCCAGGAGGAATTCGACTCGCCCGAACAATGGTCGGGGCCAGGCAGATCAGGACGCTGCCTCGTGAGTTTCCAGCCTGCCATTCATTGCGACGCTGCGCATCCCGCTGACGGCCCGTGACTCGACGACGCAGCATGGATTGAATCGTACAGCCCCAGGCTCGGCGCCGTCCAGTCGGCGGAGCACCTGAGCCCTCTCGAGCCGCAACTCCCGCCCACTTTGGTCCTCCCCCAGCACAACAGTCTTCCCGCCGAACCCAAGCGGCCCGCGCACAGCAGCGGCAGCAGCACCAACAACCGCGGTGCCAGCCGTGCCGGCAGCCAAAAGAAGCCACAGCAGGCCGACGCCCCAGGGCAGCCTGTGGACGGTTATGCCGACTCGTCGCAGGAGCGCCTTCAACCCCCGCTCAAGAACCGCCGCCCGCGCAACCTGCAGCAATTCTTCACCGGCAAGGGCCCCAGCCGCTGGGATCACCTTCGATCCGCCGACCCCGTCATCGTTCCCAACAGGGCTCTCGAGTCGCAGCAGTCCTGGCGCGACTTTATCGCCGCCTCCCACTACGGCGGCAACCACCGCGGCCCTCACGAGCGTTCCGAGGTCGTAGACGATGCCTTTTTCGACCGTCTACAGCCGGGCCTGAACGACCCTGTGCGCCTGCCCTCGGCTGGCGGGTCCGGCGTCGGCGCCGCGGGCGTTGGGATCAGCAAGCGGGCTTCGGCTAAGGCTCGCGCCCGCGCCGCCACACCTTTCCTCGAACGCCTCCTGTTGATTCCCGTCCGCCATCCGTTAGGCCCTCTTTTCTCCCGCTTGATCGTGCTCTCGACCTCTATCGTTGCCCTGGCCCTCTCTGCCACCATCGTCCAGGAAGCGAGACGGGGCGCCGGGGCTGCAGACGGTGGCATCGAAGAACGTGGCCAGGCCATATTTGCCATTGCCGTCGACTCGGTAGCCATCCCTTACATTGGCTACATTACTTGGGACGACCATATGGGCAAACCCCTGGGTCTGCGACTGGCCAAGGAGCGTGTGAAGCTCATCCTAATGGACCTCTTCTTTATCATGTTCAAAGCCGCCAGCACGGGCCTAGCGTTCGAGACGCTGATATACTCTAGGGTTCATACCACTTTCGGTCTGTTACGCGCCCTCGCTGCCTTTGAACTAATCGGGCTAGTTTCGTGGGCAACGACTCTGATTGCCAACGTTTTCAGAGTCGTGGAGCGCCTCGGTGGCTGATGATCACTTTCCCCCCTCCGCCTTTCCCCCCTGTTCGTTCGCCGCTACCTAATGACCCGCCGGACCCTCACTACTAATAGCGGTGCATCGCCCAAGAATTTGCCCCAGATACTGGATACAAACACCAACCAGATACCCAAAGACACGTGTCTGTGTGCACTGTTATTCCGTTGCTTTGTCATGATTTATTTTCTTAATGTTTTCACTCATTTGGAGGTCCCTTCCGTCGCTTGTGGGCAGCGCGAAATGTAGGAGTATGGATTTCCATGGTCGAAACGAAAGCCCATTTGACACCGGGATAAGGTGTTCTCAAGAAGAAAGAAGTGGACAAACGAAGCTAAGAGTTGGAAGAGTCGGGACGACTCCTTTGACAGGGAACAGTATCTCTAGGCGATTGGATGTCTAGTCGGGAGTAGCTTTAGACACGAGTGGCAACGCTGTTGCAATCTAGGCGACGTAGCCGCCAGTTACTTGGTATGAATACAAGCGCTGCCCCCTTACAGTGTTGCATCTACAAGTGCGCCAGGCGTGGAATTCTCAACCATGGTTCAACTACGATAAAAACCACCTGGATGCGGAGCGAGACAGATCCGTTCCTAACCAGTCATCTCGACGTCGTCGTCCGCATCGTTACCACCGCCCTTGCGGCCTGCCTGCCTCATCTCCAGTTCCAGTTGGGTACTGGGGTCGTCATCGGAGAGGATGCTGGCACGGTGGCCGTTGGCGCCGCCGCCGCCGGAAGACGAGGGCGAGGCGGCGGCAGCACCACCCTTGACGGATGCGCCATTGCTCTGGCGGTGGGCAGCCCCTTTGCCGTTGGCACTGGAGGACTTTTGGCGCTTGCCGTTGGGCGCCGGGGCGGCCAGCTGCGAGTCCCCCTCGCCCGTGTTCTCTCCGTCATCGCTGGGCCTCTCGCCCCTGAGCTTGGCCTGGGTCGCCGCGGCCTGCTCCCTGATCTGCTTGAAGGGCAGCGTCTTGGGCACCATGTCTTGCAGGAACTCTAGGTTCTCCTGGTGCTGGACGGCGTTGGCTGCGGTGACGGCACGCACGAGCTCGCGGTTAGCATTTCACCGAGTGCCAGCCAGAGGCTTTCGAAGTCAGGCCTGGGCTCAAGAGGGCTTACACAAGTCCTTGTACTGAACGTTTCGCCTGGGCTTGCGGTCCATCTTGGCCATATTGTGGGCCTCGCCCGCAAGGTGCTGGATGAACATCTCTGTGGCGAGCGTTATGATGAAGGCTGCATTGTTGGAGCACACATTGATATCCGGGTCGAGGGCTACAATCTTCTTCACCCTCGTCACTGGAAGACAAGTGCCCAGTTAGAGATGTCACATGACAGATACTGATAAACGCAAGACGAGCTTACATGGGAGCTGAGTCTGGCCAGTGGCCTCTCTCCGAGGAGGGATTGCCGTTGTGTTGTAAGGCATGGGGGAGGGAGGACAAGGACTACGGTTCCTTGGTCGGTGTTTGATCACAGCGATAAATGAACCGACAGGCGGTTGTATTGACAGTGGTATTGAAATAGGTGGGTGATCTTGAACAACGGTATCAGGGCGTGAGAATGGGCTTGTCAAATGCAGGGCCCGTCACGCGTCGAAGCTCCCTCTTTGTTACTTGACGCGATACCAAACCTAGCGATTTGACCTATTGCGGGTGTTGGACCCACTGTTTACCCGCCCGCACTGGTACATGCCCGGATACTTAGGACGTTGCACATCGCCTTGCTCGCCTGCTCGCCGGAGCCTTGAGAGGCTGGAGGTTTGGGAGCCTTTAGTGATGCTACAAATATGGCAAAATATTATGGGAGCCTATATTTTCCCAGAGGTTTTGCACCATGTTCCATCTGACTGCGTTGATTCCTGGACTGAGTGCAATACGCAAAAACCCCCGTCTCCCCCACTAAGCTTTATGCCAAGCAGAGACGTGTAGCACCCGTCGGATCAGAAGCGGAGCCCTCAGGCCTTACGTAACCGCATTCGGCTGACCGCGCACGTCAGTCGATCGTCAAAGTGGCTGCAGGAGAATTCGGGATTGCCAGCTTTGGATTGACATGGCCAGGAGCTTCGTCGAACCCAAGCCAGGAAGATATTGGGCCATCTGATAATCGAGAGTGCAGAAAGCAGACACAGCGGTCTCACCCCCTTTGAGGAGCGCATCGCCTGGGCCCTCCGTCTCGTACCGGTCGCAGTCGGCAGCTCGCCATGTTTGCGCGGCGCATATCATGAACTCCAGAACATCCTCCTACTCCTCCCAGCAGCCATCACGCCGCCCGAATCTCACCAACCGCCTCTCGACCGCCTTCTCCAGCGCTGAGAGGGGTGAGCTCTCCGACGAGCCGGGCGTCACCGCAGAGCACCAGATCGAGGAGGAGATCGCGGAGATTAAAAGATATGAGGTGCGAACTGTCCCTGCCTTGCCGCACCTGTATAACGAACTGGGCAACTTGGACGCTGACGATGCATGCAAACGCTACAGGACTTTACAACAATAGGTACAATCATGCGCCCGCGCTGCGATGGCCTCACTCAGGAGTATAGCATGCCGGTGTCGCCCGGCACCAGATTCCCCGGCTGACCTTGGAACCCTCATCGGACGCAGATTGGGTGCAGGATGCGGCGCGCGAGCAGCTTCGCAGGAACGCGCGGCGGCGGCGGCGGCAAGCCAACGTCTACGACAACAGCTACGTAGGCTGGAGGAGCTGGGCGGCCGAGTCGTACGAGGCGGCCCAGGGCTGGATCGTCGTCACTATCATTGGCGCCGCCATCGGGCTCAACGCCGCCTTTCTCAACATCGTCACCGAGTGGCTATCCGACATCAGGCTGGGCCACTGCAAGACAGCCTTCTACCTGAACGAGAACTTTTGCTGCTGGGGAGAGGACAACGGTGGGTTCGCCATGGGCGCGGCGCTGCGACCTCAGGGGGGCACTTGGCTGACGGGTTGCGACTTCGGAGAGTAGGGTGTGCGGACTGGCAGCCATGGACTGGCTTCGGGCCCATCAACTACATCATCTACATTCTCTTCGCGGTAAGGCTCCAAGCGCCGTGGCTTCCAATGCTCTACAAGCTACACGACGCACCCCCTACTATCAACCTACGCGCGCTGACCCCGTTAGACCCTGTTCGCGTTCATCGCGGCAACGCTCGTCAAGGCTTTTGCCCCTTATGCGGCCGGCTCTGGTATATCGGAGATCAAATGCATCATCGCGGGGTTTGTGATGAAGGGGTTCCTTGGCTTCTGGACGCTGCTTATCAAGTCGATTTGCCTGCCGCTCGCCATCGGGTCTGGCCTGTCGGTGGGCAAGGAGGGGCCAAGCGTGCACTACGCCGTCTGTACAGGCAACGTCATATCGCGCATGTTCGACAAGTACCGCCGCAATGCATCCAAGACGCGCGAAATCCTCAGCGCCTGCGCCGCCGCCGGTGTGGCCGTTGCCTTTGGAAGCCCCATCGGCGGCGTCCTATTCTCGCTCGAAGAGATGTCGAGCTATTTCCCGCTCAAGACGCTGTGGAGAAGTTATTTTTGCGCCCTCGTCGCCACGGCTGTGCTAGCCGCCATGAACCCGTTCCGCACCGGCCAGCTGGTCATGTTCCAGGTCCATTATGATCGCTCGTGGCACTTTTTCGAGGTTGCCTTCTTCGCCATCATCGGTATCTTCGGCGGCCTCTACGGCGCCTTTGTCATCAAGTGGAATCTGCGCGTGCAGGCATTCCGCAAAAAGTACCTGACCCAGCACGCCGTTCTTGAGGCGACGCTTTTGGCCACGGCCACGGCCATCATATGCTACCCCAACGCCTTCCTCCGCATAGAGATGACGGAGAGCATGGAGATTCTGTTCCTTGAGTGCGAAGGCGCCGAGGACTATCACGGCCTATGCGAGCCCAAGAACCGGGGTTGGAACATCATGTCCTTGATCATCGCGACAGTGCTGCGAGTTTTCTTCGTCATCATCTCGTACGGATGCAAGGTGCCCGCAGGCATCTTTGTGCCGTCCATGGCCATCGGCGCGTCTTTTGGCCGAGCGGTGGGAACCGTGGTGCAGGCGCTTCAGGAGGCGTACCCGGGCAGTGTCTTTTTCTCGTCATGCCAGCCAGATGTGCCGTGCATAACCCCCGGGACGTACGCGTTTCTGGGTGCTGCGGCGGCTCTGAGCGGCATCATGCACATCACCGTATCGGTCGTGGTCATCATGTTCGAGCTCACGGGTGCGCTCAACTACATCCTCCCGACCATGATCGTGGTCGGCATCACAAAGGCGGTCAGCGAGGTGTGTGGCAAGGGCGGCATCGCGGACCGCATGATCTGGTTCAGCGGCTTTCCTTTCCTAGACAGCAAGGAGGAACACAACTTCGGGGTACCCGTTTCGGCTGTCATGACGCCCGACGTGGACGCTATTCCCGTGTCAGGCATGACCATGGAGGCGGTCGAACGCCTTCTCGACAAGGACAACTACCAGGGCTTCCCGGTCGTTGATGACGATGTCAGGGGCGACGACAGCGCCAGCATAGCCGACACGCTGGCCGACGGTATCGGCACCGGCGCTGGCCAGGAAGGCTCTCGCCCTGGACGCATCCTCGTCGGGTTCATTGGGCGAACGGAGCTGCGATATGCGGTTGACAGGTTCAAGCGCGAAAACCATGTCAGGCCTTCAGCCAGGTGTACATTTTTGCCGCCTACAAGGCGCGCCTCGGCGACGCCGATAACGCCCACCATGGCACTCGGCGACGTCCCCTTAGACGGCCTGGGTGCTAGTGTCGGCGGTGGTGACCCCAGCAGCTCGGTTAACTTTTCAAGGTATGTCGACTCGACACCGGTGACAGTGCACCCGCGTTTGCCACTGGAGACGGTCATGGAACTCTTCCGTAAGATCGGCCCGCGGGTAATCCTGATCGAGTACCGCGGCCAGCTGTTGGGCCTCGTCACAGTCAAGGACTGCCTCAAGTACCAGTTCAAGGCCGAGGCGGCCGAGAGCGGCCACGTCAGTAGCAACTCTCGTGGCGACGACAAACAGGAACGCCTCTGGTTCCTCCTCAGGGGTGCGGTATGGTGGGTGGGCGACAAGGTATCGCTCGCTTCTGGAGGGCGCATCCGGCTAAGTGGGAGCTTCGACGAGCCTCGGTGCGCAAGGGGACAGGGCGACAGGGTCGGGGACGACCGTGACCATGAAGGCAGTGGACAGATCCTGGATGGCACCGAAGATGTCGGGCACGAGGAAGGGGTAGAGCTGACGAGTAGATGAGGCTGTAGTTGTGTTGGGTGTAACGATATTGGTTTGGGTACAATTCTCGTGCGGTTACGTCTTTGGACTGCCCATGCATTCGGAATGGGTTATATAGAAGTATATCCGTTGATTTCAATGACATTTCCTCCATATGTGCTGTGTGCGTAAAGTTCAAGCATCCTCACACCCTGAGACGAAAAAAAGGTGACAAGAAATACAAGACTAGGTTTCACCCATAACGGGACCGCGTACCAGACGTTGGACTCGGACGCCGCTTCAAGTCCTCGGCCTTCAATGATGACCGCTTGGGGATCGGCTCCTCCGGGTTTCGTACACATAAACCGGCGCCGGAGCTCTTGTCTCGACCATGACGGGCCAGCCAGACGACGACCGACGCCTGCTGTGGTGCCGGGGTCCGGCGCTATGGCTATGGTGTCTGTGTCCGTCGTGGTGACGCCGATGATGTTGGTGGTGGCGGTGGTGGTAGTCGTCCTCCGGGTACACCGAGTAAGAGGAATGCCTGGACCGGGACCGGGGCCGACTGCCGCTGCGGCCGACGCGCTGCTGGGGCGGAGAGCCCAGCCTGTTGGCGGCGCAGGAACGGACGATCCAGCTGTGCGGGTACGCGACGGGGATAACGTTAGAGGACGGGATCAGGGGGTGACAGGGTGTGACCGGGGTTTCTGGGTCTTGCTGTTGAGTGTTTCTGGGCGGGTGAGGGCCGAGGACAGCTACTAACATGACGAGCAGAACGCCGACGATGGACCCGATGACGATGCCGGCTATAGCGCCCGGGTCGAGGCCCTGGCGGTCGTCCGGCGCCGTGGTGACGACCTGGCGGCGCAGCAGAGGCGCCGTTGCTATTCTCGGCGAGATGGGGGACATTGCCTTGGCTAGAATGGGTGTTGCGATATGGTTGTGCCACCCGTTGTGCTTGGCTTCACTTGTGCGGCTCCCAGAAACGCGAGTATCGCGCCTGTTTTCAGCCGATGCTGCATTTATATAACCTTGATATCCCTGAGCCTCTTGCCTGGGCACCTGAATACCGACTCCAGCAAGTCAGGGGCGCCTGATCTAGAGGGCCATGGCAAGTTCATCAACTCCTAAGCGATCTTCGGAGTCGTGAGATCATCGTGCCGCCGCTCGCAGCCATCTTTTGCTCCGGCACCTCGCCAGCCTCTCAAATATCAGCATCATAAATGCGTCGGCTGTGAGTGCATGCTAATTGGGGTTGGGCTTTCTGCAGGGCACGCCAAGACGGTCATCATGATGATGCAGGCGGCACGTCGTTACAAAAGGTGCGGAGAGGGTTGGGACGCCCGCATCCAGGAATGGCAGTGGGGGTGTCGATCCATCGTTCATCTCCAGCCTCACCAAAAGGAATGGGTGTCTGGATGCCCAAGAGGGTGATCAAGAATTGAGGCCAACCTTTCACGATGCCCAACCAAAATTCGGCGGGCCATTACCCAAGCATATCGGGTAAGTTTCCTTTACTGAGAGGTCTTGTGGTCCATCCATATTATCTTTATGCCTTCTGAATCTCCATCCCCTTCCTCCCTCCATCTGAATTTCCCCCTTATCCCTAATATTTGCGCTAGTTCTTCTACAACCACCCCCCGTCAGCAGTCCACAGAACACAGTTATGACTTTCGGCAACGTGCCCAGTTAACACTAGCAAATACCAGATACATAAGGGTAGCAGTCATGTACGCCAGATTATGGCTTCAAGCCGCAGTATTTTTTACCTGTCCCGGACAGGGCCCATGAATGCCAGGTTCGAGGCACAGTAGCAAAAATGTATAATGCTTTATCACACCGAACTCCCCTCATTACAAACACCGGTTCACCCAGCAGCACGAGAATGAAATTCACATGCCACTTCCCCTCCGCATCTCTTCCCCTTTATCTCCCGACCTCAATCAATATTACCACGCCAACAGCCTCTGAAAAGACCACTACATCTCGGCAAACAAAACAGCCCTACATCATCGAGCGCCGCCTCGGGTCCTGGCTCGCCCTCCTTTCCAGCTCATCCCTGGCGCGCTCTTCCCACTGTGCGGCGGGCGGGAACGAGCATCGTCGAGAGTCGTTAGTAGCGGTTCCGGGCTCGGGCGGGGTCACGTATCCGGCCGACGACGGGGTCGGCGGGGAAAGGGCCGACGAGGCGGGGCCGTCGCTGTAGGTCGTCGGCGCGCGGAAGAGCAGGGGGGACGGGTGCTCCCGCCCCTCGCCCTCGCCGTCTTCGTCGCTGTCGCCGGCGCCGGCGCCGGCGGGGACGTCGTACTCGTCGCGCGGGGCTATGGCCGCGGTGGCGGCGGCGACCACGACGGAGCGCCTGGCGACGACGGCCGCGTCCGCATCAGCCGCCGCCAGGGCCGCCGCCGCCGCCACAGCTGCCGCCACGATGCCCTCCCCGTCGGACCCGCTGGACCCGCCGCCGGGGGTCGTGGCGGTGGCCTTGTCCGTCGTCGTCGTCCTCGGCGTCTCGGGGAAGTTGGGTCCGGTGAGGGCCTCGATAAAAGAGCCACGTACCTCCTTTTCGCGGTCGCGGGCCGTCGGCGGCCTGGTGCCCCTGGCGCTGTCGGCCATGGTCAGGGCGTCCCCCTGCAGCTCGAAGAGCCCCTCGAGCGCCTGCTGCTGCTCCCGCCGCTGCTTGTCCTCCATCTCGGCCGGCCGCTGCTTGTCGCCGCTCCCGATGCTCCTGCCCGCCGCCTCCAGGGCCGCCACCGCGGGCCCATTTTCTCCGTCTGCGCTCCCGTGCCTCAGCACGGCCCGCGAGTAGTCCCCGGGCCCGGCGCTACCGTCGGGCACGTGGAAGCGCCGGTCGAAGCGGAAGACGGCGTACGTCACGACGACGACGAGCTCGATGCCGTAGTTGAAGGCGTAAAAGGGCCCGCGGCCGTGGAACCAGGCCGGCTGGCTGAGCGGCCGCAGGTCGAAGGCGACGCCCGTGCGGAACCCGGCGCCCAGGGCCAGCAGCAGCGACGTGCCAATGACGAGCGCGGCCTGGGTCCTAGCCGAGCCCTGGCCGAAGCGCTCGGGGGCCGGCCTGCCACCCTTCGGTCGGCGAGCGGACAAGGCCGCAGCGGCGACGATCGGGGCGGGCGCCAAGGCGAGCACGGCGAGGGCGGTGGAGGCGACGAGCTGGACGACGCGGTCGGCGGCGCGGGCGGCCGGGTCCGGGGTGAAGAAGGAGTGGACGGTGGCGGCGACGACCATGACGAGCGTAGCGCCAACACCGACGAAGACGAGGCGGAAGGCCCACGTTACGGCCGGCCGCCAGCCGAGGTCGGGCCTGCGGGCGCGCACGAGGCGCTGGGCCAGGAGCAGGTTGACAAGGTAGAGCAGCAGCACGCCCGCGGCGAGCAGAACCGTGGCGGCGACGCCGATGCGCGAGTCAGCCGGCCGCGCGGCCGACGCGATCCGGGTCGAGAGCGCGGCGGTGCGGGCCAGGCAGAAGGCGAGGAGGAGGGCCGAGAAGACGAACTTGTGGCCGCGGGACCTGTTGCGCGCGAACATGACGAGGTGGGACGCCCCGGCCACGAGGAAGAGGCCGATGAGGACCGCGCAGATGGGCGTGTCGACCGCCATGGTCACCCGCCCGCCCGGCGTCGCCACCAGTGGGAGGTATGGCGGTCCCGGGGGCGGCATCTGTTTTCCACGGGTCGCGAATTAGCAGTATCCCCCCGCGTGGAGGAGGTAGGGAGCAGGACAACTAACCGGCTGGCCTTCGTCGTCTCTGAGGGGAGGATCCATCTTGACAGCGTAGTGGTGTATGTAGAGTTCTATATCTCCTCGTGTGTGAGAGGCTCTCCTCGGGGCTCGACACACACCTCCTCCACCAGCAACGACAACAGCAACGGGTCGGATCCCCAAGAGCGAGTCCTTGTGAGACAGCGCGCGCTTGGCAGTTCTCCCTGCTTTGGGCAAAACCCTAAACTGTGGCTATATGTGGAAGAGATCAAGGTAGGCTCAGCCGAAAGGGGAAGAGGGAAGGTAGGGAACCTTACGGCAATGGCCCTGGGCCGGATCCCGGAGTTGATCGATCTGCAGGATTGAAGAGCAGCCCACGTAAGTTGGGTACGTAAGCGAGATAGACAGGGCTCTTTGATTTTTGGTATCTGAATTCTTTCGGGTGGTGATGAGATGACAATGGCAGTGCCGGCGAACGGACAGGGCAGTTGGGCTTGGACTGGGGACATCGGCCTTGCGTGTCGCCAATCTGCATTCGCAGGCAGGCCACCTACCCAGATATCTAAGTACCTCCTAGACCGCTTCTTTCAAGCAGTTGAAAAGTGGTTTTAGAAGCGGAAACACTTTATTGGGCTCATGTGTCTGTCTATCAGGTATCTGCTTCCTTACTGTCGACCCTCGCGGTCTCTCTCGCTCCCTCGGCCTCAACAAGTCGAGAGGTGCGGTTTGAGACGAGACGGTGAGAGCAACGGCATCTCAATTTCCTCGTATCCGTCCTCGCTTTTTTTTTGTCCTTCTTCCCTTTTTCCTCCAGCTGCCAAGCATACGCGGCGCGCGCAGGGGCCGACCGAGCCTATCGGAGACGTGCTTCTCACCGATGACGAACCGAAGGCCGAAGCGCCCAATATTTCACATGAGAGCAAAGAGGCCCTGTGGCGCCTGCTCGGCGCCTGCTTTTGTATCTTGATTTGCAGATCTCTGGTGTGCGAGCAGGACAAGACTGCAGCCAATATGCTGGGCCTGAGCTAGCTATCGGTGCTTGCAAGGGCCGAGTGCCCGACCTGACACTATCCGAGGAGTCGCTTGTCCTTCTAGCGGCAAGCCAGTCACCGTGACAGCACGCCTTCTCCCAAACTTGGTGGTCATATTGGTCAGGTTAGAGGCTCTGCCGACGCAACTGCATTTTGATTGTCCGTATCTGTCACGGTCCGGGATAGGTACGACCTCAGTCTCCACAGAGATATCTCAAGATGCCTGCTATAAATCGACATGCAAGCGGCTGCTCTCGCTTCTCTCACTTGGAACTGTAATTCCACAATTCGAGACACGTCAATCTCTCGATGGCAGACAGGTGTAGTGTAGATATGTAACCAACCCCGGATCTGACACAAGGATGTCTGTCTTTCTCCCCGCATGGCCTGGACAATATTCAAAGGGCCAATGGGGATGTGTTTCGCTACCCCGGGTTTCAGTCCGGACACCTCGTTTTACATGGCAAGAGTCTTGATGGTAAAAGCGGGCGATAGTGCTGTTTTTGGAAATCCGCCCGCTTGTCCGGACGTGATGCACCTCGTGACAGACAATTTGTAGCTAAGGGTTATGTGGTGTGTTGTTGCTATTCGAAGCGGTGGTCGCAGAACGAACACATGCGTCCTAGAATAACCTGGGGGCCGCCAGGAACCGTCCGGGACTCCGTGGATGCCGAGGAAGCCCCCTCGTCCATATTTAGGACACGGTACGGTAAACGCCTGGACCGGGCAGCTCCTGCACCGGGCTTCGGTATGTGGCGTGTCGCTTCCGGGCGCTTAACAGAGCCATTCGGATGGCCCATGCTCCCGAGCGTGCTTGGAGCAGAGGGAGATGGCGGATTGGCTCGTCATTGGACGGAAAGTGGTCTACTCCTCACGACAGCGCAACGCAACGCAACGTAATCGCTAGGAATAGAACCCCAAGGAGCGCGAAGTAACATGGGCTTACTTGCCGCGCAAGAAGCGCGATAAGAAAACGGGTCAAGGTTTTTGAACAAAAGTTGGGATCGTGCTTGACTGCCAGGGTGTTTCGTCCCAACCAGCTGATTGGCGGCAGGGTTCCGTGGTATTGGTGGTGGTTCGCCATCTCCTCCTGGGCTGCAGCCTTGCGACAAGCTTGTTCGGGGAAATCCCCCGCGCATGGCGACGGCCCCCGACGGCGAGACACCTTTTGCCAGGTATGAACGTCACGTAACGTACACAGTAGCCGAGGCGCCGAGCATTTGATTTCTCCTGCAGCCGCGCGACGCTGGCGGCTGCAGCAGAGGGGAGGGCGAGGAGCTGTCGCGCATCTGACATCCATGATCGAACCGCAAATTGCACTCGACTGACAAGGACAGGCCCCCCTCCATCAGCACCCAATCATCCCTCCCTCGCTGCGGATCACGTCTGAAGCCTGCTGCGCTTCCTGCTGGCCTGGTCGGTTTTGTCGCTGGCCCGGCCGGTTTAAATGATATCGTGCAGTCTCATTTCCATGTGCAGCCTGAAGCCCGCCAATGCCATGTGCCCTGAATCGCCTTCCAGCTAGACATGGTGACATGCAAGTATCGAGACATTGAAGTGAAATATGCCGGAGCTTGATAGCGCTTTTTTGGAATTGCTCACTGAACTAGACGTGCTAAATCACAAGAGCCTCGGCTCGCTGTGGGCTCGGTAGCTACCAGTGCGAGCCAAGTCGGCGGGTTGCCCACCACGTGCATGTGGCCGTGTCATATGAAAGGCCAGTGACCATCATACCGTTTTCTGTCATGTTTGTTGTTCTTTCGAATGCCGGTGGAACAAGAAAAATAAAAAGCAAGGTGAGGACCGCCGGTTTTGCTTTTGTTTTTATCGTCGGATTCTCAGTCTAATTTCAATGAGCACGAGGCTAGCGCTGCCACCACCGCTAATTGTGGAGCCGTTGCCGCGCAGAGGCCTTGATTGCGTGCTCTGTAATCTGCCCCACTTCCTTGGGTTTGCTCTGATGTGACTCTTCATAAATGAAGTGATGATGGGTTGAGTTGTGTACTGTGAATTGTTATGCTGCATTGCAGCGGTGATGAAATGCACAACAACAAACAGGAAGCGGGTTGCCACTGCGCAACTTCACATGAAGTGGCTTGTTGCCAAGACCCGGCAGGAGCTTGCACATGCAAGGGCGATCAATGGCAGCGCCGTCGAGCTGGCTAAATGGAAGCTCCAACCGTCTTTGTTGCCATGGAGGGAGGGTGAGATGAAACATAGATTCAGGTCGCGTCGGGGCGCCGACTCTCTTCCGCGGCCCGCCAATTCGCACAGCTTTCACGTTCCAGACTCGGCCAATGGGCAAAAATTCCCCGAATCGCGAGCACAAGGGCTCCCCATCTGCGTGCGCCCAAGCCACCAGCCCGCACTGGCTAGTATACAAAAACACGAGCGAGCAGTGCTTTTTTGTCTTGTTTTGATAAGAAGCTCGCCCGTGCCTGGCTCGGCGTAGTGTGCGTTTGAGCGTGTCAACGGCCAACAGCCGATGAGGAAGCTGGTGCAAGTACTGCGAGCCTGCGCCGCGCCCCCCCAGGTCGCGTTTGGCGGCATGGGGGAGGAGTTGAGCTGAAGAAGCCAGCAGTCCAACTCTGTAACAACCTCCAACTGCTACCAAAACTAGCCGACAGGAGGGCTGGACCCTTGCCATGTTTAAAATTGTGTTATTGCTCGGAGTGGGTTGGGGCCCCCCCTGCGCGGCTGCTTCTGCGCCCAGGCCGGACCCCTGCAAGTTCGAATCGGGGCTATCCTCGCCGTTGTTCTTGGTCGGGACTGAAGTCGACGCAAAACGCGCAGCCCAGGGTCCCAAAGGCGGCCGGGGGTGCAGAGCACGTCGCCCTGAAGCCCCCAGCCGCCACCAAAGCGGCCCACACTCACTAGGTGACCACTTGTCTGTTTTCTGTTTTCGCTTGGGTGAGCATTGACCGTTCACTGTGCCTGGCTTTCATGTTGCTCTCTTTCTGGCTGCCATCGTTCCTGGACTTCGACTCCCGTGCTTCTCTCCCCTTCTTCTCTCTGCGCAGTGGTCGAGTGAACAGCCTCACCAGTCGTCTCCTTCCTTGACGGGTCAGGCAAAGTAGGTTATCCCAAGATCCGACGGTTCTCGTTGGATTCACGGTTACGGCATCGTCCCGTTGTCCTCTCATTTGATTCCCTTTTCGGCCCCCATCCACACTTCTGCTTCTTGTGTCTTAATTTTTGTCCATACCTTTTTTTATTCCCCCGAATAGACGCTCGCTCGTTCCCACACCCAATCTCACACAGCACATACACACGCCTCACACCATCCATACACCACAACCGCCAGTCATTTCCGTCTCTCGGCCAGCATTTCGTCTCGTCTCCCGCTTGAGGTGTGCTCTGTCTGCCTTGTATTATCGCATTGACCCGCAGTCCTGCCAGTCGCTCCCAAGGCGGCCCGTCGATTCACCACCCTCCTCTACCTAGCTTGCGTCCAGCGGCCTGCGTGCATACCGACCGACACTCCCCCTCCTGTGCGACACGCAGACGGGCCCTTCGCCAAGGCTACCGCGCCGCCAATCGGGACATCGAAAGCTGCGCCTTCCTGCGGCCGCCCCATCGCGCCTGCTCCAACTGTTGCCAGTCGTTTGCGATTATATCGCACCCAGACCTGCCACTCGAATTTCCATTGCTGCGGCCCGACCACCGACCTCGACCTCGACCACCGGCTACCCAAGCCTTCACGTCTGGCCGACACTTTTTCGCGTGGTTTTGGGCACCAAGGCCCCAGACTTTGACGGCCACCTAGGCATCTTGGGCCTTTTTTGGGTATTTGAATTCAGCAGTTTGACGGCGACAAGTCACTTGCGACAGCCCCGTTTTAATTCCTGCGCTGCGACGCCCGCGTCCGACACGGCTACCGGCTGTCCGCCCGTCGCACAACGCCCGGCAAGAATATGCGACGTTAGAGAAGGATGAACATCGAGACCCGTTCGCTGCAGTAATACAACAGCGATTGGCCACTCCATAGCGGCCACGCCCGACCGAAGACCACCCGAACAAGCCGAGAAACTCTACGCCGACCTACCGGACCAGCCATTCGCTATGGGATCTAGTCGAGGACGCATAAGGGGCAGGAGAGCTGGTGGCGCCCCTAGCACAAGCGCAATTCTTGTCTCATCACTTCTCTCTTCTGCCCCGGTTGCCATGGCCGCGTGCATTTCGCTCCGTGGTTCGACTGCCTGTCCGGCTTTCCAGTCTGCTTCCATATCCAACGATGATTTTCTCGTTGGTCTTTTGTGAGTCAAACTATCAAGTCTCACAGTGGCAGTCACGGCCGCGCCGAAATACCAGAGCCAGGAGAGCACCATGTCTAACTGGGTTTGTCGCAGTTCTTTTTTGAGATTTGTCGACAGCACCTCGTCTTTCGACACCCAACTGCAGTCATACGTACGCACCAGCTACGTCCAAGAAAAGTAAGCCCTTCGTGCGCTCTAAAGGCGACATGGTTGCCCTTGGTCCCGTTGGTCGCGTCGTTACTGACCCTCTTCTAGGTATCAAACCCTGCTTGGGTGCGGAGGAATCTCTCTCACAAACACAACAGATCACTATGCGCGGTTCACCACTACCGTCATCTGCAATGCGATCGTCCAGAACTCGATCGATCGCTGCAGTCTCTCACCAGAGAACTCTCGTCCTGTTTGTGCCGAGACTTGCGTTAGTCTACCCTGACCCCTGATCGCGATGGCGCGTTTGGCTGACAGTAGTATACAGGCACAATTTGCCCAGAGCGAGGCCTACGTCACGGCCAACACGAATCTCTGCCAAAACCCCAGCAGTAATGCGCAGAGGCAGATAAGAGCTGATTTTACGAACTGCGCTCTGCCTGCCAACGCCTTGTCGAGCAACGCTTGCATCCAAGGCATCGCCAACGAGCCCCAGAACTGTGGTTACTCGGGCAGCACTGTTGGGCTTTGCTCGTACTGTGCATCGGGCGGCATTAACTCGACCGACACCTGCTGCTACTCGTCCGATATCAAGAAGCGATGCGCCGGCGTCGTTCTCCCGTCGATCCCGACCATGTCGTTCCCGACAACAATCCCGACCAGCAGCGCCAGCTCGACGCCAGAACCCGCTGCGGGCGGAAACGGTGGCCTTTCTGGTGGTGCCATTGCCGGGATAGTCATTGGAACAGTTGTGGGCTTTGCCCTCCTTGCCGGCCTGATCTTTCTCTGCGTGCTGCTTCGGCGGCGGCGCCGCGGCGGCAGTCAGAATGGCAGCATACTCAACCAGCCGACCCCGGCTAGGAAAGGGGTCCCGGCGCCCATGTCACAGCCCGCAACTAGCCCTGGCTACGAGGTGCTGCCCGGCGGAAGGATTGCACGCATGTCCGCCCTCGAGGGCCACTCGGGTGACTCGCCCTCGCGCCATGGAGGCCGAGGGGGTTCGGCCATGGGCGGCATGGGCGCAGGCGCAGGCGCAATGGGAGCATACGCCATGGGCCGGTCCAGAGGAGGAGGGGACAACCAGTCATCTTCGGATGACTTTATGGTTGGGGATAGCCCCGGATCTGACCACAGGGGTGGCATCCTTCGGCCGCCCCCGACGACCCTCCGGAGGCACGGCTCCCTCTCGAGCGGTTCCGTCCTTGCAGAGGGAGATCCGCAGTCGCCGACCAGTGGCATGTCATCCCCACCGGGTGTTGCCAGCCAGCAGTCCGAGCAGCTCCCCTTCTTCAAGGATTATTACTCCCAGGATGACATCCACCCCGGGGACCGAGTTGCCGTCCTTTGGGCCTACCAGCCTCGTGCCGCGGACGAGTTCGCGCTGGAGCGTGGCGACATGCTCAAGGTTGTGGGCATCTGGGACGATGGCTGGGCCACTGGTGTCTTGTTGGAGGAGCGTGCCGACGAGTGGGAGGTTAGGCGGCAGTCCCAGCGCGACAGCGGCGTGTCCAACACGTCGGGTCGTGTGCGCGACGTTTCACCCCCTGTCAGCGGCGAAATCAAGGCCTTCCCGCTCGTCTGCGTCTGCATCCCGGAGCACTGGAGGAAGACGATCGAAGGAGACGGTTCAACCGAGACCGGCTCAAGCGCCCACCAGACCCACGGATCGGGATGAGCGCCGGCGAACCTCGGAAGTAACGAAAGTCACGACGAAGCTGCATGTTCTTTGGCTTGGCATTCGACGTTTTGCATTCGACCACGGAGTTCGGCGTTCGATTCAGAGACCCTGGTCTAGCGTGGCCTTGGGGAAAGGCGGCCAGTTCTGCCTCGGGCCTATTATGGAAACCCACGACAGCCAGGGCTCCACGGCACCAACCCGCGCGACATTGTTATCCTCTCTTGTCTTCCTGCACATAGAGATGACCTTTTAGTTGTTGCATTGCTCGCGGCGACACGTTTAATGCCTCTTTGAGCTTGAGATGGCCCACCCTTTTTAATATTTTCCAAACATTCGAGCCGGCTTCCTTCCGGCCTTCCCCACGTTGGTTCGTGCGAGAAGATTTGGATGGATCGACTCTAGTTCTCGTACTACTCAGCCGCACTTTGGGCCCTCCCCTTTCGGTTCGCTTGTTTACTCTATTATACCCGGTCTTTTTGGGCCATCTGGTGTTTTCATATGTAGGGGTCGGGGAGGGCTTCATCTTGCGATTTAATTTTTTATATGTTCGCTTCCATTGAAAGCGCCTTGGGTGCACGCCGACAAGATAGACGACACCTTCGCGAGGGCACTCCCTGCGAGGAAACCGGGGTCGAATGATGGGGGTAGAGGTTCGAAGGTGATGGGGGAGGGGCGGCGGGAAGTGTTTGAGGGGGTTGTGGCGCATGGTAAACCTCCACCTGGATACACTCGAGACTTATCTGGGGGACTAAGCTCAACCTTCTTTTTTGTTGTTTCCTTTTGTCCGTCGCGATCAGGATACCGCCCAACATTTGACTACCTGTTGTCTGCAAGATGCCATCGACATATGCTAGGGGTATCTCTTCAGACTGCAAGCACTCCCAGTTTACTTGGTTAATCCTGTGAATACAACGAGAAGTGGTATATGTCCATCAACGAAATGACGTGGACGAGCGGGTAAAGATCAGTCTGCCCACGCCTCTCTCGGGCCGCCTGTCGGGGCGCTGGAGCGATGGCTGGGTTGGGCTAGCCTGACGAGTTCCAGCGTTGCCTGAGAAACTGCCAGGTCGACGATGAACCCGATGTCTGGGTCAGATGCCCTGTTTCATCGACATGCAGTAATGAAAATCGAACCCTGGCCCCTTTTCCTCCTTCTGCGATGTGCTGGCACGGCTGGCACCTCTCCTCGTTCTCCAAGAAAGTCGTGGTAGTTTAGGCCCGAAACCGCCTAGAACGGATCGAGGCAAAGGGCCGTCGCATTCTTGATGCTTATTGTTGCTTCCACCAATCCTGTGGTTGTGTGCCAGCCACCTTTCGATCGCATCTCAGTCAAGGTTGCAACCGCTGAGCCTCATTCAGGGTGGGGGAAAAAGGGGTGGGCGCGATGCGAGTTGGGGATTCTAGAAGGCCTAGCAAGAAACAGTTTCCCAAGGGGGATTTCACTAGCGATCTCCAGGCGACCATTGCCATCGCCCACTCTGCCCCCATGCAAAAGAAGGCATTGTTCGGAATCAAATGAGGTGGGGCAGGGAGGGGAGGAGGAAGAAACTTGAAACCACAGCCCCCGGCTTTCGCTGGGCGTGCGCCTTTCCCCAGGGCCGCTTCGGTCCGGCAGTGGCCCTCAGCCTAGGTGCTGGATGAATGGTGTATTATGCACAAGCTTCGGCGGCGAAAGACTTGGGCCAGTATCGTCTGGTATGTTGTGCTGCATGCATGGGCACTGCCTTGAAGGTTGTAGGTAGTAATTAGGCACCTAGGCCTAGTAACGTGATTCAATGGAATATCCATGCACCCAACGCGTCAGCGATGCGCAACTTGAGCTGGGACGAGCCCGACGGACGGCACGGCGCGCGCTTTTGGTCAGGCAGGTCCAGGGTACCTGCTTGTGGACTCTGGTGTTGGGTGGTCTTGACTTCGTGCCTACCTGGACGGGTCCATCTCCAGATGGAGCAGGGAGCTGATCAATCGATATGATTGGATGCATCTACCACCAGGGGCCCACACCAGGTCCTCTGTCAGCGTCCGTCCCACGCGCGCTTCAAGACGTCACGGCCATTGAGTGCGACACGAGGTCACGCTTGGCAGCGAGAGCAGGAGCCTCGCTCGCAAACAAACCACGATCCGATACCGCAAACAAAGCTGACCAACAAACTCAAACTACCAGTCCAACAACCTTGCCCGTGCCCCCACCACCACCCCCGCCTTCCCCTGGGACCTCAAGGCATCGGACAAACATGAGCCAGAGTCGGCCAAGCAAAGCACCGAGGTAGCAACCGGCCGGCCGCCGTCCTTCCGACCCCCAGCCCCTCCCCGCGGTCGCCGGCCCCCGGAGCTCGCCATGGGTCAGGGCTTCTCGTCCACCACCCCGCCCGCGGGCGCGGCCGGCATCGACGTGCCCGAGCTGGTCGACCTCGTGTACGAGAAGTCGGTCGGCACCGCCCGCTTCCTCAAGTGCATCCGCGCCAGGCACCACGACGGCGTCGTGCTCGTCAAGGTCCTCACCAAGCCCTACACGCCCATGCCGCTCGACGAGTACCGCCAGATGATTGCGCGCGAGAGCAGGGCCCTCGCCGAGATCCCCAACGCCCTCGGCTACCAGCGCGCCATCGAGACCGAGACCAACGGCTACCTCGTGCGCCAGTACCTCTACAACTCGCTCTACGACCGCTTCAGCACCCGCCCCTTCCTCGAGGACGTCGAGAAGAAGTGGCTCGCCTTCCAGCTGCTCTGCGCCCTGCGCGACTGCCACGCCAGGGACATATACCACGGCGACATCAAGAGCGAGAACACGCTCGTGACGTCATGGAACTGGCTCTACCTGTCCGACTTCTCGGCCTCGTTCAAGCCCGTCATGCTGCCCGACGACAACCCGGCCGACTTCTCGTACTTTTTCGACACGTCGGGCCGTCGGACCTGCTATCTGGCCCCGGAGCGCTTCTACCCACCCGGCGGCGACTTCGACCCTGACACCAAGCTGAACTGGGCCATGGACATCTTCAGCGCCGGCTGCGTCATCGCCGAGCTCTTCATCGAGGCGCCCATCTTCAGCCTCAGCCAGCTGTACAACTACCGCAGCGGCAAGTACGACCCGGCCATCTCCCACCTCAGCCGCATCCCCGACAAGGAGCTGCGCGACATGATCATCCACATGATCCAGCTGGACCCCCAGAAGAGATATTCGGCCGAGGAGTATCTGCGCTTCTGGCGCAGGAAGGTCTTCCCGGACTACTTCTATGACTTCCTCCACCAGTACATGGAGGTCATCACGGACCCTACTTCGGGCCAGTACCCCGTGTCTGGCGCGACTCGAAACTTGGGGGAACCCGACGAGCGGATAGACCGTGTCTTTTACGATTTCGACAAGATATCCTACTCCCTCGGGTACCAGCATGACAGAGGCCAAGAGTCGATGGCGGTAGCAGCAGCCGCACCAAGAGCCTCCCGCCTTGGGCTGACCCATTTCCCCGTGAACCTGAGCATACCAAACAATGAGCACCACGTCTCGAATGCTGCGCAGCCTCCAGCAGACGACGGCACGCTCATATTCCTGACCCTGGTCTGCTCTTCTCTGCGGAACACGGCCAGGGCAGCCTCCAAGCTGCGGGCGTGTGACGTGCTCCTGGCATTCGCTGAGAGACTGACTGACGAGGCGAAGCTTGACCGCGTTCTGCCGTACTTGATGTCGCTCCTGAACGATAGGGCCGACATGGTCGTTGTGGCGGCCCTGAGGAGCATCGCACAGCTTTTGGCGCTGGTCAAGGTTGTGTCACCTGTCAACTCACCAGTCTTTGTCGAGTATATATTGCCCCGCATGCAGCTCGCCCTGCTAGGAAGCCACAACGCCCCTAGTCCGCTCGTGCGAATGACTTATGCCTCATGCCTCGGCACTCTAGCCACTACGGCCGGTCGTTTCCTCGACATGGCTGTTGCTGTGCAAGCCGATGGCGCGGCCTTTGCGGCGGACCCAGATGTCGAATCTGGGACCTCGGCGAATGCGGCGTTTGACGCCATGTTCGACAACGCGCGCCGAGAGCTGATACTTATGTTCGAGGCTCACACCAAGGCGCTGATCGAGGATCCGGACCCGTTTGTGCGCCGGGCGTTCCTCAGCTCGGTGCCGGACCTCTGCATGTTCTTCGGCACGGCCGACTCCAACGATATCATACTGGCGCATCTGAACACGTATCTGAACGACCGCGACTGGACCCTCAAATGCGCCCTGTTTGATGCCGTCGTGGGCATCGCCGCCTTCATAGGCAGCACTAGTTTGGACGAATTCATTCTCCCGCTCATGGTGCAGGCGCTGATGGACACGGAGGAGTCGGTAGTCCACGCCGTCCTGCACTCGCTGGCCGAGCTGGCCGAGCTTGGCTTGTTCTCCAAGGCACGGGTTTGCGAGCTGGTCGAGGTGGTGGCACGTTTCACCATGCACCCAAACATCTGGATCCGCGAGGCCGCCGCCGAATTTGTTTCTGCCTCCACCCAACATCTCTCACGAGCTGACATCAGGTGCATGATATACCCGCTGGTGGTGGCGTACCTGAAGCCCGGCATCATACCAGACTTCTCCGAGCTTTCACTTCTGAGTACACTCAAGAAGTCGCTGACCAGGTCCGTGTTCGACCAGGCCTTGGTCTGGGCCCTGAAGTCGGACCGTGGTCTGTTCTGGAAGTCGCTACAAAACGCAAGAGCTCTGACGCTTGGCGCGTCCTCATCGGCTCCCGGATCTGGCTGCGGAGCCAGGGACGCTGGTTCAGTCGCACTCGCCAAAATTCCCAAAAACGACGAGGATGAGCAGTGGCTCGCGAAGCTGCGCAACCTCGGGCTATCTCAGGAGGACGAGTTCAAGCTTCTGTGCCTGCGCGAGTTCATATGGCGGCTGACCCAGATGAGGATGCGGGACGCGTCCTCGACGGCCAACCAGGATGAGCGAAACTTGCTCAACAATATCATTGCGCTGCGGACCCTCGGTGTGACCCCGCAAATGGTCTTTTTCGACGAAGAGCCGCGCCGGCCGTCTTCTGGGCTGCCCGAGCTGGACGGCACCCCTCGCACCATCACCGACGCCTTGCGGGACGCCTCCATGACCATCGACGATCCAGTAGCCAGGCGCCGCCGGGCCGCCTTCAACAGCCACAGGTCTCGCCTTAGCCGAGACAGTATCTCACCGATTTCGGCAGACGGACGCCGGCGCCCTCTCGATGATGCCGCGGGCCCCTCGCCGCTGCAGCTATCGCCACAGCTTCTCTCGCCACCGTCAGAGAGGGCCAGGGGCGGAAGCAGCACGCCTTCAGACTTTGGTCATAGGAGGACGCTCCACCGCCAGTCGAGCGCCCTTAGTCTTCTGAACAGAAAGGAGAGCACAAAGTCTGGGGCCGAAACAGGCACAACCGAGGCCAATGCCTTTGGGCAGGTTGGTGGAGGTCACACGTCACATCCAGTACATGCCAAGGCGTCGATGGCGGCAGCCGAGCTGGACGACGCACTCTCGCCCAAGATCAAACCCAGGGCGATGCACACTTACGAGGGTAACGATCCCAGCATCCTCAAGATGCTAGACTCGATGTATACGGACAACTACCCGCACGACCTGGCCGAGTTCGGGCCGCTGGTGACGCCTGTCGCACGCGCAAGGCCGAGCCGGCCGACGGCAACGGCGGGCCCTGGAACCGTGGAGCAGGGCTGGAAGCCGGCCGGAAAGCTGGTGGCGACGTTTGCGGAGCACACCGGGGCCATAAACCGGGTGGTGGCGTCGCCAGACCACGTCTTCTTCATCACGGGCGGCGACGACGGCGCGGTGCGTGTGTGGGACACGGCGCGGCTGGAGCGCAACATTGCGCATCGGTCGCGGGCGACGTACTCTCACGCCCCCGGGGCGCGGGTGCTTGCCTTATGCTTCGTGCAGGACACGCACTGCTTCGTCAGCTGCGCCAGCGACGGCAGCGTGCACGTGGTCAAGGTCGAGTGCTCAACCTCGGGCGACGTGACGCGCTACGCCAAGCAGCCCCGGCTCGTGCGCGAGTACCGCCTCGGCCGCCCCGGCGAGCACGTCGTCTGGTGCGAGCACTTCAAGGCGGGCGGCGACTCGGCGTCGACGCTGGTGCTGGCGACCAACCAGTCGCGCGTCGAGGCCATCGACCTGCGCGACATGTCGCTGCTATACGCGCTCGAGAACCCTGTTCATCACGGCACCCCGACGTGCTTCTGCATCGACCGCCGCCGCAACTGGCTCTGTCTCGGCACCTCGCACGGCGTCCTCGACCTGTGGGACCTGCGCTTCAAGGTCCGCCTCAAGGGCTGGGGCGTGCCCGGCAAGGGCGCCGTCTACCGCCTCGCTGTCCACCCGGCAAAGGGCCGTGGCAAGTGGGTCTGCGTTGCCGGTGGCACCGGCCAGGGCGAGGTCACGGTGTGGGACCTCGAGAAGACGACGTGCCGCGAGGTCTATCGTGTGGGAGGCAATAAGGAGGGGCCTCGCGGCTACGGCGCCTGGGAGGTGGACGAGGACAAGCCCGAGGGCATGCTGGGCAGGTTCGCTACCGACATCGAACCCGCCGTACTGTCTGGGGCCGCCGTGTCTGCCGCTGCTGTCGCCGCCGCCGCCGCGGGAGCTAGTGGCAACGTCGGCGGAAGCCTTGTAAGCAGCCTCGGCGCCGCGGGCGCCGCGCCCCAGGTCGGTGGTGGGGCCGACCGCGGTGTGCGCGCCATGGTGGTGGGCAACAGCAACGGCGGCGCATCGGGCGGGGACGACGGGGGCGGCGGCGGCAGCAGCAGCCGCGACATCAGGAACGCCTACATCGTCACGGCCGGGTCGGACAAGAAGCTGCGGTTCTGGGACCTCGCGCGCGTCGAGAACAGCACCGTCTTCAGCGGCCTGGCCCCCGACGAGGGCCGCCCGTCCTTCACGGCAAGCCACCCAACAACGGCCATGACGCTCAACACGGAGCGCCTCCCGCGCTCGTCGTCGTCGTCGGCCTCGGCCTCGGCCTCGCAGCTCCGGCACGACCCGGCCGCCAGCATCAACAGCCGCGGCAGGGGCCGGCCAAGGGCCTCGCGGTCCACTGTCGTCGCCATCCAGCAGCAGCAGCTCCTCCGCAGCCATCTCGACGCCGTGCTCGACGTGGCCGTGCTCGAGAGCCCTTACACCATGACCGTTTCTGTCGACCGGAGCGGCGTCGTCTTTGTGTTTCAGTAGTCCGATGCATTCCGCATAGCACATACTCGTTGCTTCTTCCTTGGTTACCTTTCTTTTCTTTTTTGTTCCCGGCTTCGTCTCGGTTTAGACAGGGCGTGTTTTTTTTTTAGGCGAGAACCGGGCAGGGTCGGTTTCTCATCAGCTTCACAGCTTCATAAACTTTCTTGTCTGCATCTCCTGTGTCGAGCTGCTTCTTTTTTCACTTTTTAATCACGAGCGTTTAGATGTAATGGATGGTCAGGTTGGATATTTGGCTATGGTATAATAGAGTTAGGGTTACTCATCCAACACGCAAAAACCTTGCGTATACGAGGTCGTTACGACTACAAACACTTATTAGCTACAAGTTCCGTTCAGTCAACAGCACCGACTCTCTGTTGGTCGGTCACATGAATCTAGGGTAGGTTCTACACAACAAGGTCTACCGAGACAACTGGGGCGAATCCGAGATCTATATCAAAGCTTGCCGGTGCCGAGAATGTAAAACAAAACCCCTCTCCGACTCCCGCTGCTCGCCACCACATCCGTTGACCAAACACACGCCGTGCCCCACAGTGACCATGTCTCCGTCTCCGTCCCCATCTGAGGGAAGATATTACACCCGACAACACCTGCAAAGGGGGGCATTGGAGATCCAACATGGAACAGTTCTGCCTTCCTTTTCTCTCCCCTTGGGCAATGGGACACCGCAGACATTAACAAGCCACGTGATTTTAAACAGGTAGAATATCAACTGGCGATATCTACCCACTGCACGACAAACAGCGCAGACGGGGGTTCGGGTTCTGGGATATGGCATTACGGATATCGAGGGGGTAGTGTGATTGCACCGTGCAGCCCTGGCTTGTTTTCCGCTCTCCCTCCACCGTTCGTGGACCTCGCCATAGTTCATTATAGGAAGTAGTCAGGTGTCCCTGCAGGATACAGAGTCAGTATTGGACATCTGATTATTGGGGAGAGTGGTGAAGGAGACAGGCGCAAAGAAGTCGAGGGACTTACGTCTTGAGACCAGTGGCTCGCCCGCGCGAGGGCATGGGTCGAATTGGAGGCTAGGAGCGAGGTGAGTGTGTTAGTGTGCACTCAAAGCCTATTTGCAAGGGGGTTAGGCCTGCTTACAAGGTGTATTTAAGGTGCTCGTCAATCTCCATGATGGCGGCCTGGTTGCCACAGCGGTAGCAGTAATTGGGTGCTGATAGCCAGTTGTTAGCAATCGCCACCTGTGCGGCCCGGTTCTCAGAACGCCCAGGGCGGGGGCCGCGGGATTCGGGGGTTATCAACGATTGTTTGGTCTCCGAACTTACCCGAGAAAATGGTGACGACGTTGCGGTCCTGGGACCAGTTGTAGCCCTCCATAACCAGCTGGTGGGCTCTGGCAATAAGGGTCAGGCCGTTGTTGTGGTTGAAGGCCTCGGAAATGTCCTGGCCGAAGGTATAGCCGGCGCCACGGGGCGAGATTCCCCAGCCGCAGCGGTCGTCGGGGTCGGACCAGAGAAGGTCGCACATTGGGCCCTCGTGTGGCACCTCCTGGATCCTGTCGAGCGCCCGAATGTTGTCGAGCGTATCGATGCTGGGCGAGAGGCCACCGTGAAGGCAGAAGATTTGGTTGTCGATCAGGGCTGTGAGAGGAAGATAGTCGAATAGGTCCGTGAAGTACTTCCACACGTTGGCATTGCCGTACTTGCGCAGGCACTCGTCGTAAAAGCCGTAGACCTGGGTGATTTGCCGCGACTCGTGGTTCCCCCGCAGGATCGTGATGCGCTGCGGGTAGCGGATCTTCAGCGCCACCAGCAACGTGACCGTCTCGACCGAGTAGTAGCCTCGGTCAACGTAGTCACCTGTGTAATGGCATGTTGGCATGTTTTCGTATACTTGGGACAGGGAGCCCGCCCAGTCCGATACGTGATGGTGAGGAAGCAGGCCACATACCCATGAAAAGATAGTTCGTATCGGGGTTGGGGCCTCCGATCTTGAAGAGCTCCATCAAGTCGTGGAACTGGCCATGTATATCGCCGCAAACGGTGACGGGGCATTTCTATTGGACGCAAAGGGCGTGTGAGCGACGATGCTTGCATCAAGAGCGGGGGGAAGAAAGGTAAAATAGAGTAGAACAAAAACAAGAGATAGGACAAGAGAAATGCGAGATGGGCACCTACCACAGGCTGGACGTTGGATTCATCCTGCAGAACATCGCGCGCCTATCAAAGGGGGAGATAGGTCTGTCAGCACGCGCAACGCAGAAGTGGTGTGGAAAAAATCGAGAAGCGCGACGGCACGTGTGGTCCAAGGCGAGGCGAGGCAACATGCCCGATGGACAACGGCACACGCGACCGCGAGGCCGATGGGCGGGCGGGCGAAGAGGGGACCCGAACCTTCTCGCAGAGTCTCTGGACATCCGACTCGACCAGCTGCTTGCACGACATCAAGCTCTCGATCCAGCCGTCGAGCGTGGGGATGGTGGTGGGCTCCAGGGCGGGCTGGGGCGCGAGGTCGGTGGGCACGCGGCCGACGTCCTCCATGTTGGTGTCCATGTTGACGCCGTCGTCGTCGTCGATGACGATGTCCAGCGGCTGTAGCTCCGAGGACTCTATCCTGGGCAGCGGCGGCTGTTTTCAGCTCGACAACGGGGGCGATGGCGGGATTGGGGGAGGGGCGGCGCAGCAGATAGCGGGATGCGAGAGGACGCGTTGCCGAGAGAAGAGCGATCAGGGCGGGAGTAGGTGGGTGCAGGCGAGGTGGATTGTAGCCGGCGGTCGACGGGTGGTTTGGTGGTTGTTTGGTGGTGGTTCAAATGGCGGCTGTCATGACACTCGAGGCGGGCGACAAAGCGTTGGTATGGGATGTGTGAGCTTGCACGCTTGGTTGACAAGGGTGGCGGCGGCCTGGGCAGCAGTAGGAGCAGGTCAGTGCCAAAGAAAGTGGCAACGACTGGCTGTGGGTGGTGGAGCACGAACCCCAGCACACGAATTAAGGTAGAAGGGTGGGTGGGCGATGGGGAGAAGGCCACCAAGACGAAGCGCGAGCAGGAAGAAAGAAAAGGAGAAGAGAAAAACAGCTATGACAAAGAATTCGAGAAACCGCAGTAGTTACGTACCAGGCAAGTCGAGACAAACCCCAACGTCGAGGTGGGTGTTGACAGCGTGCAGCGGGCTGAAATGGGCTGGAGATTTGATGTCTGATCTCCAGCTGGGGCTCAATTGCTGTGAGCTGCTGGATTGCGGGCAGTTCCAGCGGGAAATGCAGTGACCAGGCCCTTGTGCACAGCAACGCGCCCCAATGGCTCGGTCGCTACCAGGCCGTGGTACTTCGGGCGGGTGGGGTAAGGGGGGTCGAAAAGCTGCCACCCACGGGCGGTGAACCCAGGCTGATTGGAGGGGCACCCTCGATGAATTGAGTCGGGGTACGTGCACTGCAGCCGCCTCCACCACACGCATCCAGATGTCAAGCTCGATATACCGCTACCAGGTGGTAGGTGTAGGTACCCAACATGGACCCTGACGGCCCAAGCAATAAGGGATAGGGATTACGCAGGGACCCAGGCGCATGCCCTGTCTACATGGAGGTATCTGAAAAGTGTCCCAAAGCATGGCGTGCTCGAGACGCTGCTAGGAAATGAGAGAAATAACTGAGCCGAGGCCATCCTGCCACCCAGCTGCCACACGCGCAAAATAACAAAACTCTGGGTGCGAGTAAATACACTACATCTCCGCGACTGTATACGGCGGCGCCTGGTGTTCAGCTCAGGCCGAGGCCGAGCACAGGAGTGCCGGTAGAAGATCCGTTGGCCGCGCCTCCGCTGGGCACCTCGCGCCCGACCAGATTCCTAAAGTCCAGCCCGACCTCGGAAAGCATGTCGGCGTGGTCCTTGGCCCGCTCCATGCAGGACTGCCACACCTCACCGTCCCGCTCCGTGCCGCTGAGCTGCCGCGCCAGGGTCGCGTTGAAGGCGTCCACCGCCTCCTTAGCCCACTTGACGCACGCGCTCATCATCGGCGGCGGGAAGCAGCCTTGGAAGCACGCCACCGTGTTCTTGATGATGGTGAAGTACACGAACGAGACCTCCCAGATGTACCGGTGCAGATCACCCTGAAAAATGCATTGCCTTGTGAAGAAAGAGCCGTGTTAGCAAATATGCCCCCTAAACTCACGTCGGCAAAGTAGGTACCCCCCACGTGGGTGCCGCAGGACGAAGTAGGTGCTCACCGTGAACGCTTCTGTATAATGTTGCTCCGCGCCTCGAGATAGGCCTCGCGCGCCCCATCCTCGTACCCGAGCCTGGTCAGCCAGCCCACATTCCGCTTGGCCTTGCGCTGGTTCTCATGCATCTCCACCAGCTCGCGCGTGATGAGTGCTCCAAGCTTCGAACTGCGCTCCTCCACCTTGAACTCGATAAAGTCCTGCGCGATGGCGTTGTTCTTGAGGCTCTTGGCGAGGCCCTTGAGCTTTTCGACCCGCACCACGGATGGCTCGAACCGCTGCAGCGCAATCTCGATGTCCAACTCGTCCATCTGGCCCTCGACCCAGCGCAGGTTCTGCTGCTTGCCGTCCACCTCGATCAGCATGTCCTTGATGTCCGATAGCGTCTCGAGCAGCGCCGTCTTCTGCAGCAGCCCCGGGTCGCGCGACGCAAAGTAGTTGATGGTCTCCTTGGCTTTGTTGTTGGCGTCCATCTCGGACTGCAGCCCCCGCCGCAGCTCCTCTACCGCCTTGCGCATATTGAGCATCAGCGACCCCTTCTCCGTGTCGCCCGCCTTTTCAGTTCGGTAAATGACCGTCTCCTGCCCGACTCCGCGCACCATTATGGCGTCCGCCAGCTTGGTCCGCCCGCTCGACGCCTCACCCGACCCGGCCATGTCGACGACCTCGATGTCGAGCAGCGGCCAGCAGCGGTCCGCCACCAGCTTGACCTGCGGCTCCCGGAAGTCGGAGCCCTCAGCCCTCTTCTTCTTGCGCGACGCGATGAGGAAGTGGTCGTTGAGGAGGAAGATCTGCATCGCCCGCCGCGACTTGTACGTCGCGCTGTCCAACTCGATCCAGTGGCCCGCGTTCTGCACCACGTGGCGCCCGGACGAGTTGGGCAGGAACTTCTGCGACCCTTCGACGTGCTTGTACAGCGCCTGCATCTGCGAGTTCCACAGCGCCGTCCGGTCCGCCACCGAGCTGCGCTTGTCCCGCTTGCTGAGCGACCCCGAGACGCCGCCTGCACCCAGGCTCACCGCCTCGCCCGCCCCGCCGGCGTCGCCACGGGACGACGCCGACCGCAGAGCCGTGGTGTTGGCGCTGAGCTCCGACATGAGGTTCTTGAGCGCCCGCATCTCGCCCTTGAGCTTCTCGGCCTCCTTGCTGATCTTGATGAACTGCGTGCGGTTCTGGTACACGTTCTGCTGCAGGTCCGTCGCCGCCCGGCTCTTGAGGCTGCGCAGCGACTCTTCAAAGTCGCGGATCTCGTCCTCGGTCGCATCGCTGAGTATCTGGGCCACGTACTGGTCGGCCATGAGCTTCGGGTCGCGCAGCGCCTTGGTGTCCACCACGGGCGCGGACCCTCCCCCTCCGGTGCCTCGCGAGGGCGGTGCCGCTCTTCTTTCCCTGTCCCTGCTCGAGGCCTCATATTGGTTGAACGAAGGCAGGGCCGGCACGGGGGGCGCGAACCCATCGGTCGGAAGGTCGTTAAACCGAGTCGAGAAGCGACGTTTCACAAGATCCGACGTCTACCAACAGAGCCCTGTGTATTAGCTTCCCAAGCTCCTTGAGCAAGTAGCTCCATGTGGCAGACTGCTCCCAGCAGAGATCTTACCTTGCCGCCGGCAATTGGCGGACGCGGGGGCGCGACGCCGCCAGCTCCCGGGAGGCCGGTCCGACTTCGAGGAGGGCCGACATTGCCGGGCAGGGGCGAGGTGACCTGCCTCGGGGCGCTGATGACCGGGCGCGACTTTCGCTTGGGACCAGCCCGGAGCGAGATCTTGCTTCTTTCCTCACTCATGCCGCGTCGATGTGGATGACGTCTCGGGTGGGTATCTGGCCATACACGTTGGGTTGAGGAGACGTGACCGATCACGGCTTTTGGTGCACCAACCCTGACTAACTGAGACGACCAGACGGCTAGGTGGTTCGTGGGTAGTGGCTCGTCGTGCCGCAATTGAGCGCCGAGCTCCACCCAAGCGCTGCCCCACCCCCCTGTGCCCAGGCCTTGCCCGGGTAGAGGGTGCGCTGTAACTGCGGGCTTTGGACAAGGTCCGGCAGCGCTGAGCCTTGGGGCCATGACGGGATCCCCAGGCCAGACAGCCTCGAAGCAACTGGCACTGATAAGATTGGGTAAAATTTTGGCAGCACAACCCGACGGGACGAACAGCCATGCATGCAGCAGCATCGTGACCCTCAATTCCAGCTTGCCTGTTTCGATTTACCTCCCACCCAGCACGCCTATTCGATCCCCGAGCTCGCCTCTCGCACGCCCGTGCCAACGTTGAGACGCACCCTGCAGGAGCGCCCCCCGCCGACCAAATTTTGATTGCGGTTTTGTCATTGACCATGGCCGACACAAGGATGATAGTGACGGCCTCGGCCACGGCCGTTGTGACAGGGCTGCTAGGTTAGCCCCCCTCTCCTGCTGTGCTGATCCCGCATCCTCCTTTTTTATGTGGCAAGCGAGATGTCGCCCGTCGCAAGTCCAGTTTTTCTCCCTGCGAATACACGGGAAGGGGAGAGGGAACGAGGCCCGCCCGCCTTGGAGGAGGGCTGCCCCTGCGTCTGAACCCAGCAGCTCACCAACGCTCTTCTTTATCCTTCCACAGCTTACGCCGTCTTTTTCGACTACCGGCGGCGACACAGCCCCGAGTTCCGCCGGCAGCTACGCCGAAACGAGCGCAGGCAGGCCCGCAGCGAGAAGGAGGACGCCGAGGCTGCCGAGGCCGGCCGCCTGCATCTCATCAGCCAAATCATCGACGAGGCCAAGGCGACCGGCTACCCCGATAACGTCGAAGAGAAGGAGCAATACTTCCAGGAGCAGATCACGATCGGCGAGACGCTGTCCACAAATGGTGAGCTGCCCAGCGAGGGCGCGAGTGAGGAAAGTGCTCTTTTTTGCGACAGGGGCGAGGGCTGACATGTGCCGCCATTGCGTGCGTGTGCGAATAGCTACGGCCGACCCCGTTCAGGTTGCCCTGCACTTCTATAATGCCCTCAAGGTCTACCCTAGCCCCGGCGACCTCATCCACATCTATAACAACATTGTGCCCAAGGTATGAAGGCCTGCGCGTGCGCTCTCGGCTTCCCCCTGACAAAGACATCCCACCATATCCTAACCCGGATGCGCTCGCTACAGCCAATCCTTGATGTCCTTGCCGAGATGATTGCATACGACACCACCCTTTTGGTTGGCAGCACCTCTGGCGCCAAGGCACAAACTGCCGGTGCCAGCATCTTTGAGGCCGGTGAAGGCAGCATGCCGCCGGTGGTTGGCCTAGACTAGACGGCAGATTGTGGCTCTCATACCTGTCTCGCCGATGGTTGTCAGAGCAGATACATGCCACCCCGATCTTCTCTCCCAACCATCCACCCACTTTGCTACAGCATGAACCCACGCAGCGGTACGACCAAAACAAACAACCCTCCGTGCATTCTGTTGGAAAGACGGACAGACCAATAGCCACCCTCGGAGAAGCAAGGAGGAGCCGCAAAGTCCGTGCCACGAGAGCCCCTCGATGGCTGACGGCTCCTTCTCCGAACCCCTTCCAGACGACTCTTGCTCCCTTTCCTTGTATAATACGGAGAGGGATATATACGGGTAAGCGGGAGGGAGACGGACCCATACTGTAGAACATCATGTATATAAACCCATGTCTTTTTTTATGAGGGGTCACTGGTGGCTGGGCGTCACTGGGGCGAGAACAAAAAGAAAGGGATCTGGAGACTTGGATGGCGCGGTGCTAAGGGTCAAACATTGACACACTGCAAATTCAAAAAGAGAAAAATGAACAAGTTTATCATTGTGCATCTCTTTCATACGAAGTGTGCTTACAAAATCTGCGTATAGAAACATATGCCGCCCTAGGCCTCTATCGGCCGGCCCTTCCGATCCACTCGTTGATCTCTTGGGTCGAACCCGCCGTTGCCCCAGGTCGCCCACTCGGGCGTCTCGGGGCCCATGTAGTCCTCTGGAGAAAAGTCCCCGTGCGGGCCCTTCTCGTCCAGCAGCTCGAAGAAGCGGTCGTAGTCGATGCGGGTGTGCCACTTGCCCTCGACACGGAACCGCTCGCTCGCCAGCAGCACGCAGCACGAGTGCGCGTGCTCGGCGGCGAGGCCGTAGGCCAGGCCCCTGCGGCGGAGCGCGGCCTCGAGGGCCGTGACGAAGTCGCACACCTCGTGGTAGAAGGGCACGTTGGCCATGCTGAGGCCGGCGCCGGCCGAGGTGGAGGTGCCGCAGTACGTGACGCCCTTGACCTCGACGAAGCAGGGCAGGGCCTTCTCGACCATGTCGGCGTAGCCCTCGACCTCGTCCTCGACGTTGAAGCCCTTGACGAGCGTGAGCCGGAAGACGGTGCGCTGGCGGAAGCGGCGCTCGCGCAGGATCTCGAGGCAGCTCTGCAGGCGCTCCCAGAAGTCGCGGTGCAGGGGCCGGTCGACGCGCCGCAGCGACTCGCGGTTCGAGGCGTCGATGGACACGTACAACTGCGTCACATGGCCCAGCGCCGCGAGCTGGTCCGGGTGCTGCGCGTTGCAGACGAGGAAGGACGAGATGCGCTCGCCGTGCAGCAGCGCCAGGAACTCGTTGATGTGCGGGTAGAAGATGGGCTCGCCGACGAGGGAGAGCGCGCAGTGTCGGATCCGCATCGCCTCGGCGAACCGCTCGGCCCGCACCCCCGGGACGCCCCGCATCATCTTGATCTTCTGGTAGTGGTTCTTCTGGATGCCGTCGAAGATCAGGTCCGGCGCGTCCGCGACCCAGCGCCAGGTCGTCCCAACCGGATTCGTGCCGTGTCTCCAACAAAAAACACATTTGTTGGAGCATGAGAGCGACGGCGTCGCCTCCATGCACTGGTGGCTGTTGATGCCATAAAAGGAGTACTTGTAGCAGCTGCCGCGCCCCCGCAGCGCCGATTTGGTCCAGCGGCAGATTTTGACCCCTGAGTGGGAGCCCACGATGGCGTACCCCTGCTTCGTCAGGGCAGCATATGTGGGTGAGCTCTTGGGTACCATCTCCTTGGTCGTTTGGGCAGCCGGCTTTCTTGTCCTGCTAGAGCTCGTTTTGTCATACGTGGTGAAGTCGATAGCGACGGGTGCCGCAGGCGAGCCATCTGTCCGCGACGCCTCCAAGACCCGGCCGATGTCCTCTACGTCGTCGAGAGTCCCTGAGGCCGCCTTGCGCCCAGCCTTCTTCTTGGTAGTTGGAGCATCTTCGTCAATAAGCACCTCGCCGTCGTCCGCCTCGGACGCTCCTTCGTCCTCACTCTCCACAGCGTCTCCCGAACCACGCACGCCTTCACCGAGCGAGCCGGTTTGGGCCAACAGGCTGAGAACGTCGACGACCCCCTCGTGCCATTCGGACAGACGCTCCGCTGCGTCTGTCTTGGAGTCTCCAACCCCAAGGGGGCAAGCCCGTTTACGGCCTGTCAGCTTTGCCATCCACCTATCAACCTCCTTGGCCTGGAAGCAGAAACCTTCCTCCTCGGTAGGCCAGCCCTCCCTGTCGCCGAACCCGAACACCGAGTAACCAAGCAGCGGCGACAGCGGGGCTGTGTCTATCCTGAAGTCGTGGTGCGTCTCCTGCAGGTGCTCGAGGAAGGTGTCATTTATGGTGTCGATATTGAAGCTAGGAAGAAGCAGCAGATAGAGCAGCTCGACGCGTCCTCCGGTCTGTTGCGGCTCTAGCTGCGGCGGCGTGATGAAGTACTCGTCGTAGTCGACTTCGGAGAGGTCAAGCACCTTTGGCGCAAGTACCTGGCACCCCGCAGTGGGCGGCAGAGCGCGCGCCGAATCCTCGAGCCTCGCAGCATACTCGCGCGCAATCTTGTCCGTCGTTGCCGTGACAGAAGAGAAGAAAACGAACGGTTGTATCTCTCGTGGGCCCCCGGACTCTGCCCCCTTGCCGGTTTTGTCTCTATTTACTTCGCCCCTGATCCGACGCGGCCCCATGGCCTTCGCCTTTGGTTGCTCGATTGGCTTTGATTTCTCGTCCGTCGCAATGGCCTTGTCCGTCAACGATGGTGGATTCGGCTTGGCTTTTGCGATATCGGTGCCAAGTGCTCTCGCAAATGCGACAGGCTCTCCTGGCCGCCCATGGACAATGTATAGGCATATCCTGATGAGAACTAGACAAGTGAATGCGCATAGCAGTATTGGGGTCCGATAGCCATGCCATATATCAAGTACGTCTGGGTAGGCCGACAGCAGCAAGATGGTTAGTTTCAAGCAGATATTGGCGCCAAGGTGGGGATTGAGTAAGTAAAACAGACGTACAGGAGCTCAAGCGGTCGAAATACAGAAGACTGTGTTCTAAAACGGAATCCATGGCTGCTTGCAGTGCAACAGCACAAGTCTCGTTGTCGCACGCTGTCGTCTCTTGAGGAGGAACGGGAAACAGCATAAAGTCAAGCCGCAACCCCGCGATTCAAAATTTCGATAAGCATCGCGCGCCCGTTATCGCTTCCCCACCGAATCAATTGGCCAGCAGGGTCCCCACAGGAGCATCCGGGAGGTGCCCTTCAAGCTCTGCGCTCGGTATCGCCCCGATTGAAAAGTGCTCCCAGCCTTGACGCCTTGCAATGAAACTGGAACCCGCTAGTAACTGCAAGATAATAAAGTCTCAAGATTGAATGCGTTGGAGCGTTTATGAAGGCAGGTGCTGGGGTTACTTTGCTGAGAGCCCATCCTGCGCCATTCTTCGAACATATCATCGGTGCCCGGACAATCAGTCACCCATGTAAACATCTTGGTGGGACCAATTGTCAACGTGTAACATGCTAGTATTCCGGCCGCAGTGGTTGAAACTGTCTTTTCCGTTGGCAAAGCTTGTGCCCAACACGAGCGCGGTGTCGGTCCCTTCTCCATTCATTATGTAACTGTAATGCAGAAGCCCTCAAGCATCCTGGACAATGGAGCAGCTGCCAGAGAAACAGTCACCCGCCACATTCCGAACCAGCAATGCGTCACACCCGGACTTGTGGGATCCAGATAAGCCGTCGGGAGCCGCTGGTTGCCCACGGCGGCGGAATTGCTGTGGCATGTAAAGATAAGGGATACGAAAGCCACATCCTTCCGTTCCATTGACCAACAGACCCTCAATCTGCCGCCAGCAGTTTTGATAGAGGACGCCCAGTGACGCACCTAGCTCAAAGGATAGGAGCGATTGGGTCTGTCTGTTAGCGAGATTTGAATGAAGATCAGGTGGCGTTTGTGGTTGTTGAATTGGTGGCCTTTGGTATGACGACAACCCTGGGTCTGGACCTGGGGTGCACACAGCACAGGGCTTGCTTGCTTGCCGCGGCTTTGGGCAGCCGTCTCGTGATCACCGCCGCGAGGTCTGTCCGACTTGGCGACCGCTTTGAGTTTCGCCCTGTTTGCCGGCCGCCTTCTCGTCCGTTATCGCGGGCGCTGCCGTGGACTGTCGGGTAAATGTGGCCAAGCGCTCGGCCAAACCGCAAAAGCATGGACGGATAGCTTTGCCAGGACAATGGTCGCCCAGAGATGGAACGATCCGAATTTCGCCGTCGCGAGCGGCCGATTTCCACCGCTGCTCTCGTTTTGCGTCTTTTGGTTCGACTCACTCTTCCCAGGTCAGGGATGCAGGCCGGCGCCCCTTTAGGCACGGTGACCCACTCCCCCCGAGGTCGGCGACGAATAGCGAGGCCACTGTGTGCGCACCACAGCCAAATCCGACAGTGTCTGGACGGGACCCCGACACCACCCAGATCAGGAGCCATCGCCCAGCACACTAGACCGCAACTTCAGCAAGAAAAGCCGAAGCGTTCGCACCCATCTTTGACCCTCAGGATCAACCAAGCATAGCGAAAGAGCATAGCCAAAGCCCAACCAACCTTCCATCAACCTTCCACCAACATACCCATCCACCAGCAAGATCAGAACCTCGCTCCGAGATGGCCGTCGGTATCGTTAAGAAAGTGTCGTCGGTGCTGCCGACGGGTTGTCGATCCGAGGCGCCCGTAGGCTTCGCCGAGCTTGTCATGGAGCTGAAGCATGCACTCGGTCCATCCTCCGGGCTGACCTCGGACGACGTCGACGTCAACCACCTCACATGGATCATGGACGGATACGACGCCAGAGAGCAGGGCTGGCTGCCGTTCGCCATGCGGGACGCAAGCAGAGGCTACACTCGTAACCTGGTAGACGAGGGCAACGGCAAGAGCAACTTGGTAAGAGCAGGGCAGCACTCGATGTAACTTGCCCCTTCCCTTGATACCGATATGCTGACGCAGAGCCTCGCCCCTTCAAAGCTTGTCCTCGTCTGGTCGCCTGGCAAAGGCAGCCCGATCCACGACCACGGCAACGCGCACTGCCTGATGAAGATCCTCCGAGGGGAGCTGACCGAAACGCGGTATGCCCATCCCAGGGAAGGGATCGAGGAGCCAATGACGATCATATCCGAGAGAACACACAAGGAGAATGCCGTGGCGTACATGGCCGACGAGCTCGGCCTCCACAGGGTGTGGAATAAGGGAAGCGACTTCGCTGTGTCGTTGCATCGTGAGTGCCGTTGCCCATACCCGTGGCCGCCTTGGGTCCATGGATGTCAGGCTGACCGAAACAGTGTACACGCCCCCAAACGTGGCCAAGAATGGCTGCTCCGTCTTCAATGCCAACACGGGGAAGAAGAGCCATGTAAAAAAATGTGGCAACTTCTCTGAGTATGGTCGTCGGCTCGAAGAGGCTTCGGGATTGTGTTAGTACTGCAAGGAAGATGAAGGTGTAATCCAGGTGTAATCCAGATGTGAACGGCGGCTCCGGGGTATTGGATAGGGTGGTGGCTTGCTTGTTTATTGTCGCATTGTGCTCCCGTCTGGCGTGTTGATATGGCAGCGGTTCCGGTATAAGCGACGAGCGGGAAGGGAAAGCCCAGGCTTCAGTATGTGATGGCTTTGCACAGTGAGTGCTAGCAGAGATAGGATGGCAGAAATGATAGCAGAAACTGTTCCAACATCATGAATACCGTTACCACAGCCATAAAACATGAAGTGAGGTTGGATTGCCTGTCGTTGGGCGTGGTAGAGGAATATTAAAACAGAACGCTGAAGGCCACTGCGTCGTCTGATTGGTCAGTTGAAATGGCGTGCTCGACGACTCGGGGCGGGAGCGGCTGTCGGTGTTGTGCTTCACGTGACCATCGCAATTGCCTTGTGTGGTGGGGGCTTGACCATCACCGGCTCCCTGGCGACATCAAATCTACTGGCCAAAGCGTTTCTTGGACTGGCAGGGGCAGCTTTGCTCCTTGCTTGGAAACCATCAGAAAAAAATGTCGAAAAACAATGGTAAATCAAATGTCAGGTTGCATTTCCCGTATCAATTCTCACAAAACGGTTGTATTGTTTAGGGCACTATCCTGAGACTTGCATTGCTTTTGGTTCATAAAAGTCCTTTGTGGAACCTGCATTTTAGCAGCTAAAGTCTTTCCTCCCTATCGCACCCAGAGACATCCTTTCTCTACTCGTCGATTGAACACCCTACAGGATAATGTCACCAGCGTCAATAGCAATTCTCGGAGTGGCTTCAGAGCCAGAGCTCAGTCTAGCTAGGCCTTTGGTCTATAGTCTATGTACTGCTGCCCATTGATTCTAGAATAATCTTAGCGGCTTTGGCGCGTCCTGCACTGACACCAAATCTCTCGGAAAGTCTCTGGGCGGTACGTCGATATGCGTCGCGTCTTTTCCCTATCACGACCTCAATAAGCGTGGGGCCGAGCTCTTCGGCGGACCACTGGGGCTTCATCGACTTGCTGCCCCAGCGGCCGATACCTAGCATCTCTGCCCGGTATGCATATTCATAGCAGTCGGCCCACTGCGGCAGAACCACCTGCGGTGTGCCCGTGCTGTTTGGGGGATTGCTGTCAGCTCAGCGCGCACGGGACGGCGGAGGAAAAAGAAAAATGCTGTGGCACTTACGTGACGGATTCGTAGAAGGAATTTGCGCCCCCGTGGTTAACACTGCACACTACGTGCCCGGACTGCAGGATTGCCATGGGCTCGGCCGTCACCCAGTCTACGATGCGGATTCTGTCCGAGGCCATCTCCTTGCCCAATATAGCATGGACCTTGCTGCCGGGACTGTTCGCGTTATAGCTTCCCTTTTTCTTGAGCTTCCAGAGCACCCGGAGGTCGGACTTGACCTCGCTCGACTCGGCGCTGTCGAGAAGTACCCGGACGGCCTTGGCCATCTCGACCGCCAGGTCCTCGGTAGTCAGAGCGTGCGTCCCGAGTGAAATGTACACAACGGGGCCGCTGGCAAGCCATGCATCGAGATCGGGGTCGACATCGGCCACCGATGGGACAGGCCGAACGATAGGCCCGCACGGCACCAAAAAGTCGGGAACCATCATTGGGAAGTCTAGCTCGGCACTGCCGCTAACCAGGAGCTTGCAGTCCGAGGAGCCAAACGCCAAGGAACCTATGGTCACAAGTTCGGCGTTGTTTTTGGCCTTAATGGCACTGGCCGTACTTTTAAGGTGCTTGTTGGTGACCAAAATGTAGACGATGAAAATCATGAAGCACACGTTCATCGGTTTTTGGTGCCATGGGACGGGACAGGCGAAAGCCGTCCCAGCACTAGACGAGAAGCACAGTCAGACACGGGGCGGCGGCTCGGCAGTTCAGGCATGGGACTCTCACATTGGGTATTTCCAGAAGGCGCCGCCCCGGGGCTGCTTGGAGAGAGCATAATCCTTGATGGAGCCGGGGGCCAGGACGATGAAGTGGGCGCCCACGTGACGGGCGGCCGTCAGGCCCGGCGCGAAGAGGCTGTTCACGCCGATGAGGTCGGGCTTTACCTCGTCGATGATGCGCAAGCACGAGTCCAGGCTCACGACGAACTCGTCGGGGCCCCAGGGCAGGAGCGCGTAGGGCATGTCGCCGATGAACTTGAGCGTGTTCCAAAAGCTCGGCGGCAGGCCGAAGGACGGGGGGATGCTCCCGAAGCGGCGGAATATCTCGTCGACATACGACGGGCCCGAGACCTGGTGGAACACAATGGGGGCGGCTGCGGGACTGGTGCGGCGGGCGTAGTCCGACGTGGCCGCAACGGCTCGCTCGGGCTGGCCGCCATATGTGGCCACGTGCAGCTGGACGGCCGGGGCGGCGTGCATCAGCGCATCGCACGTCGCCAGCACCACCGTGAGCTCGCCAAACTCGGCATTACTGAGGAACAGGATCTTCTTGGGCGGCGCCGCCATGGTGTCTTATCGTCGTTTGGGGGTATTCTGGCCGCGGCACGCTGCGTCGTGTTTTTGGCGAAGCAGAGAAGCGACGACGCCCGCGCCCGCGAGGGCCACGGCGGTGGGCGTCGGTGTACTTTATTGACGTGTCCCCGGACGACATGATACACGTAGGGGGCCTCATGTTGTTTTCGTGGCAGTGGGTGGCCGTGGGCCTCGATGCGCCCCTATTCAGGGCATGGGAAACTCTAACTGCGAAAGAAACCACCCATCCCCCAGTCAATCGCCAAGCCCGCTGTGGCCGCAATACAGCCTAAGCAAGCCAGGGCACCCATCCCCTGCTTGAAAAGGTACAGGTCCCAGGGATCACAAACCTTAGAACGGTGGATCCTAGGGGTACATCAGTTTGGCTTGGTTTTCCAAGGAAAAAAATGTTCTTGCTCCACCGCACTAGTGTTTGTGATCCCTGGAACCTATACTTCCTGCAACCCGACAGAAAACTGTTCAAACTTGTGCACGTCAATTGAGCTAATCCCTTGTCGCGGGCCAGTCAGGGTGCCACTTTTAAGTGGGTAGGTGGTTATATACCCATCACACCTAGTACAGGGAAAATAGGATATTAAACGTTACGACCCGCAGATCCTTCCTAATTAGGCCACTTTAAATCTACATTTTTTCCCATAGAAAATTCCGCCAAATTAATGTACCGCTACCCGCGCCTCCATTTACCAGAACCCACTAGAATCGTCCCAAGTTGTTAGTCACAATACATTAATTCCTACTACAAATTGTGCGTTAAGATATGTACCCCTATCCCCCTTGCTTATACCCTTGCTGACAAGACCCACAGCGCAACGTTTGATATCCTATTTTCCCTGTATGTGGTCGACCTCTGGCGGGGCAGCTGACGTGGAGTGGAGGCTTCAGCGGTGGCACCTCTTCCACCTATCAATTGCTGCTGCGGTCTCGGGGATTTACCATCTGCGAGGGTAAGTTGAACAGTAAAAACCCACCTCCCAACGGGGGTTAAAACTGGAGATCACAGGGGTGGCGAAAGTGGGGTCACGTGCTGGCATGAAGTCACTGCCATTATTGAAGTTGGTGAAAGAAGGAGAGAAATCGAGAAAAGCTTTTGAAGGACGAGAAATTCTTGAAGTCTCGTAACATCTACCGCGGCCCCTGCGATTTCCAGTTTCAACCCCCCTGTTACTGGGTGGATTTTTACTCTTTATTTCCCCCGCAGATGGTAGCACCCCCCTGCGCGACAACGTCAAGGTTGGGAAGCTCAATTCGATCTTGTGTTGACATGTGTTCGCTTCGCTTGGTGTTCGATCCTTGGTGGGAATGACAACGACAGGTAGCAGGGGGGGGGGTTCCTTTTCCTTTTTTTTTTTTTTTTTTTTTTTTTGACAAGGACCGACCATCAGCCTCGTTGCAGCTTCTCGAGCTTGTCTGCCTTGACAGTCCGCCTCGCCATCTGCCCGCACGGCCTGTCCACTGGGCGCTTTCCCTGGTCCCATGCCTGAGTCCTCAAGGATAGAGGCGAGCTGTCCGTTTGTAGGACTTGGCTCGCGTCGCCCTGCAAAGCCCCAAACGTCCTTCGCCGGCATGCATGGGTGATGTGCCGATAGGACCACCCAAGGCGGCGCACAGCGGCAGCCTGCCTGGTTGAGGCCTACCGAGCCAGCCGTGGCTTGGTGCACCGCTAGCCCAAATCCCCTCAGCCGCCGCCACAAATTGCCAATGATGTGTAACCAATAGTGCCGCCGCTCGGTCCTGGGGCTGCCTGCCAGGGTGCCTGTCTAGAGCTGAGATGGAGGAGAAACAGTCACACCGGACGAACGCGCAGAGGAGGGGAAGCTGGACCAAGAAGTAAAAAGTATATCATCAGCCGCCCTGGCAGTGTACTTGGCTGTTGTCTGTAGTCCTCCTGAGCAGTGGCAGCAACACATCTAAGCCAGGCCTGAACCACCACAGCCCCCCGACCCCGTGCAACCGCAAGCTTTGGGAAAGGCAACCACCAAGATGCTTGACCGGGAGCAGATATCCGAAACGGCCTGGAAATGGCGCTGCAAGATCAAGCAGTCCGTCACGCGCGGCGAGAAAACCGCCTCCGACTTTTCGGCGGATGACAGCTCAATCGAGCCTGCCAAAGCTGGGCGGCCAGGCGGCTTGTCCACGACAGCCGGTCCTACTAAGGACCCCATCCTGGGATCTAGCCCATCCGTGAAGATGCTGTACGAGGGACGCTCGTGTGGGGATGACTATGTGGACTGGGTTGACGTGAGTGTTTTCCTTTCTTCTCCAATATTGCGGTTAGTGTCTTCCCGTCACTGCCCAACATGCTAACTCTACAAACAAATCACAGTATCCACCCAAACAGTTGAGCAAGACTGCGGCGCGCGCGCAGGATCGCGTGGCTATCAGGCTCTACAAGGTCAAGGACAAGGACAAGCCCGTCATCTCGGGCCGCTTTGCTCTCAAGTATCACAAAATCGATATCCAGAATCCGGCTATGGTGGCCGCCCTCGAGCCCATCCTGAAACAGGAGGAGTGCCACCTGGATGTGAACGAAACTGCAACCTTCACCGAGCCCTTTCGCCCGCTCTACTTCTGCCAGGATCAGATCGTGGCCAAGTACCGAAGCCTCGCTGATGGCGATGCTCTCAAGCCCTTTATGCACCTGCTCGTCAGGGTCCTGGATGACGTCTTCTCCGACCTCAAAGCCAAGACAGCGGCTCTCAAGGAGAAGGGCCTCATCTCTTTCAAAACCGCCTGGACATTCTTCCCCCGGGACTCCGTCGTCATATCGTACGCCCGGAACTGCGAGATGCTATGCAAGGTCGTCGACACAGCGGTCCAGAAGGACATGTGTGGCACATCGCTGGCTATTCGCTGCAAAGTGATGCGCTTCAACGGCGAGGCCTTTCTCTGGGACGATCACAATGTTAAGATTCCCGCGTTTGCCGGAAATCTGCCCATTCCCGAGCTGCCTCACTACCCCCTTCACTTCCATCCGGATGCCGACCAAGTCAAATCTCGCATGGTCTCTAGGGGTGCAAAGGTCTTGGATTACCAAGGACTTACGTACTGCTGCTACACGGGTCTCGCTATCCGCCAGGCAGAGAGCAAGAACCCGGCTGAGAAGGACTGCATCGAGAAACACAATGTCGACGGTCGGATTCTCATCGACGTGCTCGGCTACAAGAAGCATCATCTTGCGCAGGGCGTCCGAGAAGACAAGGACCCTCACACGACGAAGAATACGGTTCAGGGAACTGGCCGGACTGGAGCCGCTCCTGGGAAGCAAGCGGCGAACACGAACGCGCCTGCCCCCGCGAAGCGGCTAACGGAGGAGGAGCAAGCAAAAAACAGACAGGCAATGCTCCACGACGAGAACAGACTGATGTTCATGTACCCGCTGATGGAAGGCTATGCGCTCAAGAACAAGCTCTGGATGAGCTTCTACATTGAGGAGATCAGGCCCATGGTCTGGAACGACGAGGCCTACGAGCATCTGGTTTACGACGAGCAGCAGAAGGACCTCGTACTCTCGTTTGTCGAGAACCACACCCAGAACAACCGCCACAAGGAGCTCGACGTCATCATGGGCAAAGGCCAGGGCTTGATAATTCTCTTGTCGGGCCCTCCGGGCACAGGCAAGACGCTGACGGCAGAGGCGGTCGCCGACAAAACTCACAGGCCGTTGTTCTACCTCCAGGCCGAAGACCTTGGCATCAACGCTGCAGCTCTGGGTGCCAACATCAAGACCATTTTCGAAATGGCCACCGAGTGGGACGCCGTCATCCTTCTGGACGAGGCCGACGTCTTCATGGCCGAGCGGCACCCACAGGACATTGCCCGCAATGAACTTGTCAGCATATTCCTGCGCGAGCTCGAGTACTTCAAGGGCATCATCTTCCTCACGACCAACCTTTACGACACCATCGACAGCGCCTTCAGGAGCCGCGTCTCGCTGCATCTCCTGTTCAAGTCGCTCAACACGGAGGCGCGTTTGATAGTGTGGCAAAAGTTCCTGGGACGGCTTCCCAAGGCCGAATCGAGAGCTCTGGCATCCAGCGGCGAAGAGAAAAGCCCTAGCGGCAAGGGCAAGGGCGCTGCAGCGCCCGATGGCGCCGCGGCCAGCGAGGGCGATAGCGGGGATGTGCAGGAGCTCACGCAAGAAGACATCAAGGAGCTGGCTGGCTGGCAGCTCAACGGGCGCGAAATCAAGAATGCAGTACGCATGGTACAGTCGTGGTGCACACACAAGGGCTACAACCTCACGCTGGACCGCCTGGAAAGCGGCATAAAGGTTACATCGCCGCACGCGAACAAGGATACCAAGCATGATACGAGTCTCTATGATGAGTGATCAAGGGATGTCGGGGGAAGGCTACTTGGTGGAACAGGGCAAGTAAGACAGCATAACCAAATAACATGCGAAAAACAATCAGAACAGAAAGACTTTTACGCGGCCATTGGCCGAAAGGCATCATGGTGCTGTGGTATTTTGCCATGTTGAGCCATCCTTGGCAGTTCCCTGTTAGAGCGGGGAAGGCATGCAGACAGGTTGCGTCGACGCTAGGCCTTTCTCGCCCTTTTCGATGCGCCCAGCCGCGCCGATTGGCCCTTTACCCGCTCACCCCCGCCTGCCTCTCAGCCGGCGAGAGCGCCTGAACTGCCATCGATGTTACATGAGATACCTTACGGGCGGGGGTGGGCTAGAGGGCATGTGCTATCATCGCCTTGTCTTTTTCCCCGTCTTGGCTGGCCGGACAGGGATGTGGAAACCCGGCCAGACCGGCGGAGTTCCTTGGCGGACCTATATAACTAGGACGAGAGCATCATAAAGGAAATATTGAGACTTTGGCTGTACCCGCTGTCCTGCACGCAATATACACCCTTTGGATCAAAAGAACCAGCCTCGACACTGCCCTGGATCTGTAGTAGCCATGATGGGCGCCCGCGTCCTTTTGCACTCGGTGCTCGTTTGCCTGGCTGGACTCACGCTCACCAACGCAGCCGCGGTGGTGAGGAGTGACGCCAAAACTGCCAACCCGGCGGTGGTAGACCTTGGGTATGCCGCTTATCAGGGTCTCGAAAACTCGACCACCGGTTTGACGGTATGGAGAGGGTCAGTAGAGCAGGATACATCTTGTTGTTAAGCGAATCATGTCAAAGGCAACGTTACTAATACGAGACCATATCTAACCCGCACTTTCCCGCACCAAACAGGATACGGTATGCAGCACCTCCAACAGGAAAGTTGAGGTGGCAGGCGCCCAAGCCTCCGGTGGCGAACCGGACAAGTGTTATAGTGGCCGATACGTTTGGGCCGCAATGTCCGCAGCAGTTTCCGGCATCAGACTCCGCCCCGCCCTTTCTGCAGGGCGATGAGGACTGTCTCTTCCTGGACCTTTACGCGCCGACCGGGAAGAGAAGCCATGCTCCCACCGAGAAGAGCGAGGATGGCGATGACCAGGACTCGGATTCACGGACGGGTGGCCTCCCCGTCCTTGTGTATATCCACGGAGGCGGATATGGGCTCGACAACTCGAGGTTGGACATGACCGGGTTTCTCAACGCCAATGACAACAGGTTCATCGTCGTCTCGATACAGTACCGGGTAGGTCGTGGCATGTTGATCGGTGGTTCGTAGCGCTTGAATATGTCTCGCTAACGCAAACTACGACTGGATAACAGCTGGGAGCGTTTGGCTTCCTTGCATCACCCGAGATCAAGGAAAAGGGAACTCTGAACGCAGGTCTGTTGGATCAGGAGTTCGCCCTGCAATGGGTTCAACGCCATGTTTCAAAGTTCGGAGGCAACCCGAGAAAGGTGACTCTGTATGGCGAGTCGGCTGGCGGGGGCTCGGTAATGATTCTCTCCGTCGCCAGGGACGGCAAGACGGGCACTTCGCTCTTTAGAAGTGTAAGAGCCGTCCGAGGGCAGGAGGGTGCACGTGGACGGTGGCCGGCATACTGACAGGATCAACAAAGGGCATCGCTGCGTCGCCGTACCTGCCCACGCAGCCCTACTACCACGACAACATACCCAAAGACCGTTACCGCGACTTCGCAGTAGCCGCGGGCTGCCCCGACTCGGGCCCGGTATTCGACTGCCTCGTCTCGGCCGACAGCCAGGCGTTGATTTTTGCCAACGCCAACGCCACGGGTCCCCGCAGCAGCGTCCCGTATGGAAACTGGTAGGCTAGGCTCGCTTGTAGCATATTCTGGACTTGCCCACGTCGTTGCTTCTACTGGCCTGCTGCTTGGATCTGACTGCAAGCCGCTCTTCAGGGCCTTTATCCCCGTAACGGATGGGACTTACCTCACAGAGCCCGCTAGCGTTCTCCTATCTCGAGGCGCGGTCAACGGGAAAAAGATTCTGACAGCGGTAGGTGCCACTCTGAGCAAGGGGTGCTGATTATCTGGGCATTGTGGCCCTTGATACCCACAGCCGGTCCTTTGGAGGCCCGTAGCTCACCCTTGTATAATGGTTGAGCAGAACAACGCCAACGAGGCGGCGCTGTTCACGCCTACGACGATCACGACCGAAGAGATCCTGAGGGCGTGGATCAAGAGCAACTACGTCAACCTGTCCGAGCAAAACGTCACGGCCATCCTCGACGCCTATCCCAGCGTCCCGGGCCCCGACGACCCCAGCAGCCCGCGGTTCGAAACCAGCGGCCTCGGCCCGGCCACCGCCGTTAACGTCAGCCAGGTCGCCGCGGGCCACCAGCAGAGGGCCTACAACATCTACGCCGAGTCCACCTTTGTCTGCTCGGCCTACTGGCTGGCCGACGCCTTCAGTAGCGCTAGGGGCCGCGAGACGTTTTACTACCAGTACTCCATCCCCTTTGCCCGCCATGGCGTCGACCTCGTGGCCGCGTACCTCACTCCCGAGCCGTCGCATGGTCCCGACTTTATCCGGGCTTTTCGACGTGAGTGCCATGCCCCGCACCCATACTCGAAGCCAGAGCCCAGACATTTGTAGCATGGCTAGCCCTAGTTGGTCACGACTTGTATTGGATTCACACTAAATTGCCCCCTGTACTCTAGGAATGTACGGCAACTTCATCGTTAGCGGCAACCCTTCCATCGACAACAGGCTAGCCAACGGCGCCTCGGCCCCGGACCCGAACAAGCCGAATCCGGCAAGCCGCTGGCCGAGGTGGACAGAGGACAACCGCGCCCTTGTCAACCTGAACCAGACCGGCGGGACCCCGTACAGGGTCGTGGCCTCGGCTGGGATTGAGGTCACCGAGTTCTCCCAGCCGGGCCTGAGCAACGACTTTTGGCAGGCCGACGCCTACGCGTGGGAGGGCGGGCGAGGGCGGAGGTGCGATTTCTGGAAGACTGCCATCAACAGGTTTGTTCCTCAGTGACGGTTTCAGGGATGGTATCAGGGGCCTGGCAGCTTTTTGGGTCAAGTCACGGCAGCATTTACACATGCAACCTGATGAAAAGCAAGAGTAGCAATGTCAACCGGTGCGTTCAGGCGCATTTTTTGAGCTGGATAATCAAACAATGGATGCCGAGAACGCGCCGCGAAGGTGCCGGTCCAATCACTACACCTAGCAGGCCTGGGAAAAGCAAGACGAGCCGGATAGCTCTCCTTCACGACCGCCCTCGGTCAAGATCGGCGTGCTCGGACCTGGGCACGGCGCATCGCCTCATGATGGAGACGACGGTCGGGAGGTCCAGCCTCGTGTCGACCACGACGTCGACAGAGCCCTCGGTGCAGGTGAGCAGGTGCAGGCGGCAGCTGCCGCGGGTGTCGCCCAGGAAGTCGGCCAGGCCGCGGAGGTAGTCGGCCGCGTCGCACCGGAGCGTCTCGTCCACGCCGACAAAGACACCGGGGTCCCCTTCGTCGTCGCCGTCGTCGTCGTTGTCGCGCGCGCGGACGTAGACGCGGTCGCTGCCCCGGTTGTGCCAGTACACCCGCAGCTCCTGGCGTGCCGCCGCCCGCCCGCGCTGTAGGGTCCTGCCCCTCTCCGGTTCTGGCTCTCGTTGCGCGGCCCGCCGCCCGCGATGGGACCTGTCGTCGTTTACTTCGGGCCTCGCGCTGTGGCCGGGTGTCGTCGCCCACCCCTTTGGCGCAGACGATGCCATCGTTGGCAGCTTGTGGCGTAGCCGGGCCGGCTGTGTGGCAAGTTGTATGTTACGTCAGATGGGTCAGTGTGTTAGCCAACCTTCATGTCTGGCTTCTGGCGGAGGAAGCCGTTGATTGAATAGTTGAGAACCTCTCCAAGGACAGTATCCTTTTCAGGTAGCTTGCGTCTTTATGGAAAATGTAGGTTGCATATGGCCCAAAGGAGAAGTAGGATGCTGTTGTTGAGAGTTGAGGCGGTCCACCGGGCCTTTTATAGAGCACAACCGATACACACGGTGACACCACTCGAAGTCGGTGATATGGGGCACATGTGGTAGCATCACCTCACGACGAGGTTGGACAAACTAGGGTGTGTCGGGAGTGCTGGGGACAATTCCATTCTCAACTGTAGCTATCACCTCGAGTGCCGTCACGTATCGACCTTCGGCACCCCTGCTTGTTGCTGTAGTTGTCAGGGTACCCCCTGTTCCTGCCCCTGCCCCTATGCTTGTCCTGTTCCTGTCCTTATGTTATCCCGATGTCTATTCCCGGCACGGTCACGGCACTGAAAGGAATAGACATTTACCAGAGGTGACTAACTGTACAAAAAAGACATTCCGAGATCAGAAGGAGTTACTACTTTCGAACAGGCCCATGTGGTTCTGCAGAATGATGATCGGAAACGGCAATTATTGGAAGGGCGTGGTTGTGGATTTGATACGTCAGTGTAGTTCCGTCTTGACTTGGGCTCTCCTTAAGCTTCTTCTCCTCCCCCATCCAGGCCGCAATCGGGTTACCATCCTAGATCCAGCCTTGGCAAAGGCTCGCTCTAGACTTCAGGGTCCAGGACGTGACACAGCAGGCTCATGCACGCACGACGTGGACAGGGCGAGATGCCGCCAGGTTTGGCGCTGGCGGTTTTTTCTTTCTTTTTTGAGGTAGTAGAGAATCTGGCATGCAAATTAAGATGCTGGCTGCAGACGTGCCTGGACGGGAGACGACCATGATCTGGTCTGGCCTCGACGACGATGGAAGGCGCATTGTGTGCATTCGCCAACCCCCCACTAGTCAACGTCAGCCGACGCCCCGCAATTGAGCCCATCCCCGCTTGGGCTGCGGGACCGACTCCCAGCGCAAAATGGGGCTAGCCTACCGCAATCACAGGGCCCCTCGGGCGGAATCCCACCGCCTGTCCCCAGGTACATGCCTTCTGACGGCACCTGGGCGACCAGCTGGGCTGTTCACCAGACGTCGATGACGTAGGCCTCAATCCCATAGAGCACAGCCGTCTGTACATACCTTTTGGGTAGGTACGTGTACCTCTGGGTACCTCTGGCACTTTCACAGCACAACACAACACAACACAGCACAGGGCACTCCGAGCCTGACGCCGATAACTCAGCTGAAGTTCCAGGCAACGATGCGACGCGAGGAAAGCATGCGTGGGCAGTGCGTGCCCCGTTGTGCAAAGACGAGGTAGGGATTGAGTAGTGTGTACTGGGAACAAAGCCGCTGTTTTGTCCGCATGCTACCCTGTGACACGCAGCACTATTTGGTGTCGCGGGGCACTTTTTTTTATTCTCTTTTAGCTAGCAACCAGTCGAGCTAATGCCGACGCGTGCCTCCCCAGTTGTACCCGGCGGGTCGGGCAGGTGGTGGTGGTGGTGGTGGTGGTGGTGTGGTGGGGGAGGAGCGAGGGGGAGCTGGGCCAAGGTACCACGGTACTTGGCCAAACCGGGCTCTGATCCATCCATGTGGGCTGGCGACGGGCACGCTTGCATGCCTGCCCGGTCCATCCATTGTGCATCAATCATCCATCCGGCCTTAGCTTCCGCCGCTTCCTTTCTTCTGCCCTCGACCTCGCCCCCTTGCCGGCCTTTTTCTTCCCGTCCGCCCCGACCTCCTTCTTCCTGTCCTAGCCCCATACTTACCTAGCTATCCCTCTGGCGCCGATATGACGCCCGCCCTCCTCGATCCGCCACCGAACAAGACCAGATAGAAACCGAATCTTCCTAGACGCAGCCGCAGACGCAGATTCAGACCGATCCGACGGCATCGCCCTTGGCTTGCCTCGAAACCTTTCGTCGACCATGTTTGACATCTTCGCAAAAACGCTTTCGTACGTTGCTGGCCGCACCACCAACATATAGACAATCAGACCCCCGCCTCCGTCTCGAGACCCGAAGGCTAACTCAAGCGCTCGCCCAAGCGACACAGCTCCATCGCTTCCTTCCTCTTCCCCCTCTTTGGTTCCTACAAGGCTCTCAAGACCAACGATCCGGCCCAGCTGACGCCATGGCTGATGTATTGGGTTGTGCTCGCCTGCGCGCTCCTTGTTGAGTCCTGGACCGACTGGTTTCTATGCTGGTATGCCGATAAATCCTGTGCCGCCTACCCCGGCCTTCTTGCTGACTCTCCCTCGTTTGCGTGTCCAGGGTACCCTTCTACGCCTATATACGCTTGTTCTTCTTCCTATACCTCATCCTGCCCCAGACCCAGGGCGCTCGCATCATCTACCAGGAGCAAATCCACCCGTACCTGCAGAAGAACGAGGACGCCATCGACGAGTTCATCGCCTCGACCCACGAGAAGCTTCGCGCCGCCGGCCTGGCCTACTTGCAGGACGCCATCGAGTGGTTCAAGACCAAGGTCCTGGGCCTACCGCCCACGCCCGAGCAGGCCCCACCTCCCACGGCCGCTCAGTCGGCCCAGTCCTACACTCAGAACCTGTTTGCTAGGTTCAGCCTGCCCGCCGCGCGTTGGGGTGGTGCCGCCGGTGCTCCGGACCCTGCCGCCGGCGGGGCCGGCGGGAATGATGTATTCAGCATGCTGGCGGGCGCCGTGAGCGCCGCCCTCAGCGCACCCTCTACTGCCGCCCCTGGTCATGGCAACGTCTCGAGGAGCGCCGGCGCCTCGAGCAGCATAATCCCCAGCTCCGTTGGTGAGGCCGACAAGGCTGATTTCATCGCGACCCAGCGCGACCGCCTGACCGCGTTGCTGGCCGTGCTCGACCGCGAGGCGGCCCAGCTACCCAACTCCAAAGCTCCGACTTCGTCGTCAACCCCTTCGGCCCCATCACAGTCGAGGTTCGGCCGTGTGCTTGAGGCCGTGGAGGGCCTCAACCTGGAGAAAAACATCAGCTCGGGTAGCTTCCCGTGGAAAAACTCGGCCGCAACCGACGAGTCCTCGGGCAGTGGGCTGAGCAAGTCGAGGAGCGAGCAGGACTTTGAGAAGATCGAAGCCGAGAGCGGGGCCGAGGACGCTGACGACGGCACGGGCGTCCGGCGCCGGGGGCCCCAGGCCGGCGGTGCCTGGAACCCTTTCGGCTGGGGAGCTTCGCCGTCGGCCGGCGGCCCAGGCGCCCACCCCGATGCTGGCGCGAGCTCTGGTGTCGACAAGTGAACGAGTCGGCCATGACGCATGAATTTTGGCTTGCCATTGCCACCTTGTGGTTCACATTTGGCGAACATCTAACGCCTTTATCCTTCTTTAGTCAAGGGAGCTTTTTTTTTTTTGGATTTGGATTTGTTGGGTTTGCATACATCATTCTTTCAACCTGAGTGGTCGGGGGCCAAGGGAAAACCGGCGCAATTAGAGCTTGCCGCAAGGTGGACTTTCACGTCCGTCCGACTTGGCCGAGTGCCAGCTTGCTTGTGGCGATGCGCACAGGCTTTGTACATAAGTAGTTGACAGACAGCTGCAGAGACGATGGCCTATGCGCAGACGTCCGCCAAGTAGCGCTGGTTCATCATCATGACCTTGATACGAGGCTGGCAGGCACCATGTATGAGTTAGGACATGTTTCAACAGCATAGACATGCTCATTGCGATTTCTATACTTTGATCTATGTTACACGCGCCGGTTCGTGGGACAGACAAAAAATTTGCTACATACAATATCAGGTATCTAGGCCGCAGTCCAGGGTTCCTTCAATGACATCAATCATGTCGTCGGCCAGGGTGGCCAGCGAATTAGGCATGCTAAGAGCGGAGGGTGGAGCGGCGGCTGCTGCTCGGGATTTTATGAACAGTCGTCTAATGCTCGTCCTCGTCCTCAGGTCCTCTTGTAAGGATAGGCGACCTCGCCGTCCTTGCGCGTCCAGATCTGGCGCTTCTTCTTGTTGACGACGTGCTCTACCCAGACCTCCTGGGCGTACTGCTTCTTGAAGGAGCGGATGAAGCGCGGGTCCCAGAGCTCGGAGCCGATGCCGAGGTCCTTGCAGCAGCGCATCAGGGCGTTGGACTTGCAGCCCTCGCCCGCGGTGGGGATTGACTCGTCGCTGAAGTATTGGCACTCGCCCCGGGCCTGGCCGACGAATCTGTGCTCGAGTTTATTAGTAAAGGGCAGGAGGAGGAAAAGGGGGTTAAAACGAAAAAAAAAAAGAGTACACACCTGCCGTGGCAAACGAGCGCATACTCCCTGGTGACAATCTTCTCGCCGACGATGAGCTCGCCGCGGGGCGCCAGGCCCCAGCCGCCCGGGCCGAAGGCGCGGTTCAGGATGCGGCGGTACTTGATCTCGGGCAGGTAGATGATGCCGTCGGGCTTGACCTCGACGTCCTCGGGGTCGAGCGGGGCCATGAGGATCTGGGCCGCCTCGGTGCTGTAGGGGATGGAGCCCAGGCCGTGAAAGGAGGCGGACCAGTCGATGGTGCCGTCGCCGGCCGGCGGGTCGGGCACGGGCGTGAAGCGCGACGCCGCCGTGGCCGCCTCCGAGGGAGTCGCCGCTGCCTGCGGGTCGAGGATCGGGGTGGCGAGCGGCTCGGGCGCCATGGCCGGCTTTGCCGCTGCTGCTGCTGCTGCTGCTGCTGTCGGCTTCGCTGCTGTTGTGGTTGGCTTGGCCGCTGTGGTGGCGCTGGTGGTGGACGACTTGGAGTAGACGGCCCTGGCCGGCGCCCTGGGTTTGGCTGCGGACGAGGCCGCGGGCTTCGCTGTGACCACGGAGCGGCAGCCGAGCGGGGTGCGGAACGGGAGCAGCGCCGCCGGCCGGAGCGGCCGCAGTGTGCGCGTCGCCGAAGCTCTCATCTTGGGCGGATTGTTGTGAGAGGGGGAGGAAGGGGGTGTCGGGACGGGCGAGAGGGCGCGGGGAAGCACCGGGTGTCCAAACGAAGTGCCCGAGACGGCCGCTGCTGGCTGGCACGCTGTGGGCGGACAGAGGTCGGTACTTGAAGTTGCTCGGCAGCTGAGTTTCCCGCGGCTCTCGTTTGCGGATTTGGATTGTCGGCTCGACCGCAATTGACTGCGTCAATAGGTGTGGGAACAGGGAAAATCACGATGCGCAAATACTCGATATCAATCTTTGGAGCACATCAATTTGAAGATTTGGGTGGATCCACTAAGAAATCTGCTTGGCGCGGGAAGACTCCCCCCACGCGTTGAGGGGCGGGGCGGGAGCTTGGGCCAGTGATTGTAATCTGGTGTAATCTGGCGATGCCTTGTGCCCCTCTGGCGAGAATTCTCTCCATCCTGTTGACGGGCAGGGGCTGAGCTGGAGTGGTAGTCTAGCAACCATAATCAAATGCGAAAACCAGCCCTCACTCCCGCTCAGCATCCTTGGTCTGGGTGCGCTTGTCGTTATTGTGCCGTTTCCAGCACTCGCGGAATCGCGTCAACTGGATGGATGTTGTTGCCGCAAAGTCTCAGTGATATCGCATCAGTACGCCAGGCTGGGGAAAAGCAGAGCCGCAGCCGCACGTACCTCATCGGTGCATTTCCTCCAGTCCTTCTTCTCCGAGTGGCACTCTGTGAGCTTCCAGTTCTCGTCTAATGTGCCATCAGCCGTTATAACTCCCACAAGGTCAAAGGCACAGGGCGCCACGCACCTGCACAGCCGGTGCTGAATATGCGCTTGTCCCTGGACATGGCTTTGTCAGAAGGACATAGGGTCAGGGATCACGTCCTCACATGCATACCACTCGTCCGGCTCGTCATCGTCCTCGACTGCCTTATTCTCGGCATCACTTTCGTTCTTGGACATGCTTGAATTACTCGACGAGGCGAGACTTGAGTTGGTGGTTGAGGCTTGAGTCAATATCGTGCGATGTGTGATGTGTGCTTCAGTTTTTTGTAGTTGCAACTAGCGGCCGCTATGTAACCTCTATTCCAGGTGGTCCGGCGCACTAAAATCGGACCTCCGCAGCTGATTCAGGCTGCTCTGTCCCGTGCGTGCGCAATTCAAGACCTAGCGTCAGCACCAAACCCCAACTATTTGTACCTGACGGCCGTGATAAATCGCTCAACCTAAGCCTCACTATTTCCCATGGTTAGCACATCAACTCTAGTCAAGGCCATTGCCAACGCCGGCCTGGGTCTGCCAAGATGGCCACTAGGAAGCTGAACATCCTGATATACACAGGTTAATTCTCCTCATCCCCTTGGCTTCCATGTAGATCCAGGACATGTTGCTGACACCGACTTCACCACCCCAAAGGCAGCGGCGCCGCTACCGAATCGATAAAACATGCCGTCTTTACCCTGCGCCGGCTCCTGGCACCGAACTACGCCGTCTCCACCATCGGCGAGTCTGCGCTGCTCAAGGAGCCGTGGGCCCCTACCTGCGCCATGCTGGTGTTCCCCGGCGGCGCGGACCTCGGCTACTGCCGCGTGCTGAACGGCCCAGGGAACGCCGCCATCGCGGCCTTTGTCCGTCGCGGCGGCAGGTACCTCGGCTTCTGCGCCGGTGCCTACTACGGCTCCGCCCGCTGCGAGTTCGAGGTCGGCAACAAGGTCCTCGAGGTCGCCGGGCCTAGGGAGCTCGCCTTCTTTCCCGGCACCTGCCGCGGTGGCGCCTTTGCGGGGTTCCAGTACCACAGCGAGGCGGGCGCGAGGGCCGCCCTCGTCAGGCTCAGCCGCCATGAGTTCCCCGTGCGCCAGCCGGGCATGTCGGATACGCTGCGCACCTACTACAACGGCGGCGGCGTCTTTGTCGATGCCGCTGCCTTGGCATCCAAGGGGGTGCATGTGCTCGCCGAGTACGAGGACGAGATCGATGTCGACGGCGGGAGCGGAAGACCCGCCGCTGCTGTCCACGTCACAGTTGGAAACGGACACGCCTTGCTCTTCGGCCTCCACCCAGAGTATGTGTGCCCCGCAACGGCGCCGTCCAGGGGCCTAGTTCTGTGAGGGCTAAGTAAACACAGGCTCGGTTGACTAAGACATCTCACACCCGGCTTGCTTGCATAGATTCTCGCCTTCTCTCCTACCCCCTCAGTCGAGCGTCGAGGGATATGACAAGCTCATAAAAGATCTCACGGCCGACGAGGAAGCGCGGACCGCGTTCCTGCGAGCTTGCCTGACCAGGATCGGTCTGGATGCCGTGCAGGAAGCGGCGGCGACACCTTCGCCGACCAGCCTCCACCTCACTTCGGCCACACACCAAGAAGTCAGTGAACTGCTCCATTCACTTGAGGATGTCATTACCAAGGAGCACGGCGCAGAGCTCATCAAGGCAGAAGGCAACACGTTCCGTATTGTGAACTCGGCAACGGCATGGTCCATGTCCGACCTCGAGTACGCCGTCGACGGTGGCAGAGTCGAGAGGGGCACTAGCCCGCAGATAGAGAACCTGTTCGCGCACGAGGAGGGCTGGCCCAACCCCAAGATGACTCCTGCCTTCAATCACGCCCTATACTATTCCAGTCTGCAGAACTATCGCAGGCGGGAAACGAGCTCGTACGACTGGGGGAGCCCCTTGATGTACGGGGAAGTGGTGACGAGCACCAACACGATCCTTGAAACGTACCGTCTCCAGTCCTATTCTATAAGCTCTCAGCTTGGCCTCTCTTGAAAGCTTACTAACCAAGTACAGGAACCCGAAGCTTCTGGCCAAGCTGCCTACGGGATTCACCCTGGCCGCCACCACGCAGACCTCAGGCAGGGGCCGCGGCAACAATGTTTGGATTGCACCGCCCGGGGCTTTAATATTTTCCACCGTAATTAACCATCCAGCCCACCTTGTGGCCTCCCGGCCGATAGTGTTCATCCAGTATGTAGCCTCGATCGCTCTGATCGAGGCAATTCAGAGCTACGGCCAGGGCTACTCTGACATGCCAGTGAGGCTGAAGTGGCCCAACGACATATGTGAGTCTTCTCGCGCCGAAGCCATGTCGTCTCAGGGGACCAGCCGATGACTGACAAGATCGTGGCACACGACAGACTGCCGCGATCCCACGCAACCCGCAGATCCGCCGCAGTGGGTCAAGATCGGGGGTATGCTCGCCAACTGCTCATACGCGTCGGGCAACTACCAGGTGGTGCTGGGCATCGGCATCAACACGTCCAACCCGCGGCCGACGACGTCTCTGGACGCGCTGGCCGAGGCGGCCAAGCGACCGCCATTCCAGATCGAGCAGCTGCTGGCCCGCATACTGACACGCATCGAGGCGCTCTACAACGAGTTCATCTCGCGAGGGTTCACGGACGACCTCGAGGAGCGCTACTACAAACACTGGCTTCACTCGGACCAGCTGGTCACACTGGAAGCTGAGGGCGGCGTGCGGGCCAGGATCGCCGGCATCACCCGGGACTGGGGCATGCTGAAGGCGGAGGAGCTGGGAACGGGCGACAGGCCCACGGGCCGGATGTGGGCGCTGCAGAGCGACGAGAACAGCTTTGACTTTTGGAAGGGCCTGGTGAAGCGGAAGACCTAGACAGGCGCGATACAAACAGCGGGGTTGGGAGATCAGGGCTCTCGCTTCCGTCAAGATACGTATAGAATAGAAGGACAGGAAAAGGAGAAAAGAGCGAACTTCGAATCTCACACTTGCAAGTACACCATCCGACACCGCCTTGGTCGTGGATGGAGGACGCAGCTGCGAGTACCCGGCTCACCGCCATACAAGGAATTGCCCCCAAGACTCACCTACTTTGTTTCGCCCTGCGAGGTACGGACGGGAAGGCAGGTAGCCGCCGCAAGTTTCATCGCCCGGAAAGCCCATCATCACCTTTAGCCCTCTTTCGTCAAGGGCCGGCCTGAAGGAAGTGGTAACTAACCGTCCAGCTCACCGCCAACCATGAGAAGAAGAAGAAGAAGGAAAAAACCCAGTGTGTAACAATTGTGGATGTGATTACGCGTGTCGCACGTAGCAACACGGCGATGCTGCACTCTCGAGATCGCCGCTCTGGCATAAATCGACGTGGTTACAGATTCTGGGGAGGGAAGGAGGGACAGGGCTTCCCCGCAAAGCGTTCGGCTGTTATTGTCCTTTGTTGTTTTTTCCTCCCTCCTGGTTGATCCGGATTCCGTATTGCTGGGACCACTCCCCTCCAGCATTTCATCCTATTCTGCCTCAAATGCAGCCAATGGCGCACTCGTATTTGGGCACGGAGGGAGCACCCAAGTGGAGAGGAGGGGTGTATGCATCCATCATTGTGTGTGTACGTGCCCATGCGGGCTGCAGCCATTATTGTCGACATGCTCGTCCCGCCGCCGCCCCCAGACACTCCGCATCGCCCGATGTAGTATGGCAGACATGGGCAGGCGTAGGTAGGCGGATGCGCGCTCTGGCCACCATGGAAAGAAAGAGACGGCAGACGGCCCGGCAGCGTGCAGGACACTGAGCCCTCCTGCGTTCTGCCACCTTCTGCCACGTCCTTGCCCTTTCCCGCCTCTCGGCCGCGCACGCATCCGGCCCTCTGACCGCATGTGTCTCGATATTGCCACTGCACACATTTTCTCTGGTGCCGTCGGGGGCCCCGTGCGCCCACCACTGTTATGCCCTCCTTGCGGCCGTGTTGCGCCGCACGCAGATCGAGGACCGTATCGCTATCGCGCATGCCCTCGTATATATGCTACGGGGCCGCGCCCTGCGCCCATGGTGGGTTCCCGGTAGTATACCTAGTCATCACTTTTCCCTAGCATCCGACGTATACACACCTAACTCACCTACAGCGTCTCGCATTCAAGAGCTGGATCGCGCCGCATCGCGTCCCCAGACAGTCAGCTTTACCACAGAGGCTCCTGTGTGGAGTACACGGAGTCCGAATGCTTACGCTGGAATCTCGCGGTCAACTGTCTCGATAGCCGACAGTTGCCTGTTCACTCGATGGCTCCTCTCAACCAAACCCAGATGACACCGGCTTCGCAGGACCCGTCAGCGCCGCCAAGGGGAGGTGGCGGCTCGGCCATCATCGCCGGGCTCCTGGTCCCGCACGCCGTCTGCACCATCTTTATAGCCACGCGGGCGTGGTCGCGGCTGCGGGTGCTGCACAAGTGGTTCCTCGATGACACACTCATCGTTGCCGCCTGGGTCTTCTCGACCGCCGTCTGCGTCGTCTACACCATCGCCGCCGAGCTGCCCAGCATCGCGCAGTCCATGGTGCTCACGGCCAGCAGGGACGCGGGCCCGCTGGGCGACGAGGACGTCCGGCCGTACCTGCTGCGGACGTACCTCGGCCTCATCTTCTACCAGATGTGCCTTTGTCTCACCAAGCTCTCCATCCTGAGCTTCTACCTGCGCATGTTCAGCTCGCGGCCGCTCGAGCGCCGGCTCGCCTGGGCGACCGTCTGCCTCGTCCTCGCCTTCGGCCTGCCCCTGCTCGCCATGAGCATCTTCCAGTGCCACCCGGTCACGGGCGAGTTCTTTGGCAGCCGCGGCGGCGGCGGCGGCGGCGGCGGCGGGCCGCTGCTGTGCTTCTCCTTCACGCCGCTCCTCATCGCCAGCGCGAGCCTGCACACCGTCACCGACGCCTGGCTGATAGTGCTGGTAGTGCCCTGCGTCTGGACGCTGGAGCTGCCGCCGCGCCAGAGGGCGGCGCTCGGCGTCGTGCTCTCGCTCGGCGTCTTCGTCATGGCCGCCAGCCTGACGCGCCTGCAGCTCTCGCTGCACGCCAACCTCCGGCCCAGCGGCTCCGGCGTCCAGGCCACCGACGCGCTGGCCTTCTTCGTAATGACCATCCTCGAGTGCGACGTCGCGCTCATCTGCGCCTGCGCCCCGACCCTGCGCCCGCTGCTGGCCAGGTTGTGGCCCCGCTCCAGCATGGGCGAGGACCCGGCCAAGCGGCGGACGTCGGGGCGGACAGGCGGTGGCGGCGGCGGCGGGCGACGTCTCGCACGGCGTCGCACCCACAGCGCGAACCTGACGAGCATTATCAGCCACCAAGGAGTCTATCCCTGGGCGGCCAAGAGCGAAGCAGACAGCGCATCTAGCAAGCAGAGACACCAGCAGAACCAGGCAACACTTCAGCAGGCTCGGATCCCAGTGCCGCCGGCGCCGACCCACTCAGTCGCTTACCGGACGCCGACGACGCTGAGCCTGAAGAGCCTCATGAGCGTTGTCTCCCCCCGGAGCCGAAGCGCGACGGTGACGGACCGCGCCGAGGACCGGGCGGTCCTACTCCGGGACGGAGACTCCATGGAGCGGCGCAGGCGAAGCTCCGCAGGGAGCCACGGGCACGAGAGGACAAGAGCGGACAACACCGGCAAGGGCAACCGCAACAGCAACGGCGCCGGCGCCGGGGAGTGGTCGCACAGCCAGGAGAGCTTCGTGCTGGGGATGAACGACCCTGCCAGCCCGCACAGGCTGAGCCCCGTCTCGGGCTTCAGCGGTCCGACGCTGGCGGACGCCGACAGCCAATCGAGCGGCGATGAGGGTGCTGGGTTGGAGATGGGGAGACAGACGAGGGCAAGGACGAGGACGTCCTAGTCTAGAGGGCGAGTCTGTGCTGGCCAGGATGATACTCAGGTGCAGTATAGGTAGACACCTAGATACCTAACTACCTCCCTCCATAAGGTAGGGACATGATCAATGTATCGCTCGTTGTAGGCGTTGGACCTGAAAATCACGATTCTCGACGTCAACGTCTCAAAGCATGGACTTGGGCAGTGGGGCTTCCCCCGCCAATTTCCCCCAGTTCATCCTCAGCACGGTCCACCCTTGGCGTAACGGATAGGGTCGTATCCGTGCAGGGATTGGCCAGGCGCCATCTGATCCTGATGTCTGGATTTCCCCCTCCGTCCCATCTCAGACCCACCCCTGGCCAGTTGCGAAACCAGGGACCCCTGCCGGCCTCAGAGCTACCCGCCGCATATCGCCAGGGTGCCGTTGCATCTCGAGCACGATGGGTGACGATGGCCCTCAATATCCTTTGTTGCTCTGTTGCTCTACATCATATTCCTTCTATTGTAGCCTTACAGCTATCAAGTGATTGCTACGGGACTACCAGCTCCAGGCTGGGACTCTGCCTGACGCCTACGCGGCTCACCTAGACGCCACCCTTGCGACGGCATCCAACTCGTCTGCCTCAGCCCTCGTCGCACCCCATCCGAACTCTCTCAGATCCCATCCGATGCCGATATTGGAGGGGCCGATCCCGCCGCCTTGATTCCCACCCACCTGGCTCTTCCCCGGCCTTCCGGCTGGGCCTACCCGCCCTACGACCCTTGCCCATCCAGAACCCCACCTGCCGCTATCCGCTACCATGTCGTCTTCGGGTCTGGGCCTGCACGCTGGGGGCCACGCGGGATGTCCACCATCATCAACGTCTCTCCTCCCCCCTGCCATATCCGCCACTCCTGTGCTTTCTCTCGACTGTTGACTTCATGCCTTGGCCTCGTCTCTTTGCCCTTTTTGGTAGCCGAGTGGTGGATATTTCCCCGGTTTTGGAGATGGCCGCCGCGCGCGTCATCCGACACCGTTGGACGGTGCCCACAACGGGGTCTGGCCGTCTCTCGAGTCCCTCGGTCACACACCCCGGTCAAGTGAACCCTGACCTTTTTGCCCGGATGATCTTGCCTGGATTCACCATGGTGCCGCCTCCTTTATCATGGCCTTCCGCCTTCCAGCCGTTCTGTCGCCGGTTTTGTCCAGCTTGGTTATCTCATCCCCGAGCTTGTACTTTTGTCCCACCAACCATTATCACTGTCTCCCTTACCTAGCTCCTATTCGTTCGTCGTCCAGTTGAAATCAGGACCTAATTCACTCCGATCCTTATATACGTCTACTTATCCGCCGCCAGTCCGGGTTTACACTCGTCCGCCGGATATTCTCCTGTTGCTTTCAGGGTTCCCGGCCACAACAGCAAAGGGGCCAACCTCTGTGTCCGTCCTTTCACTCTCCCGCCCATCGTGTACAACACCCACCGTCTGGAACACGATGGTGGCCACATTATGTTGATGTCGAGGGCGTTGCACGTCCTTTCGCTAGGCCTGTCAGTATTTGCCGACGCTGATCCTGGCTCTGGACCTCAAAGTGTCCAAAACAAACCTTGCTCTCTCGAAGAAATTTGGGCGGCTGGTGGCTTAGCAAGGCCGGTGGGCGCACTCTCCGCGGAGCCAACACAGCGACGACTCAACCAAGTACAACGCAAAGCTCCGGTATCTTGGGATCTATGGAGATATGGACCAAATCAAGATCCGGGGTTCGTTCGAATCCTCGACGTAAAAAAGACCAAGAAAAATCTTGGAGTGAGACAGGAACCACTCAGGTGAGCTTGCGCCGTCGAGACATACATTTATATACTGAGCTGACATCCCACATAGCCTGGTATCTATACTCATTGCGACGACCACAGCAACTACTACAAAAACAGCCACTTCATTTGTAGCCACGGTCGTTTCAACATTCACACAGACCCTTACTTTTCTCAACCCTACACTTCAAACACAAACACAAACGGTTGCCATCACGTCTGTCATTGCTCGGGGGAAAAGGTCCCCTAGGACTATTATTCCTAAAAATGCCCTAGCAGCGACAACAGGTTATACGTTTACAACAGCCGCAGATGTACCCCCAGGCTTTCTTCTCTCCCGCGAAAAGCGGCAGGCTGGCCAGACATCTGTGGTGGCCGATATTCCGGCTATTCAAACATCGGCCACCACGGTAACAGCAACAACGACCATAACTGTTGGGGCAGGGACCCGCACGCGGATAATTACTATTTTCGCCACAGTAACGGTGGCACCTAATGCTAAAACAACTATCTTCACTACCACAACAATATTTACAACCTCAACTGCGATCACCACTAGTGCCGCCGGAGAGCCAACTACTGTCACAAACCCAGTGGCTCCTGGAGGAACCACGCGAGATCCTGCACTCAGCTCCGGAGCCGGCACCACCAGCGAGACCAGCACTGGCGGGACATCGACCGCTGTGACACCAACAACTGCCACAAGCTTGCCATCCACTTCGGTAACGACATCAGCCAGCATCCCACCGACTTCGACTGCTACCATAACCGACACCTCCAGCGGAACCGCAGGCCCTGGCACTTCGGCGCTGCCTTCTCCGACCGCTGGACCTCCGCACGGCTCCGCAGTCCCGGGCTCCATCCTCAGCTCCGACCAGATAGCCGGCATCGTGCTCGGGCTAATCTTCTTCATCTTCCTCCTCATAATAATGTCTTTACTACTGCGCCGCCTGATCCAGAAGCGCCGGGCGGCCCAGGCGGAACGGCGCCACGGGCTCGGCCTCGACCTGGGTGCGACGGCCCCGTCCGGCCCCTCCCTCGCGGCGTCCGACTCGACGCCCGGCGACGCCAACCGGGTGCGCATCGTGATCCGGCCGGCACCCCCGCCGCGTGGCGCCTCCGCCTCCGGCGCCGCACCCGACGACCAGCCGCGGTGGCCGACGCCGCCGCCGGGGAGCGACTGGGGCCCGACGCTCTTCCTGGACAACAACGGCAACACGCACGGGCGCAACTCGCCCGCCGCTGCCGCCGCCGCCGCCCCGCCCGACTCGCGGCGCTGGAGCATCACGAGCGACTTTGGCGGCACCCCCGGCCTGGGCCCTCCCGAGCCGGCCGTGGTGGCGGCGGCGGCGGCAGGGGCGTCGGGTGCGGTACGCTACTCGGGCGTGCCGTCGTCCGGGGTCATGGGGCGGTTCAGCGTTGCTGATGGTAGCAGTGTTGAGCGTGAAAGTCCGGCGCGCGGAGCCGAGCACACGGCCGCCACCGGCGGTGACGGGAGCGGAAACGTTAGTGGGGGGTGAAAGCGGGAGCAGCGGCGCCCCCCGGACGAGACTTTCCCCTCCCCCGACCCGCAGCAGACCAGGTTATAATATGGGGAGCGTAGGCATTGGTCGTGCAATATAATGTCACTTTTTCTTTACATAAATCAAAAGGTATTGGCTTTTTGTGATGGTACAGATTATATTCTACATACGCCGTCTCAAGAATCTTGGGGCGAAAAGCAAAGCAAGCAGCCTGATTTTCACCGCCCATCTGGCCCCAAGGCATATCCTGCCAGATTTAAACGCCGGGCCATGCAGCAGTCGAGTGAAGATGTGTGCCAGTATAGAGAGAATAAGGAAAAGTTTCGTAAGCGGAAGCAAATGTCGTGATGGCGGGGAGCCTTTCATGTCGCTAGAGAATGTGTGTAGAGGAGATGTCCTGGGTCGGGATTCGTGGCTAGTTTTCGTGACTTTGCCAACGTCGGTGTCGTCGCTGTTGTATGTGCCGCAGGAGGCCGCGGGGAAAGAGGACTGGAGCCCAAGCGGGGCTGGGTTGTGTCATCCCCTGCGCGATGTCTGGGGCGAGGGGTTGGCAGGCAGCAGATACGGATTTCTGGCCTGAATAGGTGCCCAGCGAGCATCTCCCACCGCCAGGCCCCGTGCGTTGCCCGGGGCTATATGTCCTTTGGCCGCTCCTTTGGCTGATTGTTGTAAACGTTGGGCTTCCACCCCTCCCGGATCTCGGCCTCCTGCTCCGCCTTCTCCATCATGGGCCGCAGCTCGTGCTCGAGGCGCTCGCGGGCGCGCAGGACCTTGCTCTGCAGGTAAAAGGAGCCGCCCTTTTGCGGGTCGTTTACGTCGAACAGGGTCTTGAAGCGGGACATGACCTCCTCGACGTTGCCCTGGCCGTCCTTTGGCGGCTTGACGTTGAGGATCTGGCACGCCTCGGACAGCGTCATGCTGCCCACGCCGCCGCCGCCGGCCGCACCCGTGGTCCCGCCGGCCTTGGCCTGGGCGCGCGCAAACTGCGACGACGCCTGCGCGTGCCTGTACGACTCGGCAAAGGCGCGGCCCAGCGACCTGCCGGCGATGATGGCGGCTTGTATTACTGCCCGGTGAGCCTGTTTTCGGAGGGGGGCAAGGGAGGCCGGTTAGCCTGGGGCTCGACGTCGAACGGTCCTCCTCGGCGGGATGGGGCGGGTGTTTCGTACCATTGTCGGTGTTGGTGCTTGCTGCTGCTGCTGCAGGTCACGGGGCTCTGTTGATTTTCACTCTGCTTTTGGCTGCCAGCACGCTCGAGGGTGTGACGGACGGGTTGTGCGGCAGGGTAGCCTCGAGGAGCTGGTCGGCGGCGGAGGGGGGCTGTCTCGCAGGAACGGGTGCGAGGTGGCGGGAAAAATCAGAAATGCGCCGACTTGTCGGGAATCCCGGCCGTTTTTGGTGCCCCACTTCGGATTAGATTGACCTACCATTGCGTGGCTCAAGCTTTCGGCCCAGCCACACAGGCAGCCTCCTGCCGTCACCACCTGCAGCAGGCGCGAGGCCACACAAGCCAGATCCATCAATCGCCGAACCGATTGAAAGCACAACGTCGCAGCTTTCCCGAGGCGCAAACCACCGCTGCCCCCTGCCAGCCACCAAGAGCTGCCTGCCTCCCTCCCCTCCCGAACGTCACTTTACTGGCCCCCATCGCACACGTGTCTTTGGCCTCGTGTGCCTCTCTATCGTCCAATTTTCTGGCGCCCGTCCGCCGCAATCCATTCCCGCAGCCCTCCTTCCCTTCATCGTTGCTGACCGCTGTGCGAGCGAGCATTGCGACCGACCGACCGACCGACCCTTTGGCAGCGCCTCCCTGCCTGCCCCCGTCCCCCACCATTTGCGCGCTCGACTTGCCAACCGACCCGTCTTCCCCCCATATCCTCCTACAATCATGTCTGGCTACTACGGCGCCCCGAATAACCAAGCATACGCCCCCTCGTCGGCGCAGAACCTCCAGTTCTACCCGTCAACATACTCGCCCGGCGTCGGCGGCGCCTCACAGCAGCAGGGTGGCGGCTACGGGGGATATGGCGTGCCTCCACAGGGCGGCGGCGGCGGCGGCGGCGGCGGCGGTGGTGGCTATGGCGCGTCGTCGGGTTTCAACTCGGGGTTCGGCGCCGCCGCGGGCGTGTCCGGTCGCATGGGCGAGCAGGGCGGCCTGAGGACGGGCTGGCTAGCCGCCTTCTCGACCGAAGGCTACGATGAGGAGCCGCCACTGCTCGAGGAGCTCGGCGTCAACTTTGGCCACATCCGGACAAAGGTGCGTGCGCTTCCATGGATCAGTCTTTTTCCCTTTCCTCCCGCTTCCTCCTCCAGGCAACGAACTAACGGGCAGTTATGTCACTCTCACAGACGCTCGCAGTTCTTAACCCCTTTGCGCGCATAGACCAGCACCTCATGGACGACTCGGACCAGGCCGGCCCAATCCTGTTCTTCCTCCTATTCGGCTTCTTCCTCCTCTTCTCAGGCAAGCTGCATTTCGGCTACATCTACGGGCTCGCCGCCCTCGGCTCCATCGCCCTGCACCTGATCCTCTCGCTCATGTCGCCCAGCGACGGCACCTCCGCGCACGGCGCGGGCCCCGGCGCCGCTCCCTACTCGTCGCCCTCGGGTTTCGCCGACGTCTCGGGCCCCGGCGTTCCGGGAGGCTCCGCACCAGGCGCCGGCGCCGGCAGCAACTTGTCGAGTACCCTGACCATCGGCCGTTCCGCCTCGGTCCTCGGATACTGCCTCCTACCCCTGGTCGTGACGTCGGCCGTCGGAGTCATCGTGCCCATGGACACCCCGTTCGGCATCATCCTGACCTCGTTCGCCATCTCGTGGTGCACCTACAGCGCCTCGGGCATCTTCTGCGCCGTCGGCCGCATGAAGGCCATGCGCCTCCTTGTCGCCTACCCTCTGGGCCTCTTCTACGTTGGCTTCGGTATCATGAGCATATTCAGCAGCCGCGGGAGCGGTGGATCCATGGCCAAGGTCATGTCGAACGCATCTGCGTGAGCGTCTAGATAGGCGCCACAACATCCTTATCCTAGCAGGCGAGGTTGGGGAAGAGCAAGAAAGAGAGAGGGAGAAGAATTCGAATGACTGCGCTATAGTCAAGGCACCTCCATCTTGTCCCGGGCCCGGAAACATGCTCATGTCGGCAGCCAAGACATTGGTTGGGCATCCTGCCTTCCTTCCCGAAACAGTCTCGAGTTCTTGTGCCCCCCGTCTGCGCTCGGCAACATGCAAACTAGCCTGGTGCATGCCCCGTCCTGGTCTGGCGGGTACTATACTGGCCCGGGGCGGTGCCCCACGAAGTCCGGTGCCTGGTCTTGCGAAGCCGAGTCAAGCTGATTCGGACAGGAACCATTGAAGGAGCGCCCCGCAAATATTCTTCTACCCCTGGGGTCTGGCCGCCGCTCACTTCCTCTCCCGGGTCTGGCCTTCTCCCTGCCCAAGGCAACTAGCTCGCACTTTGGTAAACCCAGCGCGGGTCCTGTATCACGCATATTCCGGTGTTTTTGGAGGATGGACATGTGGTGGGTGGGTGGTATCGGAATCTTGTATAAAAGCCCTGGGACCGGCGTCTGGCTCATCGGCTACGTTTTTTTCTTGTACTTGTTTTAAAATGAAGGTCCGAACGACTACAAGGAGGGACTCGCAAGCGTTTTTCACCTTCCGAGGCTGCACTTTGAAGTCATGTTCTGTTTCAAGAGTCTATAGTACTGAGCGGGCGAAAAAAGCCATGAAAAGATCAAATAGTTGCCCATCCCCAATTTCTTAGCTAACCCAAAGCCAACCAAAACCAGAAGCATTTTTGCATATAATACATGGGCACTGAGGAGATAAACTGTCAAATCCCAGTAAAAAAAAGAGGACGGGAGTGAGAGGAAAAGGAAAAAAAAGAGAAAAAAAAGAGAACTCGGAGCGTCGTCTTCCCTGGCATTTCTGGCTGAGGGCAATTTTTTTTATCCCAGCGCTCCATCAAATTACCAACCAGCGCCCAACCGAGTCAGTGAAGCCATGCGGAACTATAACGCGCAAGAGTGAACCAAAGCTATTAAATCGTGCCGTCTCCCGCAAGCCCCAGGCATGGGCAGAGCCAAGAAGCCCAGGGAACGGATGTATCGACTCGACATCGGTATAGAAAGTAAATGGATGTTGTACAGTTTTCCGAGATGTGATCTCATATCACGAAATCCGGAAGCTGCTCCCACGGGAAGCCTTGCACATGTGTGCTTAGGAGTCGGCCGGGCTGGCAATGATGGAGTATTGTCCACCGGCGCCAGCAAATGTGATCTTGCGGTCCTTGACCGCCGTGTTCTCGATCAGTGTCGGAACCTCGACGTCGTCAGAGGTGCCCAGGCCGGTCTGGTAGTTTGTCGAGAACCCCCATGAGTACGTCTTGCCGTCGCCCGTCAGGGCGAAGCTGTTGTCCGTACCAGCGGCGACCGAGACAATGTTTTTGAGATCTATGTCACAGTGTTAGCATAAACTTCCTCATGGTGGTTTGCTTCTAACAATAGTCAGGGGAACTCACCAGGAACAACGGTGGGGACCTTCAGGATACGTGGCCTCTTAGCCTCATCGTAAATGGCGTTGTCCTCGTTGAAGGCCCCGTTGGGAAGTCCCACTTGATGACCATCAATGCGACCCCAGGTCAGCAGACGGCCGTCGGTAGTGCAAGCCACCGAGTGGTGCTCGCCGCCGCAGATGTCGGCAATCTTGTACTCCTCGAGCGCCTCGATACGTGTTGCGCTAAGCACTGCCGCATCGGAATCGCCAGCGCCTTGCTCGATGGCGAGCTCGCCAAAGTTGTTGAGACCCCACGCGTAGACGATACCCTCCGAGTCCAGCGCAAAGCTGTGGTACGAGCCGCAAGAGATCTTGGTGATCTTGATGCTCCGCTTCAGGCCAAGGCCGCCAGGCCGCAGGGCCGACGCGAGAACGTCGCGCTGAACGCAACGGCGACCAAGCTGGTTCTGCTCGGGGCAGCCCCATGTCAGGATCTTGCCAGCCTTGTCCAGAGCCATCACGTGGTTGGAGCCAGCCGCCAGCTGAACAACCTTCTTCGGCTCCGCAAGGAGCCCCGGGGTCTTCTGAATTTTGACGGTGGGGGTAAAACCGAGGATGCCATCGCTAGCCTATATAGGAAAACTTGTGTCAGAACGGATCCAGATGTTCGTGTAGACATAGGAAGGCAATACTTACACGGAAGGTTCCCCAGCCATACACGCGGCCGTCCTCGGTCAACGCAAAGGACGCGCTGTCGCTGGCTACAACCTGCACAAAGCGGGTGCCCTCGGCGACATCGCTCATATCGATCTCGGCAGGGATACTCTCCTTAGGGCTGAGACCACTGTCATCGTCATCTTCCGAGTCCGAGTCCTCGGCGTCAGCGTCCCTGAGGCCACCGTCCCACGTGGTGTCACGACCCAGGGCTCCCTGGTCGTTGACGCCCCATGTCAGGATCTTGTTGTCTTTGGTCAGAGCGACAACGTGCATGCCGCCACAGGCAATCTGAACGACTCCGACGGTGGCAGCAGTGAGGTTGTGATTGATGCGCGGGCGCTTGACATCAAGGGGCTTCTTGCCCTCGTGACGCATGTTGCCAAGGCCGAGCTCGCCCGAGGACCCTTCACCAAACACGAACACGTCGAGCACGGTCTCGGGGGCGCTGTTGATCTTGGCACCGAGCTTAACCTTGGAGATGGGGGCAGCAGTCCGCACCCGCTTGACGGGACGTGCATCCTCCTCATCCTCCTTGGCGGGCTCGTCTACTTCGGAGTCGGCGTCGGGCGTGGGCTCTCTCGCAGGGGTGCGCTTGCGCTTGGTCGGGGACGATATGGGAGCAACATCCTTGGGGACCTTTGGGTCGGAAGCCTCCTTGTTTGATACGGGCTCAGCAGACGCGGCGCCCTTCTTTCCGACCTTCTTTGGTGCGGCCGCTGGCTTGGGTGCAGCAGCCTTCTTGGGTGCAGCGACCTTCTTGGTCTCTGCAGCCTTCTTGGTCTCTGGCTTCTTCTTGGGCTCGACGGATGTTGCCTTCTCTGAGGCGAGGACAGGGACGGTGGTGTTCTGCTTCTTGGTGGCGGCAAACGCGGGTTTTCGGCGCGTCGCGGTCGGGACCTCGGTGGCTCCGTTCACCTCAGGCTCCTCGGTGGCGTTGCGCTTCTTGGGCGCCGCCTTGGCCGGTGCAGGCTTTTCGCTCGCAGCCTTTTTGGGAGCGGCCGTCTTCTTTGGTGCCGCGGCCGGTTTCTCAGGCTCAGCGGACGCTTCTTTCCTCGCGGCAGCGGCCCTTTTCGAGGCAGCTGTGACTTTTGTCGCGACAGCCTTGGGAGCAGCCGCGGTCTTCTTCTTGGGAGGCATATTTTTAAGGTGCGGCGAACGAATACAGGAGGGGCTTGGGTGGTGATGGTGATGGTGCGACGATCAGGCGCGATGGGTTGGGTCAGGTGTGGGTGATGCGCCTAGGCCAAAACCTGGGCGCGAACAGTCGAGCAAAGACGCGGGTAGTAGTAAAGACAATCAGAAGGCCGGAGCGATGGCTACAAGAATGCACGTACGCCCAAGTTCGCAGCAACTCGGACTGTTTCTGTAGAGTCGAGGTGTCGCGCCCGGAAATGGTGAAAGAGTGAAGGGATTTTTCGGAGTGGACGCTGCTTGGGGTCTGAAGAAGACGCGCCGTGCTGCTGATTGTTGTGATAGCGGGAAAAGTGAGCCGAGCAGGGCAATCCATGCCCGAACGCAATTGACGCACCCACCCACAGACTTTTTTCACCGCCTGCGCTGGCAGAAAACAAGGGGCGGCCCAAGCTCCCCTGGGAGCTCGGCGAACTGGGGTCTGGACCCTTGGAAGCTCGCCCGCCCCATCTTGGTGTTATTGGCGCAATGCACGATTGGCGTTTGTCCAATCCAGTCACGGTCGAGTCGGTCAGCCCCATCTGCAACAGCAGCACGCGTGAACAGCAAGCGGACTTGTCGAAACCCAGAAGGCCTTTTCCGGATAGAAGCCCGACCCACGGTTGCCAGGCTGGGAGTTGATGGGCCGATGGGTCGATGGATCAGGACTGCATGATGCCAGCGCACACAACCTGTCACGGAGACTGCAGAAATTAAGAAGAGAATTGAGGTCTTTTCTCATGAGATAATGAGATGGAAAAAAGAAGAAGCGTGGATGCCGGTCATCCATTCAGTGACCCGAATTCTTTCTCACTCAAAACGCCAACCCAGGTAGTCCCGCAAATCTACAATCACAAACGCCGTAAACTCCAGTCGTGGTCCGAAGGAAATGCAGGAAAAAGCATGCACCTGCCCGAAACTCTCAAATCCAAGCTTCCGGTTCGCCGGTGAGCACGCAAAGTCTAGTTGGGCTTCCTCCCGCGGGCGAATCCTTAACAACCAACGCCCGCCTCACTATTTCGTGGTGGTAAAGTCGGTCTCGTTGGTGGGGTCATAGACTCCCGAGGCGCCGCCTTTCTCGCAGGTGCAGGCATCTATAACACGGTAGCGATGGTCAGCAACCCAGCCCCTCTTTTTATCACGGCAGCCCGGGCGGCCCGATAGGCGGTGACAGAGGGCAGGGAGAAGCACGTACCAGCAGGACGCGAGCCGCAGGCACACGCAGATCCCGTGGGGCGGACGTTCTCTGATCCGGCGCGGTCGCAGTTGCACTCGCCAGCCGGGCGGGCGCGGCAGGAGCAGCGCGCTCCCGAGATGCTGTTCTCAGTGGCAGCCTTCTCGCACGTGCAGTGGAGGGCCGACTGCTTGCCACAGCTGCACTTTGCTTGCGTGGCTGGACACGGGGCACAAGGCATGTCAGTTGCGTCGTTTCACGGTTAACAGGGCCAGGGAGGCGACTTACCACAAACGCAAACGTCGCTCTTGCCGCAACAGGTGGAGGCCTTCTGGGAGGACATCTTGATGAGGGTGGATGATTTGTATGGAGGTGGTGCGAGTTGGTTTGAAGTGCAAGATTGAAAAGGTTGCACAGGTTCGTAAAGGAGGAACGGGTGGTAAGAGGAGGCAGGTAGAATAGCTGGTGTTTAAATCGTGGACGATATTGCAGATTACTGCATCAAAAGACGAGACAGCGTCCCCTTTATGTACTCGTCGCACTCTCTGGCAATAACATGATGAAGTCGATTGATCAATCAGCATCACCCGACTTGCGGTAATCACATCGTCGCTGATTGGTCAAAATTCTCAGCCCTACAGGCGGGTCCCAGGTTGCTGGGTCTTTTGGCCAATCATGCATGTTCCATTACCATCATTCAAGGATCGTGCTGGAAAGATCGCCTCGCCTGTCGTCACTATGGATATGGCCTGTTTACAAACTGCTAGGTTTTGCCAATCAACGGAAATTGCACTGTGTATACCGGGCAGTGGACATGGATTGCACAATGGAGAGGTGGTCTGTGTACACTATCATCCATTCCAGTCAGAGCCCACCTGCGCCAAATACATGCATACGGCGGCGATGATGATGGTGAGATGGCTGTTAATCTTAGCGTACTGTTCTGCCGTTTTGACGGTTGAGTTGGTGATGTCGCCCTGGGTGATGGAGAGAGAGGAGATTAGACAATGTCGATAACCGTCCCGAATAGACCTACTTGGAGAGCTGGCGCGTCAACGGGTCACTGAGGACGGTGGTTACATTTTTACGCACAACCTTGCAAGCTGCCATTTGCGAATATTATCTTGATTCTAGGGCATGCACTTAAACTGTTCTTCCATGGTCTACCAATGGCTATACGCCATAGTTCCACCAAGACCCAAATACCGCCAACCTAGGCATCCATACCGACTTCCCTTCCCCTGAGAAACACCACTATTATCCCAGCCTATGATGTCTGGTCCCAATCACACGCAGGCGCCTATCTTCCATCCCGGTGGCGAGGCTGACCTCATCGCTTGGGGGCTTTCCTCACGCTAGCTTCCAATGGTCGTCGGTGTATTCAGAGGCGCCGACCGGCCACAAGGCGGAAGGAGACAAAGTAGAGGCGGTTCCGATAGCGACTCTATACTCCTGCACCCTTGATCCGCGGCCCTTGGTGACCTCAGACTCTCGGCGACGATCTATGCCGCGTTTCTCGATTCAGCGAGCAGCCTTTGCCTGATTTTCCCTCTCCCAACTATCGAAAATTCCCGGTAAAGCATCCTCAAACGCCTTTAGCAATCCAAGGGCTCCTTCGTCCACAAGCCCCCAAGCTGACAAGATACTGCCGAGCAATGCTATATGTTAACCGAGCTTCCATGAGATGGTCAGGGATAAACAGCATACGTCGTTTGCCTGCTGAAACCCGGCATTTTGCCTTCTTGGCACACCGGGCTGTGAGAGCTTCCAACGCAATGCCCGCCCAAGAGCCTGGTTTAGAGAGGAGGTTTCAGCTTTTCGTACCGGTAGCGACTAGCCCGCCCCAGCGCAGCTTTGTCGTTGATATCGCCCTCGTTGAAGATGACGAGGAGAAGGTCGCCCGGGATTCTGAGGAGCGGCGGCGGCATGGCGTGTGAGGGTGCCCTGTCGCAGGGCTGCTTTTCGGCTGTCGACCGCGGCAGCTTTTCAGCATGAGCTCTGGGATTGTGAGGCATGGTAGGGATGTCGCCGAGTCCAGTTTGCGTCGCAGTTTCGCCCAACTCAGTGGCGAAGACAGGACATTGTTTGCTTAGTGATGGTCGATGTTTCTAGATCTACATATTGTAAAACGGCGATTTGGGGTTGTTGAGTCATATGGATGACCTTCAAACCTCGTTGCGTCGCTCCGGTACCTTATCATTTGGCCAGAAGCGGCTCCCACAATGTCCACCATATCCAGGCCGCGCTTGGGGTGAGGGGATTGGTTGTGGACGTCCCGAAGGGAAGGATCTTTGGTTGGGTGCCTGGAGCTGGGGTGATTGTAGGCGCGGCAGGCGCACTCTAGGAGGGAGAAGTTGAGATTGTGGAAAAGGTTTGATATATGTGAGGGTTCAAAAATGGAGGCTGTTGCAGATGCGAAGTTGAAGCGAGTCCGCCCAATGATTTTCATGCGCATCTTAATCGTCACTTCCACACACTGGCACTGTCTGTCCCTGCCTGCTTGTCAGCCTGGTAGGTATCGCTCAAGGCGCCGTACACGGCCTTCACCCGTTCGATCCTCTCTCTCCACACACTTCTCTCATCCTCCTCCCCAATCTCGGAGACAAGATCCGACAGACTTCTGGCTCTGAAAAACTTATTCGTCTTGTTGTACAGAGGGCGGGCGGCCAGGGACTCGGGCGTGTCAGCGGGGGCGGGGACCCTGAATACCTCGCGCAGGATGTCGATGTCATGGGGAATGCCGAACAGGTCGCGGCTGTCCTCGTAGGTGAAGAGGTAGTAGAGTTCGTTGAAACCGCTCCAGGTGATGCCGCTCAGGCAGAGCGAGCACGGCTCGTGGGTCGCGAAGAAGACGCAGTCGGCCGTCGCGGGCCGCTGCTGCTGCTGCTGTCCGGGCGGCCACGGATCGGAGAAGAACTGCTGGATGCAGTTGATCTCGCCGTGCAGCAGGGGCGAGACGCGCTCGTCGTTGGTGGCCACGGTCAGGGGCGAGAGACCGTCGCGCAGGAGCACGGCCGCGCCGAACAGCTTGCTGCCCGTGGAGACGCCGGCGCGCGTGAGCGGCACGACCCGCTGCTCCGTGACGTCGAGCATGGCCGACAGCAGCGCCGCCGGGGGGTTTGTGTTTGTGGGGGTGGCAGGCATGGGGGAGGCGCGCTCGGCTGGCATGGGCGGGCTTTGTGCAAAACAGGTGTGGGTTCCCAAAGGCTTGGAGTTGTTGCAGGTCGTGAAACTGAATCGAAGACCTCCTTTCTATGTATACTTGAGATGTATCAATCGCCAACGAGCAGTCTCTCGCAGAAGTGTGCGCTGTCGTCTTCTTGTCTCGCATCCCACGTCGAGTTGAGGAACTACACTTGGCCAGCCCCAAGACGACGTCGGCGTCAGCCGCGGGATTTACATGGCTGGAGGACATGGTCGGGCTCGGTGACCTCCGACTGCATTAGCGCCCCTCAGCTACCAAAATCGATCAGTTCCATGTTTTTGTATACGAGATAGGTTCGGGGAGGTGTTGTATGTAGTTTAAAACCCTAACCCTTTCTATCTTTCCACATCAGAAGGAAAAATCCGCCTCTTCGATGGATCCACGACTGCTACTCTTGACATCAGCCTGCCTTCTTGATGCGCAAGACGGCCAGAGGGCCTCGCAAATCGTGGGTCTTCAAGCAGAAACACCATCTACGGTGGATTCCCAGGGCTGCCAAGGATGCACTACATCCGAATCCTCAGACCGCCGTCATTCGTCGCCAGCAGCGCACGCGGTGACGCGCAACTTCAGCTGCTGCTCACCATCACTACCGACCTCGGGGAATCGTTCCTATACCCACTGCAGCCGGTAGATCTGGATGTTGTACTCTATCTACACGGGTCAGTGGAGGAGAAAGGCGGCATCAAGCTCCCCGTAGCCAAAGGCGAGAATACGTTACGCTGGACGGCCGGCAGCCGGGTTCTCAAGACCAAGGTCAACCTCCCCCCGCAGGCCAGCAGCTCCGCGCGGCTCAGCCGGGCCGTCGTCTGCGTGCGGCCGCTGGAGAGGCGACTCTCAGCCTCGAGCGCGGCAGACGTCCTCTCCTCCTCCTGCGGACTGATCATGCCGCTCTATGTGGCGCCGCGCTCGAACCATCCCGAGGAGACCATGGCTCTGCGCAGACTGAGGATCCCGGAAGATGCGGCCGAAGCCTCTCCCCTGTGTGTCGAGGTCGAGGAGGAGCTGGGCGAGAGCATCGCTCGGCATGTCTGGGACGCCGGGGTCTATGTGGCGGTCTTGCTGACCAAGATATGCAGCAGCAGCAGTAGCAGCTCATCTTACAGTAATGATGAGAAGAGTTGCATGCCGGCATTAGAGAAGATTTTGGGTAGCAGGGAAAAGCTGGACGTGCTGGAGATAGGCAGCGGAGTCGGTATACTAGGAATCGGGCTCGCGACGGCCATCCTTGGGAGGCACGAGGAGTCCGCGAGCAGCACGAAACGGCCGGTTTCGATCCTGATGACGGATCTGCCCGAGGCGCAGGACAGGGCGGCTGCCAACATATCACGCTACGAGGCAATGGTATCCCAAAGGCAGCGGCAGCGGCAGCAGCGTCCAACCGAAGACGAGGCAGCAAAAGAAGACGGCAACGGCGCCGACGCCGGCAGCCGGCAGGCCCCCATCGTGGACTACGAGAACCTCGACTGGGAAGACGGGCGCGCGGGTGTGTTCGCGCCCAAGATCCTCGCGCGCCCCTGGGATCTCGTCATGCTCAGCGACTGCACGTACAACGTCGACATGCTCCCGGCGCTGGTCGAGACGCTGTCGGAGATCCACTCAACCACCTCGCCGAAGCACACAAGCCAGGAGGATGACGGCCACCACCACCACCTCCTCCACCACCCGCGCGTCCTGCTGGCCACGAAGCGGCGGCACGATTCGGAAAAGGCCCTCTTCGACCTGATGGCCGGGGCGGGCTGGTCCATTGAGGAGAACAGGACATTCGAGCTCCATGATTTCGACAGCGCGTCGCAGCATATTGAAGTCTATCTCTTCGGGCGGAAGAGGCCATGAGGCCCTTCCTCCCTCCTCTATCATACACCCCACCCCCCTCCCTGGTTCTCGCCGTGCTGCCTTTTTTTCCCAGCTTCCCGGGATGGGGTGAACACATCGTCCCTGTAGCTGGCGCCCCAACACATACACGTCACGTTCCCCTGGGCGACCGCTCATATGTGTAGGCGTTGTTGACGTGCATGCGTCTGGGTAGGCCGCATCCTGAGGCCGGTACTTTTGTGCGCGTGTCCGTGTTGTCCGTGTGCGTCCACGTTCTACATGTACACCACAGACAAAAACAAACAAACAAGACCGTTTATGTTGCGCACGCCCGGCCGTGGGCAGCGAGCGGGTCGCGCGTCCAAAGAGGGGTAATGGGAAAACAGCCCGACCGCCGACCAGGCCTATATGAGGCGTTTGCATGGAGCATCGAGACCCTCCCCAGGAGTCATGGGCCGCATCGAGACTTGGACGTGGAGCGAACAGACGACGGCCGGCGGGTGGGGGGAGGTTTTCTTTGCGTGGTCACTGGAGATCAGCTGGCGGTGGGGTCGATCGGTGGTCCCCTCCCCCCTTCGTCCTCGGCGTCGTCGCCCAGCGTCCCTCCGATCGTGTGGACGGCCCGGCCTCCTGCTGTGCTGGCCACTTCCCCTCAGCCGTCCTCGTGCACCACGCTTTCTCTGGGTGTGGTGGGGAGAGATGGGTGTGTGTGCCGTCTTGGGCAGGTACACGATGCATGTAGTCGAGCCTTTTTTGCTCTTTATGCGTTGCCAGATGCCGGTTTCCTGCTTTTTCGGCCTCGAATGCCCCCTTTTTTTTCATTCCTTCAGCCCCTCTTTGTTTTCCTTTTTAGAGCGCAGTGTCGTCATTGCCTTTTTTGCTGGCGGATCGCGTCAAGATCTGATCTTTTCCTTTTTTTTTCTTTTTTCCCCAATCATACCTCGTCCATTTACCTACCAAAGCGCAGGGTCGCGCCCTGGTCGGCCATTTACTCGCCAAGCGGGCTGTTTGCTAGGCCCAAGAATGCTTTCCGCCAGCCCCGTCTCATGGGCCCCGGAATCATGCAACAGAGCCCTGCCACGGCATACCCGCGAGACGTCAGGGGGGGGGGGGGGATTCTGGGAGAGGCCAAGGCCTGGGACATGCAAGCACAACTCCTGACGTCGGTCGTATTACAGTCCGAGCTGGCTAGCTCTCGTCGGGCTGCGCCGAAGGATGCACCACTCACACCAGAAAAACCCACAAGCCACCATTTTTTTTCTTCCTATTCGGTACCTAACCTGGTTTGGGCACGCCGCTTCTTTCTGTCATCGTCGCAAGACTCGTGGGCTACCGTCTGATACCTGGCTTCGCTGGTGCGGTAGCGACATGGTCCGTGGTGGAGCTTGCCTCGATCACCCCGCCAGCTGCCCGCCCGCCTGCTGGTCGGTGCTTCAACTCCACTGCCTAGCGAGTCCAGGTGGGCTGCACGGTGTTCTTTCACCACATGACAGTGCTGGAGCCCCTCGACGGCTGGAGCCACCATCGGCGGTTGTGCCCACCCAGCGAGCACTGGTCGAGTCTGTGTGTGGCCGGCCCTGGGGTGGCCCGCTGCCTTTTTTTTGCTGGCCGTGCTGGTGTGCGGGCCAGCCGCCGGGGGCGTCCCAACGCTCCCTGCTAGTAGGCCCTGAGGGCTTTCTCATCAACAAGCATCGACCGCATCGGCCAAGCGCGCCACCAACAAGGTCGCACTTTTGGTTCCGGCGGTGAGCTGCTGACCGAAGTCTGGGGCGATCAGGGCATGCGAGCCCAAGAGCGGCCGGGGAAGGGGAAGGGAGGCCCCATGCCACCATTTCATCCATGCATTCCCACCAAATCCCCCCCCCAAAAAATCCATTGGGTCTGATCGGCGGGGCTCGGTTCGACGAAGGTGTGGGCATCCAGGCCCGCGGCCGACGCAATGCCATGCCCCGCCTCTTCCCAGAAACCCTAGCCCTAGCATGGAATGGGTGGAGGGGAAGATCTCGACCGCAGGAGCCAGTTGCCATCCCCCGAGGGTGCCGAAGGCCAGATGGTCGGCCCGGTGGGGGCAGGTTCGTGAAGGAACAAAACATAAAAGACGTCAACTATCGAGTGTCAAGTCCATACTATCCACCGTGCAAGTGGAGGAGGGGGAGTGCAAAGTGCAAAGGCGATGAGGTCCCACAGTACTTTGGTCCCAACGGCAGTGATACATTGCCTCCCCCAGAGGTGACATCGCTTGGAGCTGGACGGGGTGGGGTGAGGGGTGAGACTTTTTTTGGGCGGGACGACGTGCGTGTCTTTTTTTTCTTTCTGTTCCTTCTTGGGCGCTGAACCGCATGCACATCGCCTCGCTCCCTTCTTTGTAAAGGCTACGTTGTACCGAGAGGTGAGAAGCCACCCCGTCATCCCAAAATAGGCCCGCTCTCACTCACACACACACACACACTTTCACTCTGTCTCCCCCCCAAAAAAAATGTGCAAAAATGGGCTGCGAGATGCAAGCTGCGAGGTGTGCCGCTCCCGACGATGCACACACCACCCATAAAGAACACAGAAGCGTGAGCCCGAACCTGCCTGTCACCAAGGCAGCACAGTGGGCCCTGCCCTCCTAGCCTTCTAGAATAGAACGAGAGAGACGCAACTGAGCGGGAACAACACCGCCAGAGTCTCGCCGTGCGCAGCGCAAAAGGCGGGGCGAGGGCGTGTGTGGAATCCACCCATCTCCTGTCAGGCCAGGCGCTGCAGAGGCTGGGCATATGTACCAGGCCACATGTGAATGCAGCAAAGCAGCGGGTTGAACCACTCAGCGCTCGCCTTTACGTTTACGAGCAGAATTTTTTTTCACTTGCCTTCCTCGTAGTATCCCGCCTTGCTTTTGTTCAGACCCGCATCGAAGAGAGAGAGGAAAAAGTGGGCGAGGGAGACGGTGAGGGCTCGCTGCAGAAGACGAATCAACGAGTGCCTGTGTCTCGCCCTATCTAGGTAGGTGGTTGTAAGGTAGGTGATACCTAACCGCCTGTGCAAAAGACCTGCACACAGACGGGCGCGTTGCCCAACATCAATCATGTGCCCCCTGTTCTCCATCCTCCATCTCGATGTTCTCCATCTCGGGCGGCTGGCCCTGGCATTGCGTCACTTTGTGGGAAGCGACAGCAACAAAGCTTGCTCGAGATCTGAAAGCATGGAAAACACATAGCCAGCCTCCCATAGCCCCAGCCTCCCCACTTTGCGGTTCGGGACGGAGGGGGTGAATTGCAATGTGATGTGTGTGTGTGCACGGCCACTGTTTGCATGTGCTCGCCGAGATTCACAGCACAAAAAAGGAAGAATGAATGGAGGGCTGTGACGAGATGGGGGGACGCACTGGGGGCCCGGCGACGTGATTGGTGGGGTGGGATTTTACCCCGACGCGAGGAGGCAGCAGGCAGTTGCGCAGCTAAGCGCCGCCGGAATAGTCGGCGTGCCTATGTCAAACCCGGTGTGGCAGCAGCGTGGTCCCAAGACCTCCATTCCCAAGATGGTTGGTGTCGTCGCACGACATGTCCGCCAAACCCGGGTACCAATCCAGGCTGGGAGGAGGTTGGACTGGGAGGGCATACCCGTAAAGCATAGAGCACGGAGCACAGAAAGACGTGATCCCAACGGATGCGCACATGCGGCGTCACGGCTGTCTGACGCCGTGCGGCCCATGTAAGACGCAGGTCAACCAAGACCGGGCCCGACCGTGCCACATGGTGATAGTCCTCCAGGGTGACCCTCCATGGGAGCGAGGCACGACAAGGCAGCCGCCGCCGCCGTCACTGACATGCCTGCCACCCCCAGAAGCCATTTAGCCTGTGGGGGACAAAGATGTTATGTGTAAGTTGGGGAGGGTATTTACGTGATATTAGCGGCCATCACACCCACCCTCTCTCTCTCCCCTGTCATCCGCCGACACACCTCTAGCCCAGTCCATCGCCCCCCGGCTTCCCAGCCATCTCAACCAGGAGGATGTGTGTGTGTGGAAGCACGGCGTCTACCGTTCCTCTCGTCAGCGACGTGCCAACCATAAGCACAAAATCACATCCATGCTACCCACCTCGGGGAATCGGTCGCTCAGAATCACAACTGATCGCGAATGCAGTTAGCTCCGTGGGTTTTTGGGAGGGGTGGGGGACGATATCTTTGGAGCCTTCAACGGCGGGAAAGCGAGAGGGGGGTCCTGCAAGTTTGTGAATGTTGAACGAAGCACAGACATGCATGCATTCACACAAACACACACACAGCCTTGTCGGGGGACGCATCTGCGGTTGGAATTTGCCCGAGCGGGCAGCCATAAGCACAACAAAAAGCAGAGAGGGAAAAAAAAATGGAAGGCAGGGACGGCTTGGTGTGTGTACGTGTGTGTGTGGACGTTTGTGTATTGACGCGCACCTGCGCCGTGCACACCACCACCCCCTCTCCGGATGTGGCGCAAGTTTGGGGGAGGCGGAAAGAAACGGGCTTCAATGGAACTTTGAAGGCGGCACAAGTCGTCTCTGAGTGGCCGGCCCAGCGGGGAGAGCGCGTGCGTGGTGTGCGTTCCTGCAAGTGCCGAGCGAATAGGGGAACACCCAGCTAGAGGAACAAGAGAAGAAGGGGGAAAAGAAAGGCTCTGGAAGGCCGTAACCGCCAGCCTCTATCCACCCCCAGGGGACGCCAGCCTACGGGAAACTGCCGCGGGGCAGGCAGCCTTAGCCTTGTTCTGCACAGGGCTTTTCTTTTTTGGCGCTGTTGCGCGTGTGCGCGACTGCCGGGGAGGCACATGGTGCGGGCCACACAGCGCGAGCCTCGTGGGGGAAACAACGGAGAAGAGTGCGTGCAGGTCTGTCACATCTCATCACGTCGGCTCGGGATCTGCGCTCCTTTGTCGCCCCCGACGGAGGGGAGGTTGTGCCTGCCCACAAACATGTTCGTGGTGATACGTCCATCCTCTCCCTCGTGACGAACCGGGTCTTTTTTTTGGGCGACCTACGCCGCGGGATTTTCTCCAATACTTGTCGTGAACCGCTGTGACAGGTCATGCTGTGCCTGCTTGGTGACAAGGCGGGAAGGGGCAGCGTCAGGGACACCGTCGGGGACTGATCTCACGAGTTTGCATGGCCAGCGCGAGCCCCCTTGGCCCGGTGGACAAGGCTGGAGACGAGGGATATGGTGCGTGATGCGGCTTTCCGGCCAGCCGTGGAACCGGGATTTTTTCTTGGTCAAATTAGGACGAAGGGAGGACGAAGTAACGCGCCAAGGGCACACACTGTCACATTCGTTCTGACATGCCTGGGACCTTTTTTTTTTTTTTTTTTTTTTTGTGTTATTCGTTACCCTCCCTTCCCCTGCCGAGCGCCGCACGCCATCCATTTCTGCCATCCCCGGCCAAGGGAGGGCGTGTGAGAAGCAGATGTTGCTTCCTACCACTCCGAGGCAAAATGGTACTTTTGCCCGGCGTTTCTCTCTGCGACTGTGAGACAAAAGAGGCGCTAGGTCCGTGTCCAGCCGCCGCCGCGCCAGGGACCAGGGGCTCACCAGCCCCAGGAAGAGAGAGGCGCGCTACGCTACGGTGCTCGTTGGCCCCCGCGCGCGCGGCTGGTGCTTTTGTTTATATGGACCGGAACGCTAAAAAGCCTGTCTCGCCGTGACTCGGGCTGAGAAATGAGTCTGACCCTCGATCGCGGCTCGATCGTGTCCGATGTGTGCGAAAGGGAGAGCGAAACGAAGAGAGGTGCTCATTCACAATGACACAAGTGGAAAATATCACGCTTCGAATGGAGGGGCCTGTCGTTTTTTTTTGTTCAATCTTTGTGAAAGTGCGGGTGTGAGTATTGTCGCACAATTCCAGGAGGCTTTTTTTTTTTTTTTTTGCACATTTTTTTTTTCACTTCCACCCCTTTGCCCTCGCAGCAAGGGGATGTGGTCTGATGGCTGCGCTACCACCTCGCACCCCCTGGGCCTAGCAACGCCAAGAAGCCACAGAATAAGAACAAGGGAGCGAAAAGCAAAAATGGAAACGAGAAAAGCCCCTCACGACATTCGTTTCTTTTTTCATCCTTTTTTTTTTTTCTCCAATGGGTCGTGGAGCAGGGTGGAAACAGCGGTTGAGTTTGACACTACCCAGTAGAGGTATCCAACGCACACCTCCTAGGTGCGGATATTCGTCCGTCCGTCCCTTGTTATTCGCACCACCACCGCCACCACCACCGCTGCCACCCGTCGTCCCTTTTTCTGGTGCCATCCGTTTTGGGTCTGCAGCAGAGGCATGGGTTGCCGGCAAGGGATCGTCCGCTCAACCGCACGCGCACGACTCGGCCGCGTTCGGTCCAAGAAACGAGATTGGATGACTGATGGGCGAGTTGGTTTCTTGTGTGTGGAAAGCCCATCCGTCCGCTGCTGCTGCACCGCACGGCGGCGCAGTTGGAACAAGGATGGGGAAAAAATTTCCTTCTCCCTCCCCCTCCTATGGGTGCTCTCGTTTCCTATAGGTAGCAACTTCTAAAGATAACCAAATTTATGTAACACCCCTGGCTGAGGTCAGCACCCACACACGGGCGAGGAGACACAGGGAAGACGCCGGTTCACCGTTTGTTTTATTTTGTTTTCCTTTTATTTTTCATTCTTGTGAATCCATCCGACGCCCGCCGCAACGCCCAAGGTCTCCCATTGGGCGAACCAATATCCGTGGGAATCATGGTCCGAAATTCGAGAATGGGTTGTGCGTCGGTAGGGTTTTTCCTTGCGCCAGTCCCAGAACGGCCCAATCGCCGCGGCCGGGAATGCCAATTTCGCGTCCCTGGCGCGTCATTTACTTTGGAAAGTTTTCATGGCTAATATTTGTCGCACTGATTTGCCATTGCGTCCTCCTTCCCAAACGATAACCGCTTTGATGTGGACCGCGAGGGCAAGCGTAGGCGAACACAGGTACATTTCGCTGCAACGACTGCAATGCACAGAGGGACACAAAACAAGGGGTCACAAAAAAAGGTGTTCGAGATGGCAAATTTTATAAAATAGTCTCGCGAAAGATTAGGTACTTCTATCGAATGAGCAAATAAGGGTATATCCATCATCCAGTGACAACGACAGAAGTGAAATGGAAACGGACTCGCTAAGACGATGGAGTCGAACAGTGAAGAAGCCTCAATGTCCAGAAACCCAACGCCACGTAGCGACGTTTACAGACAAAAAAACAGGAAGAGAAGGAAGAAAAGAACAAAACACAGAACGCCCTGCGCAAAATCAAAACATTAGTAGTTAGAGTACATGTGATCCAAACAAAAGTATATCCCAGGTAGCTTTTTTTTCCCCACCGCCGATACCAAAACACATGCTTTTGTGGACTAGGGAAACATCGCGCGCGACCGCCTCTATGGAGAATCTGCGCAATACACCTCGCTTCTGATCTGTTGGTACTGAGTGGATTGAAAACCAGCAGCGACCGTGAGGGCGCTGCAAAAAACAAAACAAAAAACAAAAACAAAAGAGTGCAAAAGCAACCAAGAGCAGGCACGAGAGAAAAAGAACAGGCCCAGAAGGAGAAGTCGGTATGGTATCTCTCTATAAGGTCCAGTGACAGTGGTGAAAAGAAACCATCCAGATGTGCCAATGGGACGTAGGCGACGCCTTGAGATGCGCGGATTGCTCCAACATCTACTTCGGAGTCGTCGTGATAGGAAAGATAGAAAAACAAGAGCTGGAGCTCTCCCGGTGGTCCAAGAATGAGATCCGAGAAAATGGGTATCATGCGCCTGGGGAATCCAGAAATAGCTCGACCAAATCGTACACGTGTAGCTTCTCCAGATTGGGCGCGCCCTAGGGTATGTTTGTGGGCGACGCCAAGTGTTGTAGTAGTTGTAGGCTCGGACAGCAAGCATGTCCGAGCAGAAATGAAGGGATCTCCCAAGTGTCCTTGGGAATCCAGGGGAGAGTGTGGAAGGCAGTCCAGAAACACCAGGGAAGGGAAGGCGTTTATTTTCCAGGGTTGAGAAGAACGTCCTCGCAGTTGGCGTCAAACCGGAGGTTCCAGAGGCGGACAGAGGCCATGAACTTCTCGGTCGCCTCAAGCTCCCGCTCCCGTCCGAACAGAGTCAGGACGAACTCGACTCCGGCGTTGTTACCGAGCTTGGAGCCCCGACGCTTGGAAGCCTGGAGCATAGGAGTCTCGCAGCGCTTGAGAAGCTTCCTGAGCTTGTCGGTAAGACGCTCGCCAGAAACGATAAAGTCACCAAGCATCTCCTTGTTCTCCTTCTGGCGAACAGTAGGCAGGACATCGTCGGCGCGCTTGACCTTGCCAGAGATCTGGATGAGGAGAAGCCAGAGGTCACCAGCCATCTGGGCGATGGGGTGGCCCTTGCCGTGCTTGTAGACGGTCCAGTCGTAGATCCACTTGCCCAGGGAGTTGGCGTCAAAGACACTGCCCAACAGGAGGATGGGATGCTCGGTAGGATCCCAGTGGGTCAGAGAGTAGCCCTCGGGAATCCCGTAGGCCTTGGCATCCTCCAGGGTGGCGACGGGCACATCCGACTGCCGGGGCTCAGGGTGAGAGGAGGGCTTCTTGGTGTGGTGTGAGCTAGAGGGACGCGCAGTCTGCGACCTCTGAGGAATAGAGGTAGACGGCCGACGAGACTGGCTAGGCCGGCGGGCGGGCTGCGGGGTAGGGGAGGGGAAACCATCCACGGGCGACTGCCTTGGAGGGGACATTGGAGGCATGCCAGCGTTCACCTGCTCGTAGTAGTGGTAATCAGTACCATGCCCAGCGCGACTGTAATAGACCCTGCCGCCCCTGCCGTCCCGTCCCGACCTCGACTGCGCGGGCAGCACATAGGAGACACCGTTGACCTCGAAAAACTCGTCCTCGTCCGACTCCCCAAATCGATCCGAGTGGCGGTAATACGATTGCGAGCTGCGGCGCTCGTGGTGGGTGCTCGGGCGCGGCGTTGACCAAGAATATTTCCGCGATGACCGCGAGTCACTCACATTCGCAGTCGCGTAGACGCCACCGCTGGTATAGCGCGGAGACACTCCCTCGGACACGCCTGAGTAGCCGTGTGCGGTCGGCGGTCGAGCGGGCATCGTCTGCTGGTAGCTGGTGCTCTTGTGTCGCGTGTGCGTGGCGCGCGTTGCCGGCCGCTGCTGTGCGTACGCATACTCGGGAAAGTCGTGGTAGCGGTGCGGCGACGGTGTTGGCGACGAGCTTGTGTAGTGTTCGTCGTAGCTGGGGTAATCCCTCGCGGGAGTTGCTCCGCGTGCGTATGACATTATTGTCAAGGATTTGAGGTAGGGGTATTATGTTATGAGGTCGCGAACGACAAGATGTGGATGAGGGTATGTAGAAAGATGATGTGGCGAGGCAATGCCTCCGCTTTTATGTGAGGCGACGGCTTTTCAATGCAGTGCCGCGCAGATGTCGTGACGCGGGGGAGGAGAGTGACTACAATTTAGGTGGTCACCTGGTGGGTGCGTGGTCGGAAGGAAGTGAAGATGTTCGACTCCTGGAAAACATGTCAAGGCGTGGTGGACGATGTTTCGACGACAAGCTATATCCAAGGACACCGCCGACAATCACGGACGGTGCTGGCTGGCGTTGGTGATGGAAGCAACTGGACTCTTCAAGCAAGGCCCAGTTATTTCGAGGTGCGATGCCAAAAGCGTTTGTAAGCGTCGGGATGTCGATAGGTTGGCGGATGCCAAATGGATTCAAATCGTCTCTGCGATTGAAGGAAGGAGGAGATGCAGCCCGATTTATAAAAGAGGACGCACTCTGGGTAGGTGGCATCCACTGCTGGCCGGACACCGCAAACAAAGGGGAATCTAGGGGCGGGCAGGGGGGCCACAAAAGGTGCAGGGTGCCCTTGTCGCATCAATGACACTCCCTATCCTGGCGTTGGAACGTGCAGAGGGGGTGTGCGGTTAGCAAATGTACCACTTCGCTTGCTCCTGGTACCCAGCACCTGCCGGACGAAGTAACTCACCAAAACCGACCCACACCAACCGTATCTCGTCTAAGAATGACACACGGTGGCCCCCGCTAGGTCGCACCAAGAGAATAACTCGCACCAGTGAAAAGGCGCCGCTGCATAAGCCAATGGGAGTGAATGCCTTGCACCGCTGTGCTTTCAGCTGTGCGCCGACAATTAAATGTGAATGAAGAGAAAGAAAAAAAAGGTGACAATGAGACTAGGGCGGAAGAAAGGAGGCTGGCGAGTAAATGCCGGACTCCTTTGACCCCGTCGGTGCTTGCGCAAGACCTTCTCGGATGAATCGCTGTAAGAGTCACTCGTCAATCGCTATTCTTTTGTCTTCTCACTTCTTCCTTGTTGATGCGTAAACCCCCTGCGGTCCAGGCAAAATTTTGCGGACGGGTTGAAGATCCCGGCGCCGTGGTATGGATGGGCTCTCCAACCCCCAGCAAGTCGATGCAAGCGAGATTTGAGTTGGTGGCTATGTAGGACGGCGACCGGCTCGTGGAGGCGGCTCAGGCTGCTATGGTAATTTGAATCCCCGGCTTGGGCAACCACAAGAAATTTTCGGCCTCGTGTCTGCTCTAGCAACTCGGGAGGGCACTCAGGGTCTGGACAGCTGGACCGTAGCGCACAGCCGTTTGCTCGGCACGGTTGATGCTGGAGCTCCCCCCAGAAGCGCTCGCCCGTCCAGCAGCGATTCCCCCTGCGATCGATGGTGTTTCTGCTCGCTGGCGAATCCCCAGAACGTGCATGCGCCCCGTGCTTGAAACAAAAAGAAACAGAAGCCTGCGGGGCCGTGCTATCGCCACTGAGGCAGCCAGCAGCCTGGCCCGACAAGTCGAGACTCCAGTCGAGACGCCAACTGGGCGTTACTCCGTAGGCGACGGACGCGTACCACACGGTGGCGGGTCGCGACAAGAATTGCCTCCGGCAGCACCGCTCCAGGGTGGGCTCGTGAGTCGGAGCGTGCTCGTCGTTCTTTCTTTTCGTGAAGCCGGATTCCCCGGGCGGGTCGCCCCAGGCCAAAGATAATTTGCCGGTGGCGAGTGGAGTTGACGCCTTTCGCAGCGAGATACCTCGTCCCCAGAGGTCGGTATCAGGTGGACCTAGCGTCGGCGGCCGAGCTTCGAGAAAGGCAAGGCAGGCCAGCCAAGGCGGGGCGTTTGGTGAGGCAGGCCACGATGATGCCGAGCACGACAGCCGCGCCGCTTGTGAGGCTCGCGCGCACGCGCGGCAAAGGTTGGGGAGACGAGGTTGCAGCAGAGATTCGAGTCATTCCTTGAAGGTTGTTGGGATGCAGGGAGGCAGACAGGCGGCACCCGCGGGACGTTTGGACCATCAGCTCCGAGCCAACCGCTGCTACAGGCTGGAGCGTGAACTTGGGCGTGCGACTCCAAGTCGAGCTGTTCATCCAACTTCACTCGTGGGGCAGCTCTTCGGGGCGGGCTATTTATCACCTCTGACTGGCTCTCGGCATCTCGTCCATCAAACACCGTCTCTCGTAGGGCGGATGGATGCCGGATTTCCAGATGAAGCGTGATGCTGCACACCACCCTGCACGATGGCGACATGGGATTCTGGTCTCTCGTCGCGTCCTGTCACGCCCATGTGATGCAGCTGACGGCATTGGTCCAGTGAGGACAGGCTCGCGCTTGCCTGCAGGGGCCACATGCGCGCTGGCGCACTCGCACTTGCACCGATTGGCGGGCTGGACAGTGCTCTTCCCATCCTTTGGTGCGCCGCGAGGGTGTCCTGGCCCCTCCATGTGGGAAACGGACGCCTTCCTCCCCCTCCACGCCAGCCTTCTTTCGTTGGTGGCACCGTGGGCCACAAGGCTCGCGCAGGTCAAGCGCTGGAGAGATGATAGGCCAGTGCGCCGCCCCAGATGAAAATCGTAGGCCATCGATGGTCATTGAAAAGGCACATGCAGTTGAGGCACGCTCTCCCTGCTTCTTCCTCTCCACCCGCACAGGGCACATTCGACACCCTTCAAACTTTACCCGAGTACAAGAATCCCCCCGGAGGCTGATGGATGCTCGCGCCGCATTTGATTGTCCAAGGCCCGCAACCTTGCCACCGATGCTACGTCGGCGACGGAAGAGGCGTCCTCACCTTCCTGTCTGGCACGTCGCTCAGAGTCCACCATCAATTCTTACGGCACCACGCTCCCGGGGTAACTCTTGGCCATATCAGACCAGACACGGGCCCGGCCTATGACCTTGATAGAGTCCGTCCCCGTCTCGGCCCTATTAATTGATCTTTTGTACGACCATGATAAAACTCCATGTCACGGCACGTTGCGCAGCGCCCACATACACGAACTTGAAATGGCATCAGCTTTGCTTGATCAACACAACACAACACAACACAGCCGTCCCGTCGTCCCTCCATCCCTTTGATCGGCTACCCCTCCAGATCATGGCCTCGCAGCGGTCAGGCCAGGCCCAAGGCCGCCCCCAGGTCCGTACAGTATTGCTAGCACAGTTCCGCCATGCCTTCCGGTGAGCCAGCAAATCGGGGCGCGACGCTGGATTTGCCGTGGCTCACAGAGGAACAAGGCGGTTCTTGCGAATTCACTTTGGAAGGACGCCGAGATCAACGCCCCACCCCAACAGCAAGACAGGGGTCGGCGCGGTCTGTTCTCTCCCTAGCGTCCGCCAGGGGGCAAACCACACACCCTCGCGCCCGTTTCTTCACCTTGGAACCCCCCCTCCAATCCTTCTCTGCTGCCTCCCCCTGCTCGTCGGATCCTTGTCCTGTGGCTGCTGCTAGGGACATGGGAGATTCGGACCGTGCGGCTGCCCGGCCATTTCATTTGCTTCTCCCCCCTGTCCCCCTCCTTTGTGAAAATTTTTTCAGTTTGTTGAATTCTCTTCCCAGGGCCTGTCGCACCAGCCTCCGTCTACCCTGTTCTGTCCCCAAGCATGACGGGGAAAAATGAAGGAAAGGGCAGGTGTTGCGAAGGCGAAAATGAGGGCGAATACCACGAAGCGGGAAAGTCCTCCGAACAGACACAGCACACAAGGGCAGGTGACTCACATGGGCGTCGACCGTCGAAGTACGACGTATGCCTGGATGCCCGTCGTCTTTGTTTTGCTGCGTTGCGGTCCAATATCATCCAAGCGGCCCTGTGTTTGGCCAGCAGCGGCCGCTTCACAGGTCGCTCTCGGCTCCCGATTGGACACGGGGCAGCGCTGAGGGTGCCCCTCCTGCACAGCTCCTGCAGCCGCTGCGGACTTGCAGTGTCTGCGCCGGGAGTCCCACCTCGCCAGCACGCCCACACCCTCCCTGGCCACCCATGCTACCCCATCGCGCACAAAAAAAAAACTGCCCATCCAGCCCTTGCTCACTGGCTACTGGCTGGGCTTCAGATCCAAGGTGAAAAGCCTGCGCCCGGGGGGTGTCCCAACAGGAAGCCCGGCGTGCATTCGGCAAGGCATCTTGACTTGCTCCTCCCGAACGCATACCGCACAGAACGATAAGAAGAAGGAAAAATCTTCACCGACTCTTCGTATGCGGCCGCGCCATGCAGCTCGCCCTGGCGGGCGGATGCGATCCGCCCAAGGTTTGGCGCCTTGGTGAGAGCAGGACTGCGCCCTCCCCCTCCCTCCACCTTGCTTCCTGCCTACGTGGCCGACCGCCCATTTGGAGGCCTGACCCGTGGGTGACGTGACGTAGCGGACAAGTGAGAAGAGCGTTCAACTCATGCTCGGGGGCCAGACGGTCGTTCCGTCTCCGGGAGACCGCTTGGGCGGGCCGAATAAATAAGGCCCATGGGGCCAGGAGGAGCACCATCCTCCGCCATCAGCATGGGGAGCTGGTCGACCGCAAGAGGAGGCCACAGGCTGTCCTTGGCTGCATATTAGTCGACTGCCAGGGTGCTAGTCGGTAGTAAGGAGTGGATTCCTCGGAACGATTTCTCGCTCATGCAATAATACGGATACGATATGCTGTTCAAGGATGTGAAGTGAAGAGAAGAGAAAAACCCCGAAAAAATAAAAAGCAAAAAGAGAAAGGAAAAGGAACCGAAAAAGAAACTGTTCCCGGTGCAAACGAGCAGAGCCAGTCGGGAGCAAATTAACCCTACATTGCCGGCCCTTTGGTGGGCTGCATCCCGTTGTGCGCTCGCTGCCCAATCCCACCAGTCACAAACGCATGGCTCGATGCGCGCAACCAGGCATCTGGGCGCCCACGATTTCAGGTGCAAGTTAAAGTGTCTGGTGCCCAGGGAGCATCTTTATTGCTTGCCTTTTGACGTGCACCATGCCCAATGAGATGGTTGCCTGAGCCGTCTGACATCACGCTGCCTTATTCCTCGCCTATGGGGTTGATTCGCAATGTCATGAGCGCGCGGTCTTGCCGAATGGGAGGCCATGTTTGCTGGTCAGCTGTGGGTGTAAGGCGGGTTGGGCGATTCTTGGGCGTGTTCTTGTTGGAAAGCAGGCAGCAGTCTCGAGTTGGCCTTTTGCATTACAGCCCTAGCTCGAAACGAGGAGCTCAGCCTTGCCCGGGAGTGAGGTTGGGATAGGGACATCAGGCGTGGAGGGGTTGACATTCCAAAGCTGAGCTGAACAAGGAGCACTGAATAGGAGCGATGACCGTGCGAACCAAACTCTCAGGAGAGGAGAGAGAAAAAAAAGAAAAGAAAAAAAGCCCGATGCACAGCACTCACGGCCCACCCTCCTTCCCGCGAATGAGCACGACGGATCAGACGGCCGTGCTTCCAGAACGACGCTTAACGTCGATTACATAACCCGCCATGTGGCTCCTGCAGCTGGCCCGTGCCCTTGCCTGCCCGCTTGACACCACCTGAGCTGCCCAGGAATCAGATCGACGGTAGAGCGCACCAGCCCACCAGCGCCCCATCTTGTCCCCACCCCATCATCCCGAGCGGCCGGGTGGACTCCTAGACATGTGGCGGTGCCCGCCCCTCGGCTGGTTTCAGGAGTTTTCCCAGAAAAGAGCTGAGAGTGGTGGAGCACAGGCCATGTGGCCCTCTTGCCCTCCCTGCTTCCCATGCCTGGGGAGGGTGCCCTGCTTACAAAAGCAAGAAAACGGCCAGGCCGGCCGGCAGCGCCACCTTGCTTGGGTCTTGGCGCCCGATGCTGCCCACAGCCGACATTTGGCCGCGTTGGGCTGACGTGCGCGCATGGCTTTTTTTCTTTTTTTTTTGCGACAAATTGGAGAGGGGGAGGGAAATAGGAGAGCTGCGACGGGAAGAAGTGTGACTGTGAGAACAAACAAAACATTAGGGCTCTCGTCATGCCTTAGGCCTCCATATTTACGTCATTTTCAGGCCGAAAAAAAGGCATGGGCGCGAAATCAACGGAGGCCTCGGCCGTGGGGAGGCGGAGAAACAAGCACAAACTCGGTCCCTCCTTCTCGTTTGTTGCCGCCCGAGGTGCGCGTTTGGGTCGGGGCCGGGTATCGATACACCACCACCCTCCTTTTCCTCTCCTCAGACTACGTGTTGATCGGCAAGGAAACATAGGGCCTAACACCTACCCACCGCGGCGGTAAGCTAGAAAAATCCCGCTTTCTCCATCTGCCTGTGCCAGCTGTGTGTGACTCACCGAAAGGGAAAAGGGGCGAAAGGGGAAGAAGAATTTTTGAGAAAGGGAAAATTTGGTGTAAGGAAAAAAAAAAAACCAAAATGCTACACTGACTGGCTGGCGGTCTGGGGGCTGGACCACCTGCGCTACCTCCCTGCCTTCCTGGTTGGCGGTCAAGAAATCGTGTTAGTGCGAACAGAGGTCCATCGTTGCGCCAAGCCGCCCGCTTGCCTCGCTATGTCTGCGGCGAACGAGAAGGAAGAGGGAGGAGAAGGAGAAGGGAGATTTTTTGGCACACCCCCTCCCCTTCGGGTCAAGCACAGTTCCTCCAGAGGACGCCCTGACGTCCGTCCGGCACTTTTTTCTTTTTTTTTTTCCCTGCCAGTGTGGGCAGACAGGCAGCAGCAGCAACCGCCGTTGGCTCAACAGAAAGGCAACTTTTGCGTCAGGGTCAGACGGGAGTGAGGACCTCGCCCCCCCTCCACTTCCCTCTCTGCCTTAATTTCGTGCGCGTCCTAATTCTTCACATGAGCTCATGACGACGCTTCCTGCTGGCTCTTCCTACCCCCACGCCTAAGCCACGCTCACCCTCTTTGTGAACCGGGCTTCTTGATATGCCGGACGGATCGAGGGGGACTCATCGACCAGAGGGCCGGCTCCGTATTTCCCTGACGTATCCGGAGCGGTCCTTTCCTGCCAGCACGCTTCCTTGCCGACACCCCCTCTCGGACATGTATCTTTGCCCACGCCGCCATGTCACTGAATTCCCCCCCAAACACGCGCGGATTTGTCCCCTCGCACTGGGCCGTGATTATCCAGTGATATCGTTGCTGCTACGCTCTGTATGGTCCAGGAAGGGGCTGTATATGACTGACTACGCTCCCTTTGGATGGGACTACTCGCTCCCTCCACAAGCTCACATGACCACCGCAGTAGTATTCCGTCACAGACCTTTTTCTTTCTTATTTTATCTTTGACTCAGCCCAGTTGTCCATCAGGCTGCCGCCACCCCACCGCTAGGCCTCGGGGTGCTCTCACAGGCCGAGCACCCATAAGGGGCCTCCTGCTAGCCGGCGTTCCTCGGCCGAGAGGTTGTGGGCACAACTCCGGGCGGGCCGAGGCCTCCAACCGAGGTACAGGTGGCTCCGGCCAGGGGCGATTTCCCAGAACAGCGTCGTCGTCAGCGGTCCTGCCTCCGCCCTCGTGGCCTTTTGTTTCTTGTTTTAACGCACGCAGTGTGGCAACTTCGCGATCGGTCGATCAGTGGGCGTGGAATCTACCGAGGGCGTAGATCAGGGGTTGGCTAGGGAGGAGGTTGCGCTACAGGCCCGTGAATGGTTCGGGAGATCTTGCCCACCTATTCCATTCCCTCTGGCTGGGCTTATTGGCCAAATACCCAGGGCGCCATGCGATGGGCCGGGTCCAACGTTCCTACCCAGAATAAGATTCAAGCAAGGCAGAGGTCAGATGTGAGACCAATGATATGCGGTAGCCGCATGGTTACACCGGTGAGAATATCACCGAGTGGTCAAATTTAAGTGTGGAATATGACACACATTGAATCACAGTGACATGGGGGGTTCCCGGAGCCTCCTTTCCACCCCGTGAAGTGCCTAGACAGGCTAGGATGTGACTAAGGTGATATCATGACTCGATTCGGAATGGTTAGGCTGTCACACGACCGATTGGTCTTGTCGGCGGTTCTACGACGAGTTTCATGTTGAGGGCTTGTCCCTCGGCGCTCCCGGCTCGTCTCTTGCAAGAAAAGAAAAGACGCTTACAAGGCTAGTGAAGAGTAGTGTGAGGACTTGGAGGGCACCTACCGTAGCGCCGGCAGCGTGTTGCAGCAATACCGAGTGTTGTGCGCTCATGTCAGAGTCAGCCTCAGGGTCGAGGCAAGGCTGGGCGTTTTGCAGCGGCGGGAGCCCCCGGGGACAGGTATCCCTGCTATGCGAGGATCGGTCCCGACTTTTGCTTTTACAGCGTCGCTGTAACTGGAGAGGGATGTGTGAGTGAGGATCGGCTTGTGCCTTGACTAGTGGCAGTGGTATCAGCTACGCTGGATTGAGGAGACAGTACACATTACCCGAACAGTGCTGTTCCAAGTTGGATCGTGAGCTAATTCCGTCGAACCGAGCTATAGGTGGGAGTTTGAATTATTTCTTTACTAGGCATATTGATGGGATTTCGTTGAGATGCTGGTTATCGTATCACCGAAATGCCCAGCTGCGGGGTCGTGAAATCACATGTCTCCGGCGATCGGCCAAAAAACAACGCTACAGTGTTATCAGTCCTCAAGCAGGGAACTGTGTAAAGGAACCTAAAAATGGACGAGCGAGCCAAGATCAAGGTGACTCTCCCTCGCTCAGATCCGACGCTGAGCTACTGGCAGGACCCGCCGGATGAGATCGCCGACCTCCGCTCCACCCCGGAGCTGCCCGAGACGGCCGATGCCGTCATCATCGGGAGTGGCATCACCGGCGCCGCCGTGGCCTGGCACCTGCTCGAGGGCGACGGCGGCTCGAACGTGGTCATGCTGGAGGCACGTCAGATCTGCTCTGGCGCGACGGGTCGTAACGGTATGGCAGCATACACATATACACCCGTCTCCTCTTGAACTAGAACGGCATCAAAAAAGGGACACAGACGTCTAACAAAAGCAACACCCACCGAAACATAACAACAACAAAAACAAACACACAGGCGGCCACACCAAAGCGGCGTCCTACCGCAGCTTCCAGGAGAACGCGGCGTCCCTGCCGGGCGGGGCCGCTGCCGCCGCGCAGATCGCGCGGCTGGAGCTGGCCAACATCCGCGCCGTGCACGCCTTCGCGGCCGCGCACGGCATCGACTGCGGCTCGCGGCCGGGCGACACGGTCGACGTGGTGCTGGACCGCGCCG